GTACGCTTTGCACATTGTCTTATCAAGCCTTTGTAGGTATTTGTTCTTCCCTAGTCCAGAGTAGTAAACAGATAGTTAGATCACAAGTATAATCACACAGTCGAGCTTGTTTAGACAGTGTATGCAAAGCGTGCTCGAGTCTTTTAGTCTCAAAATGTGATCATCTTCTCTGTGAATAGAAAAGTCAGGAATACGATCGCTGTTTCTGACAGCTGATGACTAGGTCTTTCGAGTTTCAAGTACAGTGATTCGAAGGGTGTGCAGGAGGGTTCCTAGCACCTTTCTTCGCACCAGCATTCGCACCCATGAGGGTTCTAGCACCTCCGCGCCTCAAAAGTCAAGCCCCGCTCAATGCTCCAGCCATTCACTAGTCTCAATTGTGAGGTGTGCAAGCAGCAAATAGATTCAGGTATTAAGGTAACAGGAGAGAGAATTGAAAAAAACGAAGAACATGGTCATCATTTCTCAAGTGAGGTGGCTTGCAAACTTCTGGTACGCCATCCTTCTGAACAAGAGCATTTGAACAATATTTTCGGAAGAGAAAACCGCACAGAATTTTATGAATAGAAAACCCGGTCATTCGAAAGAAGATCTAGTTGAACAGTTGTACATTACTGGTCATCTAATTGAAGATTGAAGTAATTTAGCACCAGGAGCTACGATATGCTTCACATACTTACTCAAGCGATAGCACTTGTAAGTTTTTAAGGAAGCCTCATTCTATCCGAAAACATGAGTAAAGCATAACTCGAAATGCTGAAGTTCAGCTGCGGTCATTCACGGATTCTGAACCCTTATAGAAACCTAGAATATTTTCTTGTTTTTCGATTTCAGTTCCATTATCCTCATATACAATGAAGCACGTCTCACAGTGTGTGTACACAATTCAAAATGAGGGCACCTAGAGGGAAGAGTGATGGGCGGAGCCGCCCTTTGTCCCCGAGTAAGCGTGATGTCCTTCAAGTATTTCTGGAGGTGCAACGTACCCCTGCGAGGAAAAGCGGCTAGGCTTTGGGAACTCCTGCCACGCCGCCCAGTGATTCAAAGGGGAATGAAGCACATGCACTAACTCGTTAATTAGACGTGTGCAAAGCAACTCGGGCATCCAAGTCCCAGAATGGACGATAGCATAGCAAACATCTTCAAGCAAAAAGCAAGTGGAAACAAACCCAGATCTTAACAGATTAGTTGGCTAGGTGAATGTAATTGAAAACTTCCAGTGAATATCCGCTCAAATGGAAACAGCAGAAAACTTCTTGATACCAAAGTTTCAAATGCTTTGATCCTCTTAGACATCGCGCTAATCCAGACTTCGAATCCGATTCGACTCTTCTCCGTACTTTGGTTGCCATGTGCACGTGCCCAGTCAAATTGAGGCGTCACACCCCGAACCCAAGATCCTGCACAGGTCCAAGTAATTGAGTGGTTAAAAGGTGAATATAAATAAGGTGCAAGTGCAGTAAGGGAAATCAAACTCGGAATGAAAAGCATTCACTCCTGAATGACTTCTACCCTGAATGACAGTGAAATGTTCTTTCCTGAGCGCGACCTTAACAAGCGTGACCCGGTGACAAAAGCTGCGCGCGACCGCCCGCGCAGCCGACTGTGTAGATTTAAATGGGGCCCACCCATCTCGCACCCAAGCTGAACGCGCTGGAGCACCTTTGCAGAACGATTGCCGAGCAGAACAACAGGATCCTGGAGCTAAACGTCCAGATCGTGGAGCAGAATCAAGAGATCGTGGAGCGCACCTCCCCCAGACCAAACTGCGTATTTTGCAATGTAGGGGAGAACTGCGACAACCACTTCTCGGGTAGATGCGTTCGTTTCGCAATTCCATCGCCAAGGTGGCTCAAGCCGCGAAGCTGGGGCTCTGCCTGCAAGCCCTTCGTCTCAAAGCAGTGCACGAAGACGAGTGTGTAGTAAAGTGTGGGAATCGCCTTGGCCACAAATTCCTCCTTTGCTCCAGCAGACGGGCCTCACATCCGCCACCAAAACGTCTACGCCATTGAAGTCAACGTCTCCAGCCCAGCTCTAGCACCACCAGTCGGCCCTTAAGCCACGAAGTCCAACGCCACCTACCACGAGCCCGCCCCAAGTCAAGAAGTCCAATGCCACCTACTCGACGCGCCCAGCCAAAAAGTTCAACGCCAGCAACGTCTCCAGCCCAGCTCCAGCATCCCCAATCCGCCCTCAGGCCAACGCCGCCTACCTCGAGCCCACCCCAGCCAAAAAGTGCAACGCCAACAACGTCTCCAGCCCAGCTCCAGCATCCCCAGTCCGCCCTCAAGCCAACGCCACCTACCTCGAGCCCACCCCAACCAAAAAGTGCAACGCCAACAACGTCTCCAGCCCAGCTCCAGCATCCCCAGTCCGCCCTCAAGCCAACGCCACCTACCTCGAGCCCACCCCAGCCAAAAAGTGCAACGCCAACAACGTCTCCAGCCCAGCTCCAGCATCCCCAGTCCGCCCTCAAGCCAACGCCACCTACCTCGAGCCCACCCCAGCCAAAAGTGCAGCGCCAACAACGTCTTCAGCCCAGCTCCAGCATCCCCAGTCCGCCCTCAAGCCAACGCCACCTACCTCGAGCCCACCCCAGCCAAAAAGTGCAACGCCAACAACGTCTCCAGCCCAGCTCCAGCATCCCCAGTTCGCCCTCAAGCCAACGCCGCCTACCTCAACCGTCCCCAGCCATCAGCCCGTCTCTAGCCGACTCCAACACCACGTCCACTTCTGCTCAATGCCCGCTCAGCCCTGCTTCACCAAGATCGAGGACGTGACATGTGATATTAAGTTATGTTGTATTTGTATTTTATATGCTGTGTTTCGGCTGTCTCCCTCACGGCAAGGGTATCATCGTGCCGATGATGATACCACGCCGCGACCTTAGGTGCAGGGAACGTGGCCGAACCTCACTCCCCCTTTCTCACTTGCATATCCACCGTACGACATAAACGTACCGTTATCCTGCTCTCGTGCTCGCTGTATACTTGTTAATAAATTCTGAACCACCGTCTTTTGTACTTTTGTTCTCGTTACCTGCAAAAACGCTGAAGAGTTTCTAGTACCCGCAATAGATAGTAGTTTTCACAAAAAGCTTATTTGAAGATAAAGAGTTTGGAATTGGAAAAGACCTTATAGATAGAAGTCTTTTTTCTCAAGGCTGGTAAATATTTACAAAATGATTTTGTCATCGAACTGCAGCCCATTTTTGAATCCATAAGAAGTCTGAAAATCTTAGCTGCCAGCAGACAACGTACGCTTTGTACAACCACAAAGAGAGTTACTCTGAACTTCACATCTCCTAATAACTTCCTTATATGGAAAGCTTTCGCGAATCTTTTAGTGCCATACGGTAGGGCTAGCTTCACCTTAAGTTTACAATATAGAGCGAATTACCCACTACTCTTTGTTACTGTAGGATTACGGTAGAAATTTTCGACTATTTACGCCTCTGAGAGGAGAGAATTGCTTTTGTGAGATTCCAAAAAAACAAGAACAAAGGATTTCATACTAAGGTTTTCGAGGGTACTGAATCTAATTGTAAAGCTTTCCGCTACCGTACTCCGTGACTTCTTACGGTATGCGCACTGTAACGCTGAATCTTTGGCTTTTTTCCAGAATTCAACGTTGCCTTTGTCAAGCAAAGTTCAATTGAGCCTTTAAGACTTCTTCAATCTTTAGTAATTGCAAATAATGGGTCAAAAATTGCAAATTCAGGGTTTAAATACAATTAATGATTTGACTTGATTTCATTGATTTGACTGATTGATTGACGTGTTTGTGACTGCAACGTTGGTTTAGAAAATTTCGGAAAAAAAAACCAAAAACTCAGCGTTACAGTGCGCATATCATGAGAAGCCATGGAATACAACAGCGGAAAGCTTTGTAATTAGATTCAGCATCCCCGAAAACCTTATTTTGAAATACTTTATTTTTTTGGAATCTTTCAAAAGCAATTCTCGTCTCTTAGAGGCCTAAAATTAGTCGAAAATTTCTGCCGTAATCCTACAGTAGCTAAGGGGATCGGTAATTCGCTCTATACTGTAAGTCTAAGTTGAAGCTAGTCCTACCGTATAGCACTCAAAGATTTGCGAAAGCTTTCCATATAAGGAAGTTATTAAAGATCAAACGTTCGATACATTTCTTTGGGACACCCTGTATATTATATGAAACTAGCTGGTGGCCCCGGTCTCACCCGAGACTTCAAGATATGTAGTTAAGCCAAAAGAGCTTGTAAACTTACGCCTCTAGACTTCTAACATGCGCATAAAGCGCTTTCAGGATAATTGCCGCACCCTACCAACTTTAAGACTGAAATGGACTTTACCGCCCCTGCTTACATGCTTATATGTAAAAATGATCGGTTGCCATGATGGCCCTTCATTTTCTTAGGTTTGAATAAACAAATCAATAAATCGATAGAATGGCCCGGCGAATCGCCGCGGAAAGTAGCTCTAAACCACCGCCGGGGTCGAAAATATACGTGTGCGAAGTTTCAGCCGGATCGGTTCAGTGGCGCGCGTTTCTATAACGAACGAACAATTAAACGAACATCCTCACAGACATTGAGTTTTATATATATAGATTACAGGTATTTTCTCATTGCACTTTGCGTATAGTACCGTATACCAAATCTTCTTATGTATTACCGATTGGAAGTTTCAGTAGTTCAATATTGAGCAGCAACTCATGAGATTCATTCATGGTTTAGTCAGAACTCTCGCCCTCTACCGTACCTCGAAAACATTGATCCGCTTGGTCGATGTATGGTCTCGGAGCAATTTAGGATTTTTTTTTGATGACGAATTAACCATATGAGCTGCCGTTTGGGCAAAGGCTTATATACGTTTCCCCAATTGATTTCCATGTGAGTAACCGGATTCAAATTTGCCTTGATATTGTCTTCACTGAAGATAGTCTATAGCTTTAAAAACACCAAAGAGTTCGCAGAAACTGGCGCAATATCTTTACACCGTGTTAAACTTCACTTGATGAGTCAGTGAGTAGCAGATTTATTCGGAGTAGAATACAATGCTGGGTGCTTTTAGTTAGTAATGACAAGTACAACGAGTATCACAAGGATTTTTGTAATAGATTCATCAGATCACGTAGTATTCTAATTAACCAATTCAATATGTTCTTGATTAAATCTATTACAAGGTAATGAAACGGATTAAAATCTTAGTCATATGTTTAAGGCATTCAATGGAAAGTCTGTGGTGTAACATATAATCTTGCGGTGGTATCAGCTGTAGCATCGATGGTTGATGGATTTGCCGATGGTGGAAGGTCCATGTCCTTGGCATTCGCTATGATATTTGTATCCAGGTAGAATCCCTAAATCATAAAACACTTGAATTCCATATTTATTTTTTTAGATAGCGTCCAGGTAAATAACTCCTGACTCCAGACTCTTGAATGAACACAGAACGGAAGAGACTTATTGGGGTGTAGAGGAACGAATACGCCAGGAGGCGCCGCCTTCGCCTACTGGTCCTACACGGTGCAAATGCATTCGCGAAAGGAACAGTGGTCCGCAGAGATGACGCTCACTGGCGCTGTTTGTTTCCCTACCCATTACAAGGACCATGGCCTAAAGGGTTTCACAAAATCCATTCGCGGCTATAAAAGTCTACTCATGGCTGAAAAATTCTACCCGCCCACTACCGTACTAGAGGGGAGTATACGGTATCAGGTGGGAGTTCAGTCCTAAATCTCTCGACCACAGAATTGACCTGCCGCTTGGGAACCGGCTTTGAGATCTCCCAATCAGTTTCTATTTAGAAAACCTTGATACTCAAATTGTCTAAGCAGCGCTTTTTGGTAATACGAGTCAGAAGCATATCTTTGGTTCCTTTTTATAATTTGGAAATTTTCTGCATCGTGCAAAGGTAAAACTCGTAATTTCAATCGTTTCTATATCTTTTGATGCAAAATGTACCGTTCGAAAAGGTCGCTATAATCCAACCTGACTCTTGATTTCTCTGTCCACTTCTTCAAACGTTTTCGAATCCAAAGGTCCAAAAACGACGCCCATGAGCCAATGACTACGCCGGGGTAAAATTCCCAACTGGAAAAAATTTTTTTTTATCCAGTGATGCAGTAAGAGTCTATGCTTTCTCACAAATATCTGCTTCCCCATCTTCGAATGTCCTGTACTTAGGATAGAATAATACTATCCGAGCCCAGTTGATGCCGCTTGTCTCTCTTAGAGCCTCCTGTTGGTAGACTGCAACATGCACACACTTGGTGCTATCATGTTTTCTATGAACTTAACGATTGGGGCTATTTCAATGGTAAAAAAAGAAGGAAATGCGGTTTTTGATAATGTTATTGATCAAGAATCCTCTGGGCATTCCCTGGACGTCAATTTTGTGTGCTCGCTTCTGCTACCTACCTTCAAATTGTTTTACCCAGTCACTAGGAAGAAATCTCGGCACAGTCAGCATGGTTTCAAGCATGGCTGCTTTGAGCTGAATTGAGAACCTCACCATAACTAGGTATTGGAGGGCGCTTTTTGCTTACTGCTTCCCTCTTTGCAATAATTTCTTCTACTTCAGGACTGATCTTCGTCTTATTTTCGCGAAAATAATCGATGGTCTTGTCAAGAACCGTATCCAAAGTGTGAAGAACCTAAAATGTGCGTAAAGTAGCAGGAAAGCAGAAAATATACCATTTGATTCAACTGGCTTGGCTTCGGGAAGGCGGGGCTCCGTGACCCAATTAAGGCTAGCTAAACATCAGAGAGCACTCGCGCGAGAGAGACGCAGAGTGCGTAGCGGGCACGAGCGGCCTTAATTAGGTCACAAAACCCCATCTTCCCGAAACCAAGCCAGTTGAATCAATAGTTACAAGCGAGGGACGCACATATGCATCATAGGGAATTTTTCCTGAGAAAAATTTCGCTAAAACGTCATTTTCGGCTTTGGTGAGGGTTTTCTCAAAGGCCTGAAAAAATGAAGAATTTGCTAGTAGAAGATTTATGGTGGCGAAATTGGTCACCTTGTCCCTGTATGCAGTTCGTAGGATTTTGTTTGCAGCCTTGAGAAATCGCTTCTAAACGTGAAGTGGAGTTTACTTGAATGCAATTTCATATTTTTGCGAAAAAACTCACGTCTCCAGCTCCGACGTCAGCCATATTTTCTGCGTTGAAGTCTACCAAGATCTTTGTCAGATCAACATCCTGCGGTAGAAGGCGTTTTATGTCATTATGAGGGTGGCAGCAAGATTACTCACCTCCTCCAGAGGTGCAAAAACATCTTCCAACATTGTTGTCCTGGATGCTTGCTTCTTTACACTTACGCTAGTAGCCTGAAGCAGCTGTCTTTCAAGAATCTTAGAATGTTTAATCAACGATCAACCTTCTCGCTAGGGATAAAACCCTCCCAATTTGTAGGTGGAAGCCTGGTTGTCCGTTCATCCTTTTCGTTGAACCGCACCTTAATCCTTCTTATATATAAACTGGATCAAGAATCTTAGAATGTTTAATCAACGATCAACCTTCTCGCTAGGGATAAAACCCTCCCAATTTGTAGGTGGAAGCCTGGTTGTCCGTTCATCCTTTTCGTTGAACCGCACCTTAATCCTTCTTATATATAAACTGGATCAAGAATCTTAGAATGTTTAATCAACGATCAACCTTCTCGCTAGGGATAAAACCCTCCCAATTTGTAGGTGGAAGCCTGGTTGTCCGTTCATCCTTTTCGTTGAACCGCACCTTAATTCCTTCCTATATATAAATTGGAAACATCCGGCGAGATAACGAAAACTACACATTGTTCACCCACCCTGACGCCCCCCTTCAGCGTTGCGGAGGGCGAATTGTTGACAGTGTGAGCGCGGGCGGCGTGGCAGGAGTTCCCAAAGCCTAGCCGCTTTTCCTCGCAGGGGTACTTGGCACCTCCAGAAATCCGTTAAAGGACATCACACCTTTTCGGGAGCAAAGGACGGCTCCGCCCATCACTCCTACCTCTAGCTGCCCTCATTATGAATGTGTAAACGCACTATAAGACGTGTACTGTTTATGAAGATGAAACCATTGGAATCGAGAAACAAGAAAGTTCTTCAAACCAAGGATTTAGGATTCGTACATGACTGCAGCTGAATTTCCGGCATTTCGGGTTACCTTATATTCACGTTTTCGGATAAAATGACGCTTTCTCAAAATTTTGTAAGTGCTCGCGCTAGAGTAAGTTTGTGAAACATATCGTATTGTTATAAATTAAGCAGAAGTTATGATTCTTCCCATCACAGTATATAACAGAGAAGTTAGTCAGTTACACGCAAGTTCTAAAGTTGTTCATCTAAGAATTATAGCAAATTAAAACATCTTGCAGATTTATTGTCGTATTTGAAACTCTTGGTCAACTCTTTCAAACATGCGCCAAAAGTTTGGTATACTAGTACATGGAGATACTACACTTAAAAAATTGGTTTTTGATAATCAAACTCTTACTGATCATTGGAGTAACTGGAATGAAAAACTCATTGGAATACATTTATGATGGCAGACGAAAGTAGGAAAGTATATATGTTCAATATCCTAACTGCTGGGAAAGCGTTGAGTTGCTTATTCGAAATTTATAAACTGCTTTCAAAATAGATAATTCTAATGCTAGGCAGTAGGGTTTCACACCACTCCTGGTCACTCAGTTATTCAACTCGTGATGTTAATTACTTCAATCAAATGACCAGAAATTTACAATTGATCAACTAGATTCTCTGATATTTCAAATGACCTGGTTTTCATACAAAAAATTCTGTGCAATTTATCTTCTGAAAATAATGTTTATATGCTCATTTTTGAAAGGATGGCGTAGCAGAAGTTTCACTTGAGAAATGATAACTATGTTCTTCGCTTTTTCTCCATTTTTCTTCCCTTATTACTTCAGTACTGAGTCTGTGCTCTCGCTGCTTGCACACCTCACAATGAGACAGTAAATGGGTGGAGCAATGGGCGTGGCCTGACCTCTGAAGCGCGGAGGTGCTAGAACCCTCCTGGGTGCGAATGCCGGTGCGAACTTGGTGCGAGGAAAGGTGCTAGGAACTCCTGCACGCCCTCCTGAGCGCGCGAGACATCACACCCTCTCGCAGAGGTTACAGACGATGAGAATTTTAGACAAGCGGTGTACTCCTATCTGCAGACAGGCTCGAGAGGAGAGGGTTGTCTCGACGTTTGACTATTGATCGCACCATACACCGCATGCGATGACGGCACGTTTTTGACTGCCTGCGATGAGGAATTGTGATGAAATACCGTATGCTTGGTTTGATCACAGCTTTCACAGCTGGAGCAATCTCTACTGTTTACATATATGTTTCCTCTTTTTTCATGTCCTTAGCTACGTTCCACTTCATTCTAAAGATTCCCTTACCCTCTCCCTGGCCATTTTGGCATAAGTTTGATATGAAATCTGAGCACTGCAATTCTCCTCAAATTGTCGTCAGAACTCAACATTTGGTGAAATGTTGACGAAAGTCCCAACCCGAAGAGCAATTCAACAACAAAAAACTGCATTCTTCGCAGGCTCTTTTGTGGCTGTGCAGTTTTTGAAGTGAAAAATATCATTTTTCCCCGCAATTTTCCCGAAAAGAGTAAAAACCTCGATTTCGACAGAATTTCAACCACAGAAAATGCCTTTGCCCCCGGAAAAAAGACCCAGCATAGAAGCCATGGTCGCGCTGGTTGAGCTTCGGCAGGCTCTTTCTATGGCTCACTAGTTTTTGGAGCGAAAAGTTTTGGTTTTCTCCGCAATTTCCCCAAAAAAGGGTAAAAACCTTTTTCGACAGAATTTCAGCCACAGAAAATGCCTTTGCCCCCGGAAAAAAGACCCAGCATAGAAGTGTGGTCTCGTTGGTTGAGCTCCGGCAGGCTCTCCCTGTGGCTCGCCAGTTTTTGGAGCGAAAAGTTTTGTTTTTCCCCGCAATTTCCCTAAAAAGGGTAAAAACCTCGATTTCGACAGAATTTCAGCCACAGAAAATGCCTCTGCCCCCGGAAAAAACACCCAGCATAGAAGTGTGGTCTCGTTGGTTGAGCCCCGGCAGGCTCTCTCTGTGGCTCACCAGTTTTTGGAGCGAAAAGTTTTGTTTTTCCCCGCAATTTCCCCAAAAAGGGTAAAAACCTCGATTTCGGCAGAATTTCAGCCACAGATGCCTTTGCCCCCGGAAAAAAGACCCAGCATAGAAGCTGTGGTCTCGCTGGTTGAGCTCCGGCAGGCTCTCTCTGTGGCTTGCCAGCTTTTGGAGCCAAATTTTTTGTTTTCCTCCACAATTTCCACCAAAAACCTCGATTTCGACAGAATTTCAGCTACAGAAAATGGCTTTGCTCCCGGAGAGCCCAGCATGCATCTGCATTGGTCATCCTTTTAGGAAAGCGATTATTTTGATTTTAACTAAGCAACGAAAGAAGCAAGCTGTTTTAAATAATTGAATTTTGGTGGTGCATTTGGAAGAAAAGATCAGATATTTTGTGTCTACCTGCGAAGTTTGATTTTTCGTTTTACCTTCTCTAGAGAGGGATGTGAACACCTTTGTACTTAGATGCAGTCCCAACTAAGCAAATACTAATGTATCTGCCCCGACCCGCTTACAGCGGCCCGTAGGGCCGCTAGTCAGTATATAAAAAGTGAGAAGGGACGGCCGCCTCTAGCAGGAAGATGGAGCGCGAGCGAACTGCTAACAATGGAAGCAATGGAATGCGCTCTTTTTGCCTACAAAAATAAGTTGTGAAGCTGTTTGTGCTGAAACCTCCCGTCGTGGTAAAGCTCTTGCCCAAAAGACAATTTGCACCTGAAGCAAGAGAACCGCTTCAGATAGCGACTTTTATAAGGTTGAACGCTAAGTTTTGCAACTGGTCTCATGACTTCCCTCTCACTCAACATGGTGCACTCAAATTTTGCCACTGTGTTGATTATTACGTAAGCTACAAGCGCAGCTGCTGTCCTACCAAATTCTGACGTCGCAGTGAGGGCTACGGTAGGTGTATGGTAGGAAAAATTTGAAGTTTGACGGATTTGACTGAAACTTGGCAGCGGTGTTATCCGACATGGTGATCACGAAAACGATAGTGAAATTCCATGATAAAAGCTTTTTTTAAGATTACTGTAGGTGCACGAAATGGGGTCTCACCCTAAACAAGGAAAATGGCGTTGATTCAACGAATGAATATGATATTCGCGTTCGGCAGGTTAAATAATTTTACGATGTGAAGTCTCGGCGGAATTTGAGCTTCGGACTCTTTAGTCATTGACGGTCATCCCCAGCAGCTCTTGCGTTGTTTCTTTCTTACTAGGGCAAAGGAGTCGACCTCCAGCAATAATTCGGATCACTGCGCATGATCTAGGCTGCTAAAGGCTTCATTTTAGCTTGAAACTCCAAAAATTCTCAATTTTTACTAGTTCTCGAAAAATGCCTGAAACTTTTCTATTTCCTGCTCAAAATTAGGCAATTTGTGCTCACTGTCGCTCACATTGCATTCTGCGTAATGCCAAAATTTGAGTGCACCATATTGAATGAGAGGGAAGTTATGAAACCAGTTGCAAAACTTAGTGTTCAACCTAATACTTCCCGGTGAGTTGCCCACCCTGAAATGGTTAAGCCAGAGTGCGCATATCGCACACAGTGAAGGCGTAGGGCCATATACAACGACACTGCCTCTCAACCTTGGCCTCACGAGTCAAGATTCGAAATCGAGATTTCTGGAAATCTCGATCCCGACATTTTTGTGCTCCCCTACAGCTTTTTTGGACTCAGCGGGAAAGGTTAGCCCAGGCAAGCGAGAAAATTTCATTCGAAATTCTGCATGGACGCTGCCTTCAACGGAGGAGCATCACTACGGATAGCTTGCTGAAGTGCGCACAGCGATCAAGACCATGAACACATCCACGGCTCCTGGACCGCATTAACCTTCTGTCAGGAAGGGGGAATCTTCATACGATCAAGGACTCCGCACCTAGTCTTCACAAACACCTCACACCTTTGTCAAGACTGTGCGAGCAAAAGGAGATATTGTTACACGAGATTCTTGCGTCATATTCAATATCCCTGTTCAAAAGAAAAGAACGAATTTTTAGAACCTCAAAATTGTTCTTCAGTTCAAAAAGAATGAACTAGATTCTCGAAGACATAGAATGCGCTTGCTGAGTTTACAGGCGGTTCATGAAAATGTTGCTCAAAAGACACGGGATGATGACCAGCATTAAATAAGCTAAATCTTTTTTTTACTGCGAAAAATAACTCTGCATGGATCGCATCCAGACAATTTGCAAAAAATCATGGAAGCTCGCCGTGAGTGCAAGCTGCTTTCGTGAGAGTTTTCACGACTGCGAGAGGCGTTTTACAGCGTTACAGAGCTTGTCTGTTAGATCTAGTCCAAGGAGTGGATTTAGCTTATGTGAGGACATTGGCTGATGGACCATCCCAATTGGAAAGGAGGTTCAACAAGACAACATCTTTCGAATGTTCATAGCGGCTTTTGGTCAAGTGATAGCATTAGACTGTACCGAGAGAGACGTAGGAGTTGATAAAGGCCCCCTTGAAAGTGTGTTTTGAACGACAACGTTTTCTTTGAACAGTTTCACTGAGGGGGGCGATACTACTGAACGAAGAAGGAAAAGAGATTGGATTGTGAATATGTTCAAAAAAGACTAAGTTCATGGAGGGTATTCATTGTGATACAGAAAGAGACTAGGAAGCATATCCCTGATGAAGGAGTCTTAGGCCTAAGGCATACCTCACGCGATTCGGCCGAATCGCCACTTTCACGCGACTTGGCGATTAGCCAGGTTTTCCACAGATATTTCGTGGTCGCTTCTCGAACGCATACAGTGCGGTTGATAATTATACGAACACCCCAAATTTTAGAAATTTTTGGACTATCTAAAAGAAACTCAAAAAGCCATTGGTACCACGCGAAAGAGCACAGCCGAAAACGGTATACGATCTACGAGAATGGAAATAGAAGTCAATCTTAGGAATGTTTATGCGCCTAATGCGAATTTTGAGCGGTTCATAATTATACGAACACCTCAAACAAAGATCCATTTTTCATTCGCGAGTGAAATCTTTCGAGTCCAGTTTTTTTTGAGTTATAGTAACAAAGCCTGAAACATTTGCTACACACTGAACCCAGCGCAATTCAAAAAGAGGAGCGTTACCTATTCCGGATGGCTCTAAATGCTTTTGGAGTCATTGCGCTCCAAAAACGTCCGTTTTTTTTTGTAATTTACGCACTCTAATAAGCTTTTACCAAGTCTGTGAGATAAAATAAGATGGTAGATGGTTTCTTTGGCGCTCGGAAATTCTTTGCATTTTCGTGCCGTTTTTCAACCAAGTTTCAACCTTACCCTAGAGTTGTTACGATTTTGAGCCTCAAAACATAGCTTCTGATGCCCTACAATGAAGTAAGCACGTAGTATGTAAAAGTTCACAAGACTGTGTATTTGGCTAGAAAAAATCGGCAGCGTTGAGCTTTTTTTTCGGCTACGCAGGCGTCATTTCACCAAAACCACTGTTTTTACTATTGCAATCCCCCCTTTAATTGGTTTTTAGCTCCGAAGCCTCAAGACTAGTTGTGGAAAAACCAAAAACTTTAGCAGGGATTATCGAAAGAGCTTATTTTATTTCAAAGGTTTGGTAAAAGCTAATCAGAGTGCGTAAACCACAAGTAAAACGGACGTTTTTGGAGCGCAATGACTCCAAAAGCAGTTAGAGCTGTACGGAATAAGTAACGCTCCTCTTTTTGAACTACGCTGGGTTCAGTGTGTAGCAAATGTTTCAGGCTTTGTTACTATAACTCAAAAAAAATTGGACTCGAAAGATTGCACTCGCGAATGAAAAATGGATCTTTGTTTGAGGTGTTCGTATAATTATGAACCGCTCAAAATTCGCATTAGGCCTCGGGCAGAGTTCACGCGATTTGGTCGTCGCGATTCAATCGCGACAAGACAACTATTACAACATTATTCCATGCCGATCAACTTGCATTCGGTCGCGATACTTTTCCAGCCCGAAATTTTTGAATGTAAAATGAAAATAAATGGAAATTGCGGCGATTGAATAGCGACGATCAATTCGCGTGAACTCTGTCCGAGGCCTTAGGCGCATAAACACTCCTAAGATTGACTTCTGTTTCCATTCTTGTGAATCGTATACCGTTTACGGCTGGCTCTTTCGCGTGGTACCAACGGCTTTTTGAGTTTCTTCCAAATAGTCCTTCTAAAATTTGGGGTGTTCGTATAATTATGACCAGCACTATATTTGGGTAGCTTGTGTAGGTCGTTGCAAACGCATCAAGTTCTGACCAAAGGCAGCGCATTAGCAACGAATAACCAAGAGTCGCTGTTGTGCCAAATCGCGTGGCGACCGGAATCGCGCAAAGGTATGAGGCCAAGGCCCCGGACAGACTTCACGCGATTTGATCGTCGCGACTCAGTCGACGACATTTCCATTTGTTTTCATTTCACATTCAAAAATTTCGGGCTGGAAAAGTATCACGACCGAATGCAAGTTGATCGGCATGGAATAATGTTGTAACAGTTGTCTCGTCGCAATTCAGTCGCGACGATCAAATCGCGTGAAGTCTGTCCGGGGCCTAAGACATACCTCACGCGATTTGGCCGAATCGCCACTTTCACGCGAGTTGGCGATTTGCCAGATTTCTACAAATTTATCGTGCGCGCTTCTCGGATGCATATATGGGTAGCTTGTGTAAGTTGTTGCAAATAGAGCAAGTTCTGACCAACGATAGCGCATTAACAACGAATTACGAAGAGTCGCTGTTGTGCCAAATCGCGCAACGACCGGAATCGCGCGAGGTATGCCTTAGGCCTTAGGCCTTACGTATATCCAGGCATTCGTGTTCCATATCAAGGGGAAGAGATTCATATGAGAAGACGCGTAGCTTGGGGTCCACTAAAGGAAGCCATAAACCAGCTTAAAAATCCGGTGCTGAGCCCGCCGTCCAACACGACCTAATTCTGGTCCCTTTTTACTCGCGACAATATAAATTCCAACCTTTTGCGGCTGCTTTTCTTTGACTTCAAGCACCTTTTTTTTCTTGGGCTTCTTCTTCTTTGGTTTACGAGATTCTTCTATAGTGGATTGCGTCGTTGATGCATCTAGCGTTTTTTCTGACTGAAAATTTGGAAATCAGAAGGATTTGTCCTCAAATCGCCCCTACCTTTTCACCACTTTTCCCAGCGCTACTGCTCACACTCGCACTACTTTCTTCACTCTAAACCGAAAGATTTGTCATAAAAATTATAAGCTGTCTAGATACCATAGGTATTCCAACAATCTTCTGAAGATGCTGTTTCCATCTCAATTTGCTGCAAATAAAGGCTTTCAAAAGCTTTCTTGAGCAAAATTGCTCTTTCAGTCTTTCCAAAACTGCATCTTCCTCACCGATTTTTAGCTCTGAGCACATAAGGCCGTACTCTTGAGCTCGGCTTTTCCATAATAGTGTTGTCAAATTCGCTACTATCTGCTTGCACAAAGATTCTAAAACTTTTCTTGCTGAACTTCTCGAACGGACTCTTTTCAAACCAACCCTTTCCGTCTCATCTCGGCTCGTTTTTGCGCTTTTCCTTTCAACTTTTTCGTCGGTGCCCTCGCTGGCACTAAATCCGTCTTTTTCTTATCTCCTTGTGACAAGTAAGCTTTGTACTGCGCACTCATAAAGCGCGCATCTACTTTTGTTCCTGGAAAGAACGACCGTCTTGACAACTCTTGGATGCCAGTTCAGCCATACCGATGTTTTTACCCAACATTGTAAAATAACGTCTAGTAAGCGAGTAGAAGGTTTCAAAAATGATCTTTACTCTATTAAGTGCACTGTTGTCGATTTGGTAGTTGCCAGCTTGCAAAATTTACTCATTTTCGGTATTAAAGTGGTCAAGCGGTGTTGCTCGTTTGCATCTTCATGCCTCTATCTTCTATCTTCATGCCTCTGCATATCTTCTGCGCTTTTGAAAGGAACATTATCCTCAGCTGATGGCAGTTTCTTTAAACTTATGCATTTTACTGGGTCATATATTTCATGTGATTGGGACATTTACCTCCTTGTGTTTCTCCAGCCTGAAACTTCCGTCGTGCTCACTTTTCGTTGGTTCAATCTCATAATGGGCAAGTGATTGCTCCTTTTTACTCACTATTATCATCTGCATCTTTCCTCATTTTTTAATTCCTCCAGAACTTTCTCAAATTTCATTTTTCCGCCATAAAAATCATTGAAAACGGTGCGTTTTTCCCTCAAGACGAGAGTTATATAAAAGGTAGGTACAGGAGATTCGAAAAATCCTGACGATGGCGCGATCACGCGCGACACCCACGCAACCCCATTTTCTTGGTTTTCATCTCTACACGATCGGTTTTTCGGCCTAAATATGATAGCATTTAGACACTGGAATTGACTGAGCAGCTGAGGTGATGGCTTTTTGTATGAGTGTTTTCTGATCCTGTGGGCGCAAAGACCGCAGTCAAATCCGCCATCACGATTTTATAAATGACCTATACAAACACACTTTATTGACGATCTGCGCCCTCTCACTTTTATGACGTTTACTGCTTGCTGATAATCTCCAGCTTATACCCGTAGAGAGGAGTCAGAGCTAAGGAGGTCTGATAGCGCCCACCTTTTCATTCTTTTTCAATTCTCTAGCTCAAATGACAGCGTCTGCCCAAAATATCTTCCATGTTTCTGTCATTCTGCAGCTTTTTTGTGGCCCTAGATTACAGTGATGAAGTTCAATGCAACCTCCTCTCCCCCCCCCCCCGCCCTTCCAAAAAAACCCCATTTGGGAAACTATCCCGACTTCGAGTTCCTAGGAGGACGGACCTTTAGGATGGGTGTGGCTTGATAGCAATTTCATGGGTTCCTGGTCCATTTTTTCAATTCGAAGACCACCTTGGAGGACCGGACCAACGCAGATGCGCCTCTCCTAGGGGCTTATTTTCAGCCTAGGTACTAATCGGAGGGGCTTGTATTCGGCCTGGACGCTGCCTTCAAAAAGCGAATTTGGAAGCGCAGTTTGGGCATACTTTGTTTTGAAGAGCCTCCTACTAACTTTACTCTTACTGTTAAAAATTTTAAAATGCTTCGAAGTTAGGATTGAATACGATAGCCCTACATTTCCATTTCAAGTATGGACCCAGCAGATTTAAAGCGCTAGCACTTCATATTGCGTTTGATCTTTCGCATCGTAAGATAGGCCTATAAGGCACAATCTCCGGAAAATATTAGGACGTCCCGAAAGTATTTTCGCTTTTTTCAAATTTTTTTCAATCGCCACGGTGTGCAGAACAAACATCCTCAGTTTTAGAATCATTCGATGCAGTTTTTTATGCTCTTTCAAATGGTCATCTTTACATTGCAGTTTAACAAACGAGCTCTCAAAAAATAATCAAAAACTGCAACCCATATTTTTTGCCAGAGTCAATTTCCGGTAAACAATTTCCGCCCCTTCCAAATCTTACTTTACAAAATTTTTAGAAATATTTTTTAATGCTATCAAATTCTATAATTCGTCAACTTAAACCTGCATCACTCGGGAAGCAACTCGGATGTTATTCGATGCAGCACCTTCTCCTCTTTCAGAGACATGTTTTTTGTTTCTGGTTCGTAAACTTTTAGAGGACAAAATCGACAAAATTCATGTTTTTGATGGCGCCCCAAGATGTACCTAAAAATTCAAAATCTGATATTTCAAATCTGGAAACGCTCATTTGTCTTGTAAAATTAGTAATGAATCTTAATCTATCTTTAAGAATACCAAAAACTGAGAATTTCTTGGAGTTTGACGAGTCTGCGTCTGGTATGGGCCTGCTAAAATTCGATAGTGTTGTTTAAAATTTTGTCAAAATTTATGAAGAGCTTTGGGAAGGAGAAAAAAATTGTTTTGTAATCTACTTCGTCTGCCCTATCCGAAGGTTACTTGGGCTTCTTCGGAGAATCAGTACAAAAATTTAGAAAAATAGCGAAACTTGACCTTGGTAAAAAGCGTGTGTCGCAGTTTTTGGTAATTTTCTGAGAGCTTGTTTGTTAAACTGCAATGTAAAAATGACCATTTGAAAGAGCATTAGAAACTGCATCAAATCTCCCAAGATCTTCTAAGGATGTTTGTTCTGCGGACCGTGGCGATTGTTTGAAAAAAGTGAAAATACTTTTGGGACGACCTAATATTTTCTTGGCATTTTTTTTACAGTTTTGAATCTAACACAATGAATATGGCTTCGTGTCCTGTTGAACAATGACTACAACATCAATTTCAAAACACATCTAACAAAAATTTATTCACCTCTTCACAAATCAAACAAAAAACAAAAGCTGGGCCGGCGCTCAAAGACAAAAAATTGCAAATGCACACATACGTACGCTTTGCAATTTTAATATAGGATTTCTTGGTCCTATTTATGTGTAGGAATTGCTCTTACGTTTCGGTCTGTAGGAGTCTTCAACAGATCTTACGAGTGCTAATAAAGAAAAAATTGCAAAATTACTAAAAAAAGGATCTACGCTATTACATATGATAATACAACATCCTACACGTCTAAAATTTGATTTCTTCGTTTTATTGATTTTTCTGTTTAGATTTTAAGGGTTCAATTCGATATACAAATGTAGATCAAATGATAAGTAGTAGTCTTTGGGTCGTTTCTCGCTACTGTACCGTCTTTCCACCAAATTTGAACTCCAAAGCATTGCTCTCAGGTCTTGTTTGCGATTGCTTAGTTAGTAGAGCGGTTTTTCGGAGCCGAGAGGCGGAGTACCTAGAAATTTGGCAATTTTCCAGAAAATCAAACGACTATGTCAATGAGAAAAAAAGCTGCAAATGTTCAAAACGTACTTGATAGATTCTCTCCTTCTCACCATTTGTGGATCTGATGAAAGGAATCGATGTGACAGCGCTTCATCCGTGCGCATACGACGTCTGAAGAAATCAAAGTTTATTTTCAAATTTAGAGTATTTGCTTCCAAACTTACAATGGATTTTTCTTCAGTGCCCAGGTAACAAAGCTAAGAGATTCTTGGCTAGCATTGACGGGAATCAAATTAGGATCGCATTTGACATTTATTACGTTTTCTTTGACTTCCTCTGGACGATCATACTCGGAGGTGAATGGATGGAAACCACCCAGGCTGCAGGAAATTTTTTCACTGACACAAAATGAAAAAATTATTCATGGCACTTACAGGCAGAATGTGATCAGACCCAGACCCCACATGTCGCTTTGGACAGTCACTGGGGTATCCTTGACGTGGAGTTCGGGTGCAGCCCAGGTAATGTCAATTTCTGCTGGTTTAACGGCGTTTTTGGTGAACTAAATTCGAAATTTTGAGCCCATAAAAATCAATTGTTTTAAGAAAATCCAGAAAAAAATTCAAACCTGTGCGCTGCCAAAATCGACAAGCTTCACTATCCAGTTTCTCTTTGTTTGGAACATCACATTATGGGGATTCACGTCAAGATGGACGATTCTGTAAGGTGAAAAAGTTTGACGAAATGAAAAACCATAACTTATTTGAGCTAAAGCAAACGTTACCCCCTGAAGTGTAGCCAATGCAAAGCGCTGGCGAGCTGTCCGATCGTAAGTCGGACCTAGAATTAAAAAATCTCACTTATCTCAATCAAACAAAAAAAACTTTGTCCAATCCAAAATTGTAAAGTAAATGACATTTCGTACCTGTTCCTCAGTATAGTAGTCAATTTGAATAAATCTAGCAAAAACATCCTCAAATAACCGCTCACAGAACAAGTACATAAATCCATTGCTGAAAATCAGACAACGTGAGATAGTTTCGTTTCAGGAATTTTCTTCGGTAAATTCTCAACTCACTGTTGGTAAGCGGCAACAAGATGCTGAACATTTTCATGTTGAGCTTCTCTCAAAGTCTCATATTCACGCATAGTAGTTTTGTGGTCTGAAAATTTTTAAAAAGTCTACAGAAGTAGTTTTGAAAAAATTAGAAGTTTAACACCTGCGAAGCCACTTGAGCAATATCGAAAAAGGATTTTTGCACCAAAAATTGAGAAAGAAAAACAGCTAAGAATTGTTTGAAATTACTTAATTACTTCATCAAGAAAAAAACTCAAGTACATTTCTAAATTGTAGTAATGTAATGCGCAATTTCTTTTCAAAAAAAAGGTTCAAAAATTATTACCTATTGGTCTAATCTTCGCCACACAATGGGCACCTGCCTCTTTTTGTGAATCAACGCAGACTCTCAACACTGAAAACCTTCCTTTGAAGAGCAGGGACTCAATCTGAAAGCGCAAAGTTTGAAGAACGAAAAAATGGAGAGACCTCGGTAGTACCTGGAACCGCTTTGCTGGGTCCTCGTTGAGCAATTGTCCTGGCATACATGGTTCCGTTCTCGAAACTTCCTCTTCACTTTCTTCAGAAATTCCTTCAAGTTGATGACTTGAGGTCTTTTGAGGCAGGGCGACGACATTGAAGCGATAGTCTTGTCTCAGAGCGTCCAACTGTATTTTTGTTGCTCCTAAAATCACCAAAATTCTTCACAATTTGACTTTTGTCGAAATATTTACCTCTGCCATTGGCTTGGATAATCCTACTAATCAGGCTAGGTACTCCTAGACCGAAACCATTTCTGGCAGTAACACGGAATTGATAAAATCCTAGTGGTTCTAGATGCTTTACAACAGCAGCTTCATCATCTACGGAATCGCTGATAAGCACCCATGGGGAGAAAACGTCATCGATTCCTGTAAGGAAAGATTTGGTAATTGTCTTTTATTCTATTGAAGTTGTGAACCAACCAGCAAGTCGATATTCCAAACGATAAGTGATACCCTCCAGGTAGGTTGGGCCTTCAGGGGCTTCCCAGGTGACAAAAGCTTCAGTGTCGGAGGTAATTTCACATTCTGGACGACCTGGTCGTGATGGTGCTTCTGCAAAAGTTAAATATTACTTTACTTGTTATCAGTAGTGTTATAACTGAATGCTTTAGCTAACCCACGCCTTAAAGACAGCAAATATGATCAATTTATGTCCAAGAAATCAAAATGCAACTCTCCATACTCTCGCCCAATACCGTAACCAAGGACGCCGATCGAGAAGATTACGGTACTGGACAAGAGTTTAAACTTGAATTTCTTGAAAACGAATAGATTATATGAGCTTCGGCGTGAGTAATGGCTTTTCAGAGTCTTGCACTCAGCTTTTTTTACATGGAAGCTAGAGACCTAATTTGTCTTAACATTCCAAACATAATGATATTTCTAGAAAAATAGAATAGGTCTACCTCCAGTGATGAGTCTGCATGTTGTCTTATCACTACCGTATTCATTTGTTGCTGTGCAAGTATATTCTCCAAGATCGTAAACAGCTGGTTGATTAATTATAAGGCGGCATACGGATTGATCCTGAAAGGAATATTTCAGTTTGAATGGAAAAATTCCCAAAATAAACTGCTGAAAAAATTACAAAAAAAAAAACTTGGCATACCTTTTCAATACGGTATCTCCCATTGTTTTCCAAATTATTGCCTTGGAACTGCCATTCAACTCTTGGTAATGGGCTTCCGGTGACCGCACATTCAAAAATGACGAAGGATTCGTTTTTCAGGTAGACATCACGAAGGCGAGATACAAAAATGGGGGCATAAGCTGGAAATATACTTATTGGGACCAGAAGAATTGTAAGAGGATAAAAAACATAAATTTTTTGCATTTTCAAACAACTTACTCCCATCCGCATTTCTTCTAGTCGCACTTGGTGCCACCTTCTCAATATCAGCCTTGATCCTTTCGATAGCAGTCAGTGACGGAGCCTTTTGTAACGAATTTACGTGCTCATTAGGTTTTGGCTGCACACCTGTTTGCAGCTCGCGAAGTATGTCCGTATATCTGCAAAATTCAGTCACTCAGTTGCCGGTCAGTAGCTGTCACTTTGCTGGCGGACTGCCAGTTATCGTACCTTCGACGTTCTCTAACGGTTATGTCTTGATTTCTGTATCCTAGGAAACCTTGCCCAACCAGTGGTGCTCCATCACCAAACAATTCACGGCGATAGTCTCGTACGCGGCTGTTGAATGCAGGACCGCGCGTCGCCATCAAGTAGGTGTCGGGACCAATCTAAAAGAAATTTTTCTAGAAACTGGCAAATCTTTCTTGAGAGAAAATCTCGCCTGGTAATGTGAATCCCATGGAGAATCATCTACATCATATGCTGGGCGATCAAACTCCATGTCATCCTTGTAGATATTTCTTGGACGATATTTTTCTAATTCTTCTCTGTCAGCCTAGTAGAAAAGATTCATGAGATATGGACTCTTCGAAATGTACCGTAATCTACCGTAATCCCGCGATCCTCCCATAAGCCACCTATCTAGTTTTATGAAGCTTTTTGCACAAACAATTACAGTCCGCAAATCGATATAAGCCGTATTCTACTATGATCCGTAAAAAGGCCACTATCATAGCATTTGTGGCCCATTTTGCACAAGTAATTACAATCTCTAATTACCGCATTCTATCTTAATCCCAGAGGTCCAAAATAAAGCCAATTTTGTAGTATATATTTTGCAGCGCTACGAAAAATATTTGTGTCTACTACGACGCATATCTTACAACCTCACTGCTTCCTACGAATTCTAGCATACGGTATTTGTGCAAAAGGGACGTATTATCGATAAAAACAAATTCGCGTATATGAAAAAGCAAATACAATATATTTGTCATTATCAATGAACTTTTCAGCAGAATGTGCGTATCATAGAATAAATTACATATTCTCCACTCATTTGTAACTCAATATGGATCTGCACACTATGCGCGGAAACCGACGACATCCTTACTAGTAACTTTTCAGTAGAACTTTTCTGCGCAACAAACTGCAAAAATGTGTCTGCTTACTAAAACATATTCAATTAAATTAAAAGAGGCAAATAAACAGGGGAAATCATTGGAAATGAGCAGGTTCTCATCTTACGAGTCGTCGAGTAAGGCGCATAGTGTGCAATACGCATAATACTCTGCAAATGACTCGACAATGCAAAACCGTACTCATAAAAGTGAAAACTTGCAATGTAGAACGCAATTTCTCGATCATTTAATAGCTTTTTGGCTAGTAACAGAGGATACGCTGTAGAACTGAGAATGCAGAAAATAGCGAAGAACTTTGCAGGTGTAGGCGGTCTTACAACCCGAAAAAAAAGAAGAAATACGAGTGCGGACAATTACGAAAATAAACAGAGCTATCTTTTTTACAAAGAAGAGACAGCAAAAAATAAATGGCCAGAATTCCTACAGCTTTTTTACTTAAAAAACCACTCTAAAACTCTTTAGCAATATAAACATCTCAAAGCCGAAATCTCAGCGTTGCAAAGGCTCATCATTACGTAAAGTTGTGTGCTCGATCTGATACTAAAACACCATCTGGCTAGCGCTTCCAAATTTTTTCTCAAGCACATGTTTTGAGTTCTTTCCCGACTAGTTTCACATAGAGCTCTGTTTTGATGCAAAAATGAGGAGCAGCTGTCAATCTGTCTAATTCAGCTCATCGTTGGTTGCTCAGAGAAAAACTAGTAGTTGTAAATTCGTAATTTTACACATTTTACACTTTTCTACTACGAAAGTCTGCAAATTTCTGTCCAGCCACTTCCCATTGCTAGGGAATTCCCCATAAATTCATTCTTAATGAAAAAAATGTGATATGATAAAAATTCGCACAAACCTTTCTTCTCTCATCGTCCCGTTTCATTTTCTCACGTAAATCTTGGAATTCATCCTTATGCGTTAATGGTTTTATCTGCAACATGGAACATTTCAAAACTGCCAAAAATCGCTCTATATAACAGAAAACATGCTCCAAAATAAACCTTCTTCTTTCTTTCGTCCATTTTCGCATCTTCATCGTCGATTTCCGGAGCAATTTCACCCGGCGGTAAGAAGCCAGGTTTACCACGTTTCGTCGCAATCACCACCTTCAAGGATCAGTCAGGCACTTTTTTTATGAATTGTATTTTTGTCCGCTGGGAATTGTTCCAAAGGTCCTACATAAAATTCCGAAAATCGTAATGTTTGCTTTTATATAAGAAAAACCTAGTATTAACGACATTGTTATTTAGGGGAAAAGTGAGTGGAAAAATTATCAATTGGACTTCTTCACCACTTCTAATATTGAGAAAAAGTTACTGATAGGAAATTTACAGGTTTTCTATACAATGGGAATACTACGTAGAAGTGCCCGGCTAGTCCTAACAAACTAATTGAACTGAACCAGCCAAAAAGAAACAAATTATATCTAGCAAATGATTGGCATCAACAGAATAAACATGCGCTTAAACCTAATTTTGCTGAGACATCGTGGTCCGGGAAAGGAAGTGTGACATTATGCAAAAAAGGATATTCAAAAAATCAACAGAAGCATAACGTAAAGAAGCATTTTTTGCATACGTATCTGCAATAAAAATAAGCATAACTAAAAAACTCATTGGCTGCGACATTTTTTGAATTTATTCCCACTCACCTCCATAGAGTGTTCCCTTCCCGGAGATAGCAATACTGGGCTCTTTGTACCAGGTTTGGAACGTCGTGGCGACAAACCTTGTGGAGATGGTAATTTCTCTCTAAAATTGGGAAAAAACACAATAATCTCTTTCTTTTTTTTGTCATAGCAAATTGCTAAAATGAAGTACCGTATGCTTCATTTAACATTCCACTTTACAGCGGCTTCATTATGGGATCACGCCACACTATCGTAGAATTCAAAAAAGGCACTTACTTTGTCTCCAAAACCAAGGTAGCGGGATGGAGTCCTTCAAGGAAAAGTGGTGCTCCAACTGGGATTGATGGATCATTTTCAGCTCGTTCAAGTACCTGAGTAACAGTAATATCATTTTATTTAGCAACCCTTACTGTTATACCCTGATAGTTTTTGGCTTTACTACACTTTTTACGTTTTTGAACTTCTTTCTTTCTAACTGCTTTGGTTGATTTTCAATTTCTTTCTCTGTACTCGAAAAACAGATGAATATAAACCGATATAGGCTATTAGGTTGTGAAGGACAATGTCGTGTTTTATTTGCTTGCTATGGCACCGCGACCATGCGAACCACAAGCGCGCATGAGGGTGATACTGTTGAATAAAGCAGAGCGAGCTCTACAAATTGGTAACAATTCTCCCGCGCCAAGATTACTCTACGTGGAGTTGATTTAAATCTGAAAAGTTCTGAACGCCCCGAAATTGAAAAAAGGTTTCCGCCCAAGAACTTTCTACGGACCTTCCACTCGTACACATACTATCAGTATCATATATTCACATAAACAGTTGCTGTATTTTTTTTTCGACTTGAAAATGAGAAATCCAAATTTTCGTGATTTTTTAGAGCAATGCTGAGCTGTTGTGACATAAGTAATTCTGTACTACAAACCTTTGTAAGTGCGACTGTGAATTTTTAGACTTTTTCGAGCGCTAGTTTTGAGAAATACCAGATAGAATTCCCTTCTCTGGGTTTTTCTGCTAAAATCGAGATTTTTTGCAAACAGCACTCAAAAAAGCTAAAAATTTGGTTGCACTTACAAGGGCTCGGAGTATAGTATTACATATGTCAGAGCAGCCCATCAACATTTTTTGGACTCCAAAGGTTGGAGTTTGAAGTAGTTGGTTTTGCTCAATTTTAGAGATTAGAGGCTCTTGAAGGAACTATTTTGAAAGCCCGGGAAGGCTAGTTTTGAACGACCCAAAACAAATTTGCATTAAACAAAATCTGCTTTGTTTTCATGTAATCTGATTTTCTCAAAATCTAAAAATAACATGAGTCAAAAAGTTCAAAACTTTGAAGAAACTTTCAGCAGCCATGATCAAACATATTTTGAAAACACTACCGCTAAAAAGAGAAAGAAAAGCTGCGTCTAATACAATTGTGAATACTAGTCTATCAATTCTACCCAATTTGCATAAAGTACAAAATGGGGAGTGAACATTCCCCTTTGCTTTTGACCCAACCTAGGACTTGATAAAAGTGATCCACTGCGCATTCATTCTTACTGCACGAAACGATGTGACATTATTTAGTTTGTTTTGTCTCTTCGCCTTCGCACTCACCTTTTTAGCTTTTATTTTCTTTTTCTCTAAATTAGGATCCAAACATGAGATTTTTGTTTTTGGTTGTTTTGGGGGGCTGAGAATAGTGACCGTGCCTGACATCGATCCAGGATGACACTCTAAATCCCTAAAACCTCACGAAAACCGGAAATTTGAGAGCGAGGGGGCAGAAAGTACTCGAAGCTTGAAACATTCGCTAGCGCAAGTAGTGTGATAAGATGAAAAACAATGCGACAGGGAAGTGTCAGGACTAGTGAGCATCTATCATTGAGCACTAGGGAGATTGCAAGAAGATGTTTTTCCTAGGGAAAAAGCGGGAAGTTGTAAAATGGGTTCTGGAACACATTGAATCAATAATCTTTCTGAAAATTCACAGAGGACAAAACGCGTGTGGAGTGAAGTGGCACGTGAAGATGCTCCGGTGTGACGAGCATAAAGGATAAATAGAGCAGGTGCACAAGAGCAAATAATTTGATTATAAGGTACATATTTTTTTACGGAAAAGAATAACTCTCAATTTGGCACGTTTCCAGACTATTTAGAAAGCATGAATCCTGCTTTTAATAGCGACCAAGATGTTTAAAAAAATTCCGGTTCCAGAATTAGCAAATTTTTCTAAGAGACTCTACTTGAAGACTGATCATCAGCTCATTTTAGGCTCATTTCTCCAATGGCATTTTGCGAGTTATATAAACCCACTATGGATTAGATACTTAACTCAAGTCACGTATTTCACTTCTGGTTTTTTTTTTAAATTAGAGAAATCTAATTGCTTCATTTTGCAAAAAAAAAAGAACACGAACCTTGATATCCTCGGCCGGTAATTCAACAAATCCGTCATTCATCTCATCACTAAAGAATTCGCCTTCCTTCACAGTGTTCAACGGTGATATGGTAGGCGAAGAAGCTTCAGAATCAGCTCTTGGTGTAGTTGATCCGGATTGTGATCGGCGCTGGAATTTGGCAGGCTGAAAAAATCTTAGAAAATGGAAAAAAAGATATGTAGACAAGAAAGACAATTTTGCTTGAATAGAAAATGGGATAGTATAGGTGTAAATGTACTATAAGTTTACGGCATATAAATTTTATATCTGGCTAACTCGATCTCTGCAGATAAACAAATTAGGTCGTTTATGAATTCACTCAATGCAGGTATAAGAGAGATCTTCATAAAAAATCAATGTATTTATGAAAATTTCTCCGTAACACAATGGGGTACCCATGCAACGATTTATTCGTTTATTGATTTATTTGTTATTTACACCGAGGCCGACCAACGAAAAAGAGACAATGACACGAAAGCTCAAAAAGATCAGCGTGTCCTTCAGTTTTGATTTAGCTTATTCATTATAAAGGAAGTTTCTCCGTAATGATGCACACCAGAATGATTATGTAAAAGTTTTTCATTCTTCAATTATTTACGAAAATGCGGTCAGAAAAAATCTAGCTTATCTAATATATAAAGAATCGTAAGCGCAATTCAAAAATGTGCAAATAGCGGGAAACCGCATGGCGGTCCAGCGCGCGGATGCGATCCTTGCCTTTGATTACTGGTTCACTAGTCAATTAAAAAATTAGATTAATTATGTTATTATTCTAGATTATTTCCCACCTTTCGCAGCCTTCTGCGAAGTACTTGTGAACGTCTTAATGCCTAGAGCTCTTCAGCTTGCTTATACTTATGCTCCTATCTTATGTATCGTTTGTTCCCAGTAAGATTCCCACGTCATCTCGCTGCCTTTCGCTCTTTTGAACGTGTCAATCTCGGGCAGTTCCGTTGAAATCTCAGAAGAAACGTGTCAAAAAGAGCGAAAGGCAGCGTCGCAACACGTACCCACGCTGGTTCACATGAGAACTTTTCTGAGACACACAGGATAGCTAGCTTGAGTGGTTGGTTTGTTTTTCAAGTTTGTTCTGAATTCTTTGTTTTTTTAGTTAGGTGCATCATGAGTGTATTAAAAATAAAATGAAATAAAATAAAATAAAAGAAACACTTGCTACACATGAGAATAAGCAAAATCAGCAAGTCCCAAATCACGGAGAGCAAATTTGCCGATATCGCTTGAGTCTTCGAAAGTTACCATGAACTCTTGGGATGAACATTGTACCGATCTGACTCTAGGCATGTAATCTTATATATAAAGCTGAATGTCTGTTTGTCTGTCTGTCTGTCTGTCTGTATGTCTGTCTGTATGTCTGTACGTATGTTCCGAATAGAAAATTCCATTTCTGAACCGATCCGGACCAAACTTGGCACACATACACTACGGGCCCCGGCGGGTGTCATAGGCTACTTTTCGTCATCGATCGATATCGATTTTATCGATTTTTATCGATTTTTTTGCTGAGTTCACCTACGGGGCTGGGAGTTGGCACAGGGGGGTAATCGAGCATGGGGATTCCGAATACAATATTGGTTTTCAGGATTATCGATTACTTTTATCGATTTTATCGATTTTTTTGCAAAGTTTGAGCTACGGGGCTGGGAGTTGGCACAGGGGGGTAATCGAGGATGGGGATTCCGAATACAATATTGGTTTTCAGGATTATCGATTACTTTTATCGATTTTATCGATTTTTTTGCAAAGTTTGAGCTACGGGGCTGGGAGTTCGCACAGGGGGGTAATCGAGCATGGGGATTCCGAATACAATATTGGTTTTCAGGATTATCGATTACTTCTATCGATTTTATCGATTTTTTTGCAAAGTTTGAGCTAGGGGGCTGGGAGTTGGCACAGGGGGGTAATCGAGCATGCTGATCATCCCCAAGGGGGGTGATCAGCATGCTCGAACACCCCTGTGCCAAATTCCAGCCCCCTAGCTCAAATTTTCAAAAAATCGATAAAATCGATAAAAGTAATGGACGATCTTGAAAACTAATATTGTATTCGTAATCTGCATGCTCGATTACCCTCTGTGCAAACTCCCAGCCCCGCAGGTCAAACTTTGCAAAAAGATCGATAAAATCGATAAAAGTAATGGACGATCCTGAAAACTAATATTGTATTCGGAATCCCCATGCTCACTTCCCCCCTGTGCCAACTCCTAGCCCTGTAGGTGAACTCTGCCAAAAAATCGATAAAATCAATAAAAGCAATCGATAATTCTGAAAACTAATATTGTATTCGGAATCCCCATGCTCACTTCCCCCCTGTGCCAACTCCTAGCCCTGTAGGTGAACTCTGCGAAAAAATCGATAAAAATCGGTAAAATCGACATCGATCGATAACGAAAAGTGGACTGTGACACCCGCCGGGGCCCGAAGTGTATGTGTGCCAAGTTTGGTCCGGATACGGCGGAGCCGGGTAAGCCAGCTAGTGCTATATATTTTTCGCTTTTTTACACTCATTAAGGTAAGATTTATCACCTGCACCTAACCTGTGATCAAGATCAAAAGATCACTGATTAAATCTACCTCAAGCAAGTCCAAGCTCCTAAGTCCTGACGCTTTTCTGAGAACGAATGTCAGTTTTAATGTCCTCGTCAATCAAGCGCTATCTTACAACACATTTTCACCTCAAATCATGACAGAACACTTCTGCAGAGAGGCTTATGACGAACACAAGTGCAGCTTTTGGGTTTTCGAGTTTGTTGAGAAGAGCTCAGCATTTTGCACGTAATTATAATAAGTCATATATCGACTTTTTCCGAGAATTCCAATCAAAAGCAATCAATAAAAGCCTACCTCATCTTTCCTTGGTACAAAAATGCCTTCCAAATCCTCTATGCTTGCTAAGCTTCCACTTATTGATCCTTCTTCGGAGATATCCGACAAAATTCTGTTAGCGATTTCCTCTTCGATTTCACGATGTTCACCACGAATCATGCGTAGTGGAACCTTCAATTTCTTCTTTTCTAGAAATATCGTCAAGATTACAGTATTCTGTGCCGCTTACATAAGGCACTGCACCTTCGTCGAATTCATCTTCTCGTGCTCTTTTCATCTCTTTCTTAGATGGAGTTTCTCCCTTATCTTGTGGTATAAGTTTTTTCTTTTCTTGTCCTTTGTAGTCAGGAGGTGGTCTAGTTTGGTCTTCTGAACATGTTGAGGTCATTAAGCTCTAGAGAGATTAGTAAAAAAGAAAAAAAAAGTAAAAAAATGATCGTACGTGGTCTTGCAGGCGGAGGCTGTTGAATAGGGCGACCAAATCGATCTATTGGCACGGGTCCAAATTGTTTAGGCTAAAATGAAGTCTTGAAATGTTGTAGAATTAGGTTGTCCCAAAACTTTCTAACGTGAAGATACTTGCTAACTTCCTCTTTTTAAATTAGAGCTCAAGCTTCTACTTACCAGAGAAAAACAATTTTTACAAGATGGTTTCCAAAAATTCGCACAAACTATAATCCGTTTGGAGCAAAATATAAAAAAAATCTGAATGATGAGAAGTCGGGTCCATGCACAGAAAATTTTAAGGACTGCTAAATTGCACAATCATAAAGTCTTCACGTCAGACGTTCATATGCACAGTTGGTTTTTTCGATGGCCAGAATGGAGATACAAAAAAGGCCAAAAATACCGAAGTGTTGGCTATTTCGAGGTTCGTTATACCAGATTTGAATTTCTTGAAACTTAGCGCTTATGAAAGCTAAAAACTCATGGTCTAATTGACGACACCTGCTAATTCTTAATTTCCGTACCCTACAGTATATACTAAGTATTTTGTTACAATAAGGAAAAATTAGATCATTTGCATTAAGTAGAGAATCCCAACATGCTATTTTTTGTTCTCTCGATTGCTAGACATGAAGTTACAAACTGAGTAAATGAATATCTAATAGGCATATGCATATGTAAACTACATGTCTGAGCGATTCGGAGGTTCCAGGTCTTTTTTCTCAGTAGAAGAAGATTTTTGTGGTAAGCGAACACTTTCAATTTCGGCCACAAAGTTTATGTAGGTCAGATTTTAAGCGAGTGTTCGGAGGCTATCTTGTAAAGCCTGCATGCTCTATCAAATAGCTATGAGATTGGAAAAACTGACTTCAACAAGATATCAAAATACGAAATGAGAAGACTAGATATTTGTTCTCATGTCAGAAATCAGATAAACGAGAGGTTACGCAATTCGCTTGAAGATGGCTCTATTTAAGATATCAATATTGGATATGTTTGACTTAGGCAATCCCGGTGGGAATGAAAGAACTAATTTGTTAAATATTTTTGAGTAAAATCAGGTGCGAAATTAGTGGAGGGAAGGAAAGACAGGGGGGGGGCAGTATTAACGATGTCATTACTGCGGCATTTCAAGACGAGGTGAAAGTAAATACTGCTGGGGCGTGTGACTGTAACAGTCTGTTTGGGAACCTGAAACACGTAAAGATCTCCAAGATTTTGATTGTTATATTTCACGATGATAGCTTACTTTGTGACCGCATTTGAATTCTCAAAATCAGAATATATGAAATTTGACAGCATAATGGTTATTAAACTTATAAATGTTCGCATATGTATGGAATTCCTCATCAAACTTTCTACTTCACATGATAAGTACTAGAGTAAAAAGCGCCAAATCAGCAAACTGATTAAAATAATTTTGAAATTATTTTTCACCTGTCTCAGATCCTCTGGTGGATTAACGACTCTGCCAAGTTGATCAGGTGGTAGACGTTGATCAAGATCTAATGGACGACCAAATGAGTCGTGTGGGATTCTTGCTAAATCTTCTGGACGGAAGAGTCGACCTAAACACTAATCGATTTGTGACAGTTGTCCAAATTTTGCTGAGGATATTGCTTTCACTGCAAAACTACTGATTCTAAAAGGTATGGATACCCACTAAGCTACGTAGAGCATTCAAATAGAAAAGGAAGAAAAAAGAAATAAAACATGAAGAAAGGAAATGTTATCTGTGCGCTATAAAAAAAACTCCTTTGAATAAATTCCTTACCAAAACGATCCCTGCTAGCTTCTATAATTGATGGATATTTCGAAATACCTTTTATAGTACTACTACAGTTCTACAAAATCTACAGTTTCCCGTTGCAGTAATCTACACATACCGTATTGATCCAACGGGATTTTCTTCGGTTGAATCGGTCGACCGTTTTGATCTACGGGTGGGGTTGGACGACCCTGACGTCGAGGGTCTTGGAGTCGTGGATCGCGGGGGTCGAAGAACTGTGCGGCACGTGGATCACGGGGATCGAACGGCGGTTGCTGTCGATTTCGAGGATCGCGTGGGTCGAACGGTTCGAAACGCTGAGGAGCTGACGGTGGGAATTGCTGAAATCAAGGATTTATCGCAAATTTCATGAAATTTCCGCACTGCCTCAAAAAAAAAATTCATTGTTGCAGCCTCTCGGCACTTTTATTAGCGTAAAACCTCTACAAACCCTGTATAGGCCAATTCATTGCACGCAAATACAGGACGCCGGTGCGGACGCTGTCTGCGTCTCTCACAACAAGCGCTACCTCACTCCTATAAACTACTGCCCGCAGCGGCGCCCATTCTCTACGTGCACTGACTCGCCTATACCCTCTTTTGGACATGCGTATTAAATAAGTGAGGTAATTTTAAAATTTTTTGAACGGAAAATTAACCCTTGGATCCACTTGTTCACGTCTTCTACGTGGTAAATCTTCCACAGGTGGCGGTGGACGTTCTTTAATTCGAAGATAATCGTAGATTTCCACTGGTTGTGCACTTTCTGGTGGTGGACGCTTCTGTGGCTCAACTCTGTTTACAGATGGAGCCTGGAAAGAATTTTTTCGGCTTTTTTTCTAAGGAAAAGTCAAAGGAGTTTCTTACCAAGACAGCTTCCAAAATCTGCTCAGACGGCGTCTGTTGGACGAACACTCGTCGCTCCTGGAAATAAACTTTCGCTTATGACGCTTTCGACATGACTCAAACAAGCATAATGCAGCCATTAACAGATACTTCAAAGACACCACTGGCTCATTCGCGTCATATGACATGGCCAGAAAGGCTGCAGAAACAAGAATATCTCAATATTATATAATGGAATTTTCTTAAATCACTCGAAAATTTTAGAATTATATTTTGATATAGGCAGAAAACTCAACGGTTTACGAACATTGACATGTCTTTCTACTATCACTTTCAGCAAAAGTCTCCAGTGTTCGCAATAATTTCCCCTGATCTCGCTAAATAGAGATAAAAGGTTTAGCAAACACAGTCGTAAAAATTCTTCTGGACACCAACCCAAATAATTTTCTTTATAATCACGCAGGAAAACTCTGAAGTTGTTTCTGCAGCCTTGGGCCAAGATTGGTAAAAATCTTTACAGGAAAAATTTATTAGAACGAAACAGTATCGTGACATTTTTTGAGGGAGTAACATCCCAGCCTCAACAGAATTACCTTAATGCTTCATGAAAGTCGTAAATTCGTTTTTCCACGGTTAGCACTTTTAAACCCACTTTTACAGCATAAAAATGGTAATCGCGAAAAACCGCCTTTCGTTACCCATTATTCTAAGTAAAAAAGATACAAACTACAGTGCTTTAGTTTAGAACATAGTTAGGGCAGTTACCCTGATTTTGAAATCTTTAAGAATCATTGAAGCATTATAAAAAAATCTCTATTGCAAAATGGATCACCTACTCGTATTTATAAGCCCAAAACATGAACATGAAGAATGAAATGTAGCACAAAATTCTTAATGGAAAGTCTGGGAAGGTGAGTCTGGCATCTTGAGCCGCGATTTGCTAGTGACGCTAGAAGCTGCAACACTAGTAAAATTTTGTTCCTGAAAGATATGCAGCTGTAAAGTAACAGTAATCCCAGTGTAAGTTTTTACCATTCTCTGCAACTTTTCCAGCTGTAACAAGAGAAAATATGAGAAAAGTAGAAAAGTGCTTAAAAACAAAATAAAAAGTATAGGTCAAGCAGACATTACAGTTTCTGCAAGGAATACTTGTTCTCTAGAAAAAAAGCCTTGCAAGTTAGCTAATGATCACTGAATTTTTTGGCTGGGAGATTCCAGCTAAAATTGCCGAATTGATCTTATTTACACGGTAACAACAATTTCATTTTATATGAAAAAAGCGAGATGCGAAATTGAACATGTTCCCAGCATATAAATTTCAACGAGTCTCTTTTTGACAATTCTGTGACAGCTTTTTTTTTATCAAACCATATGTCTTGCTTCAACTTTCAGTTTCTATAATTTTCTAAAGGCTTCTAACATCAAAATTCGAGAAAAGAAGGGCAGAAGCAAGGTCTTATGTTGACATGATTAACAATGTAATGATTGCTAAAAGAGAAATTGGTACAGTATTCTCGTTATTTACCTTCGCTTTTTTTCAAGATATCTACCAATTTATTTTTTTATCGGTAGGTCGAGTGTCCTCGCAAGATCAACTCGGTTTGTGAGCAAAAAAAGTTTTTTGAACTCACTCAAACTAATCCCTTGTGAAATGTAAATGTACGTCAGATAGCCTCTTTAGGTTAGTACGAGAAGCTGGTAAAAAAATATTGATTCCAGCAGCTCATTGATTCGGCGATTTTTATTATACACATTTTATTTTCAATTTTTTTTGTTTGACTAATTTCTAATCTTCCGAAATTTTGAGCAAAACATAGAAATTATTTGCTCGCAAGTTTTAGCCTCCCACTTCAAAATGGCAGCATTTTTAGTACTACTGAGCATTACAACCTGCGCGAAGGATTTGTTACAGTTGTTACACTACTTCAGAAGAGTGTCTCAGGTAGAAAAAACTCGAAAAAGTGCGAGATATCCGATTTCGACGATCTCAATCAATAGCGAGTGTCAAGCCGAGAGTGAAAAGGTGCGATCGCAAATGAGAAAACACTGTGCTGGGGCATGTTTCAGCTGGCAGAGAGCGGCTGAGGAAGAAAAGTCGCGGATATCAGGTTGTCGCCATCCATCACACGCATACAAACGCAAAGCACGTTCGTACTAGCTGTTTGTTTTTTGCGAGAGCAGTTCGTCTTTTGCCTCAACGACGAGCGCTTAACTGCTCAGCAATTAGCTCCTCTAACAACGTTCGGGAGCTTCAATACTTTAGATGAAGACAGCGTTCAGGCAAATCTGGACATAAGGGATCTCATGTGGATAGCAATTTTAGGGCCCCAACTAAGCCACTGCCCAACCGGCAGCTCAGGTAGTGCTCCAAGGGATGAGATATTCTTCTCGAAACTGGACCCCAGGGTCGTAATTCGCTTGTATTCATGGCGCAACCCATCAGTTTCGCGCGAGTACCCACAAACAGCCATGAATCCATGCGAAGTACGATCCTGGGCTCCACTTTCGAGGAGAATATCTCAGCCGTTAGAGCACTAGCGGAGCTGCCGGTTGGGCAGTGGCTTTAGGACCCCAAAATTACTATCCACGTGAGATCCTCATATGTCCAGATTTGCCTGGACGCTGCCTTTGAAGGCATAATGATTGCAAATAATTGAAAATTCACAGTATTCAATGATAAAATTGAAAGCAGTATTCAAGAGCTCTCGGTCAAAAAAAAACTCTAAAATCTAAATCAAAGAATAACTTTTGTCGTACTCGAACTATTTTTTCGAATTAACCCTTAACTTCGAATTATTCCGAAAATGTACGCTCAACGAGGCAAAATTCGTGAGTGGCCTATGCAATTTGAGCAGTAAGTATACTGTAGAGGGCCAATTTGTTCAGATCTGCTTGAAATACAGTTGCTTCATTTCTGATCATGTGTGTCATTGCACACACAGTTCACCTTCGGCGTCCCCATCCTGAATTCGTGGGAGAAACAAGCCTTCAGGTAAGTATTTCCAAGGTGTTCTTGGCATTTTCTTTCCATTTTAGTTATTAGTCACCTCAAATTGATGTAATCGATAACAAACGGTAAGTCTCTCGCGTTTTTGCGATTGCAAATCCAGGATGAGGACGCCAAAGTGGACTGTGTGTGCAATGGCACACACGATCATATGAAATGAAGCGACTGTATGAACGGTGGGGTCAAAAGACATGAAAGCGAGTAAAGGCAGTAAAAATCGCAAATGTGTTATTTTTGGAATTTTCTTCCGATGAAAACCAATAAAAAAGCAAAAACTTAGAAGCCCTTAAATGTCAATATCAAATACTTCAAGAAGTATCCGATGCAGAATTTCTTCCTCTTTCCAGCTGCTAAACTCACTTTGTGTTTCGTTGAGAAAATGACGAGATATTTGCCGGAAATTACAATCACTCGTTTTTACCATGTCCAATTTTCACCAAATTTCAAAATTTTTGTATGAGGTTTTCGGAGGAGCTCTAATAACATTCAGATAAAGCAAACCTTTTGCCAACAGAAGTAATTTTTTTCTTTTTTTAGCTGGTTTTTCAGGATTTTGCTAAGTAATTTTTTGAAAGTCTTGTGTTTTAGAAGAATCGCATAACCTTTCATTGTACCAAACACTGAAAAACCTACAGAATAAGGTTTCAACACACGATTATTACTACCGCTACCATTACAAAGTAAAGAGTGATTTTCGCTTCAAATTGTGAAGATTTTGAAACATAGGTTACCTCAGTGCGCACTCATGAAATTGAGAAATACTGCGATTTTCCCCATAAATTTCGTAGAAATTCTAAAAGACAAGGCATAGGGCTACAAATTGCTTCTGTTGGCAAAAGGTTTGCACTATCTGGTTATTAGGGCTCCTCCGAAAATCTCATACAAAAATTTTGAAAATGAGTGAAAGTTGGACATGGTAAAAACGAGTGGTTGTAATTTCCGGCAAATATCTCGTCATTTTCTCAACGAAACACAATGGGAGTTTAGCAGCTGGAAAGAGAAAGAAATTCTGCATCGGATACTTTTGAAATGTTTGTTTATCTTCATTCTAGCGTGCTTGCCAATGGAGTGAAAAAATTGACAAAACTTTTGCACCAAGAGTGGCTTTATAATTATGTCCAGCACCGTATGGCAAGAATTACGAGTCCTAGAAAACCGAAAAAAGATTACTTCCAATATTAACGATGGACACAAAACTTAAAGAGCAGCAAAGTAATTTGAAGGCAGTGACAAGGAAAGTTGCGACTGGGGGCTTTCCACAACTACATGGCCTTCCGGACCTGCTGAGTCAGGTACTGTGCTTGAAATGTCAGAATAGTGTTTTTTGGAGTTTACCGGCCTTGCAGATTGCTGGAAAGGCGGGACGAGGGATTCCTGCCATGACCAGCAAGTGACTGCAGCATACTGTAACTTCACCTTTTTTGGCGGCAATTGGCTGATTAGCCCAGGCAATCAATACGATGTAGTTGACAGTAATCCCTTGCCCCGCCTCTCCAGCAATCTCCAAGGTCGGAAAACGCACAAGCACTTTTTTGACTTTTTAAGCACAGTACCTGATTCAGCTAGTCCAGAAAGCTATGTAGTTGTGAATCCCCACTCGCAATTTTCCCCAGCCACTGCCTTTAAGAACGGTATTTTGAAAATACAATATCTCAAGATTATTTGCTAAATGATGTCCAACTTTTTCACTTATTGTTTTCAACATAAGAAAAAAACTGACCAGTGACCTCCGCGTACGAATGGTCGGACGAAGCTTGACATAGTACGAAAAGATATGTTTGAAGCGAATGTGATAGAACAGTTCTAACTTGATCAGCGGTTAACAATGAGCGGGTTAAATTTTTGTAGAAGCTTTTCGCTTGATAATCAATTCTTTGCTAAGTTCCAGAAAAGCCGATGAATGGATTATAACCATATGCCGTGACTTACCACCCGTTTGAATGTTGGATGATGCGGCTCATAAGCAGATTTCCTCAGATTTCCCCCTGAGTGAAAGTAGTGCTTGTGAGATCTTTATGAGCAGAAATTAGGTTACTAAAAGTTTTTTTTACTTCTTGCCAATTCAATTCCCATAAAACACTAGGGCGAGTTACGATCAAAACTTTTTAAGCAATACCCAAAATTCAGAGCTCAAGATATAGCCTTGTTCAACTCTCGCTAGTTTGCAAAGCTTTTTTTGAGTTTTCAAACCGTTGAATTAAATAGATAATGGACAGCCAGAGCGAAAGCACAGGTTAACATCATAGACTTCACATCTTCCTAGATAGTTCGACAGGATCTCGTAGACAGTCGCAAGGCTTACTACTGAATATGATTTTATGTCCTGCAAAAATGTATAAAAATAATTATAACTCGAAAAAAGCTTGATGACCGACAAACACTAAGCGTGCACAAATGGCGATGTAAAGCTCTGACCACTCCAAAAAACAGGTCTTTGAATTGTTTGAAGCATTTTGAAGAAAGGTGCTAGAAAATTTATTGCAAGAAGTTGCTCAGAGTTATGTGCTACCATCAGAGAAAACAAAAAATTAAACACAAGTTTTGAGAAGAACCAGTTTCGCTACTAAGAGTTCCGCCAAGTGCGAAACTTCTGTTGCACTACATTTGGGAAAGCTAATTCCCTTACCTTGACGAATCTGCTTGGTATTGCATTTTTGGAATAGAAAATAAACTTTGTATAGTAGTTTATCAAACACAGGACACAGGAGATACATAGAACCGGAAAGCGTAGCGCGAGCTGGATTAAGTTAACAAAAAGAACGTTGCAACGTGAAACAGTCAGCAGCATGAGTGTTATTACTACTTTTTCTAAGCGTGGAAGAGCGCAATTTTGATGAAGAGTTATGTTTTTCAAAAAACAGCATAAAGCTCGTTGGGCATTGTTATCAGTCAGACAAAGGTGTCTTAAATATATTAGGTTACTGAATGCTCCTACTTTGTTGCAACATTACAGATTTTTTGTGATTGAAAATCACCGAAGCAGAAAATAATCTTCTTCTTTTGCTTTCTCTCTAGAATATGTTTATCAGAAATCTTAAAAAGTGCTATTACAGCCACACTCTCCACTTTTCATAAAATCAATATTGATGATCTGTCGAGAGAAAATTTTAGGAAGAAAATGAGATTTTTCGTGTTTCAAAAAGTTCTACTCCATTCTAAAAAAAGGAGTTCATTTGATAACTGAGAATAGAGGAAAAGAGATCTAACGCCCAGCTTTAGAGAGGAAGAAAATTGTATTAAAGCGGTTTATATCTGACCAATGTTCTGCGATGGCGATCAGAAGACGACGGAACAGCTTAGCGAAAAGATATAAGCAAACCAATCTTTTCTAAATTTAAGCCAAAGAATATAAAAGCGAAGTACTGAAGCCCAGTGTGCCATAACAGGCGTTTAGCGAAACCTGTGGTCATAAAAAAGTCATCGGTACTCATTAATTATATCGGCGATTCAAAGAAAGAGCTGTGAAGGCCTAAGAGGCAAAATTTCGCCGATTTTATAGCGAGTAAAGTGCAAAGCGGCTTTAAGATCACGTTAGCCTAAGCTCAGCGATGGAAAACTTTTGGATAAGAAGTTTATCATCTATATGAAATGTTTTTTCACTCACCAGCCATTTATGCTGATATTTGAACTCTCTCAGTGAATCCGCAGACAATGGCATGGTTTTCAGCTTTGGATCTGACAGCCATGGGTGCTCGAGTGCTTCATCAACCGTCATTCGTTCACTAGAAAAAAATACTTCTTTTCTCCAGTCTGACACTCAGCTGACGGAAACAACTCACGCAGGGATCTCTTGCAGCAAACTCTTCACAAAATCAGCTGCTTCTGAGGTGAATGATTGCCATTCCTCGCCTTTGACAGAATATGCACAGTTTGCTACATTTGCCAATGTCTCCTTGTCATTGTCACCATGGAAAGGTGATATGCCAGTCAACCTGTCATCCAAGAACATTATGATGTTTAAGTTGATATTCGTCACTTACAAGACATAGGTGAGGGTGCCAACGCTCCACATATCCGTAGCCAGTGTTAGCGGGTATCCCCGCACGATTTCGGGTGAAACAAATTCGGGGGATCCTGGCAAAATTATTATATTAGGTTACATCAGTCGCACTAAAACTTCATAGAATGTATTGGAATGTTTAAATGATTGCTTCGACCGGCATACTGTTTTCGTTGTAGAGATAACGTAGATTTTATTAGACATACTAAAATTTTCATTTTGAGCCAAATTTCGAAAAACAACTTCGAAAACTGCAGCTTTATAGAGAGATCTGATCACTTACGTCTGTTCAGTTTGCAAGAGTATGTTTTGGAACCCCAAACAGTGTTAATTTGGATATTGTCAAACCATTTACCGAAAGTAATTGCTTGCTTAAACGGATTTGCGCGCACTCGATTTTGCTAGATAGTAGAAAAAATTTTCTTCGTAAAAATTTTGTTGCCCTTTGATAATGATGGGCCCCTGAGAGAGAAGCAGGAGATTAAAGGCACTTCAGGTTCGGCAATTTCAAAATAGGCTGCTAAAACCTCAAATTTGCGATAAGATCGGAGCAAGCTATAATGAAAGTCTTTTGTTCCAGTTTTCCCAGCAGGGCAAAGTTGGTATCAAATGAGCATTTTGTGATGAGTTATGATTTTTGGGTAAGCAACACCAAATTTGTTTTTGTTGAATCTTTCTTCGAAAATCGAAAAAAACTTTCCATAGAAATGCCCATTTGATGCAAGTTCGACGCTGTAAGCGTTGGATGAAAAACTTGTACTGCTGCTTGCACCAATTTTTATCGCCAGTAGATTTTTAGCAACCTAACTCAAGATTAGCGAAGATGAAGTGATTTTATTCTCTCGCTTTTACCTCAAAAACTACACCTTATTGAAAAGCAGCAAAGGTAACATTACAAAGAATGTGATTTCCCCTAACTAGTAAAATCAAGCTTGTGCAAATTGTCGCCTGATCAAGAAGTTACGACTTTTAAAAATGCTGCGATAGAACTTTTGTACCAAACTAAAAAGTCATAATAAAAAATAAAAATTCCAAAAGAATTTTTGTACATATGTAAATTTTCCGTTACCTTGTATGGTGCCTGTAATCAGTCCACGAAGGAGTCTCCTAAAAAATAGAAAGAGATAAACATTGAACTCCTACAAAAAAACTTTGAAAATCAGGATTTTTTTTTACAAAAATGAGAATAAAAACTGCGTGTTTTTAAGCAACTTTGTAATGGGATTTTTTGGGTCGCAAAAAATGAGAGAAATGAGTAGCGCGCAAAAAACGAGATAAGCAGCGTGAACAAAATTTTGTAGAGGAAAGACAATTTTTACCTCGACTGTCCGAAATCCGCTAGTTTCAACTTCGTATCCTGAAGGAGAATCGTTTCCGGACGGAGATCCAAGTGCGCAATCCGCATGTCATGCATGTGTTTCAACGCTAGCAAAAGTTGCCTGAATTGTCATTGTCATGACAAAATTGTCAGTATGTCGATATGTCACAACATACAAAAATAATAAAAACTTACCTGACGAATATCTGCACCATACGTTCACGATCTTGCCCTTCGGGCTCACCAATCGACACACCAGGGTGAGCAAAAGTGTCGAGCAAGGCGCTGTTTGCGCTAAAATCAAAAGGACAAGTTTTCAAGATTTTCAAGTTGGATAAATTTGCTTAGTGAAAAAAATGTCAGAAAAAAGAACTAGAAAATGTACTTACAAACTTGACCATCACTTGAGCTCGAGTTCATTTTATCAACCTAACTTTTCTAGCAACAGAAATCCGTTCTTACTCCGAAGCATATTTCAAACCATATATTTTACTTAGAAAAAATTCATCGCTCACATCTTCCCAATCCTGTCTTTCCCATTGATTCCATGTATTTTTCCCGTCAGCATATGATGTAACAGACCCAACACCACGGATTCATTACACTACCGGTGAACAAACGACAAATCTTCTTCGTTTTTGCCCAGTCAATGATTAGCAGCCGATGCAGATAAATAACGATCAGAGGTGCACGATATTATTTCGGAAATTTAATGGCACAATTCAATTGTTGGAATCTACACAATTGTTGATATGGTGTCGTGACAGCGATGATAGAGGTTGTATGGAGCAAACGCTTTTGTTCCTCGTACACAGCACCATAAAGGATAAAAACGACAGTCAAGAAATTCAGAAATCACCCAGCTTCCTGTCGATGTTTTTCCCAATATAAAGTTACATGGGTTATATATGGCATGAAAAAAAAACAAATTCAAGATAGTTGGACGATTTTTCCTACAGTATTGACCTCGAGGCATGCAGTTGTGCCACGTAACTACGATGTAGCAAATTTAGAGATCAGTGACAAATTACAAAAATTACTACAAACTTGTAGACAATTTCAAACGTCTAAATCGGACATTAACATTGTCCACAACCGTACCAAAAATGATATTATATATTGCAATGCTTATTCTTCAGTGTCACATTGGACGCTTGAAACTGCACTTAAGAATGCTTTTTTAGAGAGTATAAGTCACAGCTTGAAACTTTGCAGAGAAAAATTTTCTAACTTATCTGAACTGTACGGATATGAATATCCAGAATAATTTCACAGTTGTAAGATATACGCAAACTATCACAGCACATCTCAGGCATAATACTGAGGTACTTAAAAAGTTTTCGAAATCGTATTGGAAAAAAATTTACCATTTTTATCTTTCAACATAGCTGATACATTAGTTTCCTCATCTTACTTTTGTACCTTCTCAAAATTTTCTATTCAACCAAAAGCTTTCAAAAATTGAACTTCATCAGAGAACAGCAACTGGGAAAAAAGAAAAAACACAAAATAAAAACGAGAAAGACGGGATGCGATTGGGTTGATCGCGGAAATCAAAGATTTGCAGACATTTCATCAAAAGATTTAGTAGTTTTGTTTGTTTTGAGACCATGCGAAAAGTTGTGAATGTAAAAACTAGTCATGTTACCTTTCCGTGGTATACTGGTAGTATTCGTAGACCATTTTCGGAGGAGGGGGAAGGGTGGGAGGCATTGATTAGTCTTTAGATGTGCAATAACAGAAAAGAAATAGAAAGTCTTGATTTTTTAGAAGTCATTGAAGAACTATAGAGTTGGATCAGCACAGAATCCCATGGCAGATCGAACACAGCCGAATCGGACCGTTGCGACGTCGGGTAGGTGTGTAAGGACGGGGCAGGTGCTGGTTTCCCGCACGCAGACGGGAGCATAGCGCTTGACAAGCAGCGCCCAAAAAAACAGCTGTTGCTGTAATGGGTTCATGAAAAATAGCCGCTAGTTGTACAGCAGCACGGCTTGACGATGTTCGGAGCTTTTTCGGCGACTTGTTTACCGTTCCTTAACGGTGCAAGAGCCGCGAGTGCTTTGGAAAACGTGAATGCACTTTTCACCTAACCGCCCTCGGCTAAGGAATGTTCAATCGTCGAGTTGATTGCACAGCTGCAGGGCAAGACAGTTAAACTTGCTCACGCGAGCAGTTTGCAACGAGAGAAAAAGCACGATTAGACTGCAGAGAGAGCTCAAAGAGGTGCGTTTTGCAACCTCCAATTATGAGATGTTTTGCATTTTCAAAGGACACTAATAATTAAAAAGTTATATCTTCGAAACAAGGTCGTATACAGACGACTAAGCATTTTATGTAAAAGTAAATTAGTTTGCTGCACTAAGGTCACGGTCATACTTCACGCGATTTCCGTCGCCATGCGATCTGGCAGTGTGCCAAATGTCTTTAGATGCAACACTTGCAGACATAATGCAAAGTCAATATACTTGATAGAATGCCCCATTTTTTGTACATAAATGACTGATGTGTTGATCGTTGCCCAAGCAAAGCTCAAACAATTTATTCAGCCTGAAAATGTGTCTGTGAAATCCCATCCAAACTGTACTCTTTCAGAACAGACCATTCGATGGAGGCTTTGATTGGGTCGCTCGAAAAAGAGTACGGTCTAGACAAGAGCTCACTGTTGAGATTGTTTCGGTCACGAATGACTCATGTAAGCTGATGCTTGAGATGGGTTAGATAAAGGCCTTCCAATCAGTATCTGCATGATAAATTTAGGCAGCCATATTTTCCGCGGCGAGCCTTTGAAAAAAAGGCAAAGAATGTGAAATATTTCTGTAAGAGGTAGTAGAAGAAAAGCTGGAAACTAGCTATAAAGCACACATGGAGCATTTTATGAGAAATGAATTGCAGGAATTCGTGAGAGCGAAGACCTCATGCTTGGCATTCGTAGAAGAAATTTATGCGATTTGTTTGACTCCTCTTTCATGATGCTGAAAAATTATTACACTTTCACATTTTTTGGTCAGAATTCTATGAGCTCTGAAGATTTTTCCGCTTGAAATATGTAATGCAGATTCGGCGGTTCAAATGCATAATTATCTGCTACATGCAAGGCTAACCACCTATACTTTATTTTACTCTCTCAAATTTTTTTGCTTTTTACTCTCATTTCACATTATTGAATGTTTATACGTCTGCGTGTTATCTCTATGCACTTTATAGCACAGTCTCAATAAAACTGAACTGAAACTAAAACTAAAAACTTATTCCTCGAAAGTTCAAGTTAATTTTTTTGAGTCGGAATAGCAGATTTTGAGACGGAAAAGGAACTTTCCTCGAAACAATGAGACAAGTTTTTTCGGAGTTTGTTTAGCCATGAAAACGTCATCAGAACTGCATACAGATAAGAGTAACTTTAGATGTTTAATAAAATGATTTGTGTTAAAATTTTCAGAAATCAGTTGAGCGCTCTTCTAATCAAGTTTGATGCGAACTCATTTCACTATCACATCAGCTAACCATATCATCATGATTTTTAAACAATTTTCTATGTTGTTTTGCAATAAATTGAAAATATTGCAACTTCCTTTCAAAAAAATTATTCTCAAAATATACAGATCCAAACAAAACATCTAGTAACTTACTATATGTTTTTGAAGTTACAATATATCACCCACCTCGGACGGAAATTACAGGTAAACGAAAAACTCAACGACTTCATGTGGTTGAGTTGGCGAAAAAAAAATCCGAAGGGCCTACAGTGTGATTATCGGCGGCTTCACATATGGTTTCGATTCGATGGAAGTCCTCCGGACTCGCAAAGAATTAATCACACTGTTGCGCAGCTGCGCATTTACAGTTGGTTCGGAGTTAACTACAGTTTCATACTTGGCAATGTGCCAAGATTCTGCACGAGTTTAGTTTTCTAGGGAGTTTATCTCTAATTCTCGAGACTGCTGAAATCCACTCGAATCAATATATTGACTGATTTGCCTATACACCTCTGTATCCTCTTCTGGGACCTTCAAGCAAGGTTTTGAATTTCCCAGGCCAGAAAAACAAAATGAGGTAATTTGATATGAACCCTCCCCGCACACAATCCCACATCCAACACCGCCCTCATTTCCAGATGTGCTTCTTCTCAAGACCGTCTTCACCGCCACCGCCACCGGCACCAACTGCAGCTGTATCTATGTGAGTTTTGCACTTTTTTCGATATACAGCTGACACTTATTGCTAATTGTAATATCTGCAAAAAATCTAATTACCCTAATTTCACGCGTACAAGGCGCGGGGGATTTTTTTCCAAAGTTGACTAGCCCAAATACGCCAAAGAACTTTGCAAAGAAAGGACCCTATGCCCTGCCGTATATTGCTTAAGAGAACCGTACGGCATAGGGATCGCTTTCCGAAGTACTTTGGAGCGGCTGAGGGACTTCGTTGAAAAATCGAAAAAGGTGCGCCTTGTACGCGTGAATTAGGGTAGATAACCGGATATCCGTCATTGTTGTACTCCAGGAAATGTAGTACAATTCTCATAAGGTTCCGTGATAAATATCAATCCAATACTGCACTTACGAGAGTTTTTGGAAGGCATCAGCCTTGCAGGAGTTTTTTTTTTCAAACCATTCTCTGGGTCTCCAAGCGAATGACGGAAAAAATTCGAGCAATTGAGCAATGGACGCTTCCTTATTACCTTATCAATTTATAGGCAAGTTCAACTGCAAATGGCTATTCTGTTCTCAGACCAAGAAAAGCAAAAAAAGAGATTTCCAAGATAAATCCTTCTGCTATAACTGAAATCTTCACTACCCAGAAAGTTACAAAATTGACAAAAAGTAATAAGCTGCACTGTAATTTTTGACTCCTAGCAGACCGTTTAAATCAAATCGTTTTTCTGTTGAATATCTACGAAACGAAAGTTTCTAATACTGATTTCAGAAAAAAATAAGTAGCTACGAATTTCCATTCAACAACTGAACAGTATAGAACCAATCTTAACGACTACGCTTCATTTGGGTTGGTATTTTGAGAAAGTTTTTGGAAAGAAGTTTTTTTTTCAATGATATTTGCCGCTCAAACATCGTAAGTTCATTATCTTGAGATAGTAGAGAGCTCAGCGCTTATATACATCACAATTCTGAAGCAAAGCTTACTGCGTCGCCGTGCCAAAACATATTAGGTTGTGTAATAAGTTCGTTCGCATTTTTTGTTTCAATTTTTTCTCAGTATTTACAGAGCATTTAGCATAGTGTTAGTATGCACTCGGAAGCTCTAACTCTGCTCTATCATAGTACTATCATTATCTTTCCAGTTTTTGAAAAGTTTAATCAAAAATTCGACTACAACCGAAGAATCTGAAATAGCCAAAAATCCATTTTCGACAACTATGTTATGCTGCGTCTTGAATAGGTTAGAGCGCATAAGAAACAGCTCAAAAAATATTGCGGCATGTAAAAATAGAACACTGTAGCTCCCGCAGATTACTTGTAGGTGCTAAAACTTTTTACAAATTCATACTGTAAGCTCAAAGATAGGTATGTTTTCTATGTCTCTTTGGCGTCAACGTTGAGCATCTGAAGGCACCTTTCAGGAAGGGTGGTAGCCGAACAATCCAGGAATTGGTTGTTTCATCAGTTGTTTTTCTTCATTGTCAAGATTTTTCAAAAATTTTTAACAATGAATGACGAGAAAACTAAGAGAGAAAAAAGTTGTCGAAAATGGAACTTTTGTCTTCTCAGATTTTTCGGAGTGTAGTTAAAATTTTGCTCAACTTTTCAAGAATTGAGTATATAATAACAGAATTTTGATAGAGCAGACTTAGAGCTTCCTAACGCATACTAACATTTTGTCAAATGCTTTGCAAAATATTGAGAGAAATAAAAAAAGCTAACGAACTTATTACAAAACCTAATACATAGTTCATACCATTTCAAAGCAATGATGCGGATAGCTTTTGCATTGTAAGCAGTTGAGTCCAGCCTTTTGATGCGAGGTTTGGAAAATGTATGAAGTACCAAGGCAAAAGACTTATCGTGCTGAAGGTTACATTTTTCGACGACCCATGCGCAACAAAAAAAGCGCAGCAAGTATTTCACAATAGCAGCGAGAATTACTACTCAGTCAAGTTCAGAAACCTATCCGATTCAAGTTTTTCTGTTTCGGGGAGAATCAAAGAAAGTTTCTGCTAAAGCAATTTTTGCAGTGAGAACATTTCCTACCATTTCCATTGTCCTTTCTATTGCAAAAAAACTTCTTGAGTATTTAAACATTATTAGACCGTTCTTAGCCCAACATTTGTCGATCTTTGCTCGACTTGAAATCCCCATTGTCCCAGCGATGCGGCAGTTTAATAGCTTTACTACAGGACCGCATGCCGATTGGAAACACATACTTCACCATCCAGCTGGCGTAAAGTTATTCCAGGAGGTGTGATTGAACTACTATCGGATGCCACACATAATTATTTGCATTGATCAGCTCACGCTTCGCATTCCTGTGAAGGATCTCCGTACAATTACAGTAATGCCTCGGTTTTTTTTGCCTCAATATCACTTTAGAAAACATTCTTAAGAATGAGTTCCATTCGCGTTGAGATGTGGGGAATTAGGAGTTAGCTGAACCGAGTAAGTTCTATTTTCACTTATCTTTTCTTTGACTCTTACAATCCGCCCCTGTTGTTGAAAAAAAAAAGAAATTTATGTGCTCATCATGAAAATTTTCGTACTCTGTCGTTTCACCTTTCTCTCTTCAAAGGAACGTCAGTCAACTTACATAGTTAGTTGACTTATACTTATCGTACTTTGACAATTTGGTGTAGTGCAATATATTAACCCACTGACGACGATGTGGACCACCGTTGGCTCGCACTTTCTGCCGCCAGGGATGATGTGGACCACCCGTGACCCACATCCCTTGCAAAATCATATTCCTTCCAGGGTCTAGTAATTCTTCCAAAGTTCAGTATTTTTTTCGAATTTTTTGTACTTCTGGAACCTGTAGACTTCTTCGTACAAGTAGATGACTGTAGTTGTTTACAAAATAACTTTAAATTCGTAAATAATCACAAAACTTTCCGCTGAAAATGTTGTACAATATCGCGTGGTCCTACAGCGCCGCCACGCAAAATTAGGCGTCGTTGTCAATGGGTTAAAAAATTTCTCATCCAGCTATGTATACATCTTTCAGGTCCAAAAAATATTTACACTGTAGAAAATCATATTTTTCGCTTTTTTCGGCGAAAGGCAAGCATTGTTCGGTATACTTTGACTTCATGGACTTTCTATTTTTTGTACTTTTGAATTTTTAAATTTCTCCATGTTTCTATTGGATCGTGAGCGTATTTCAACATATTCGAGAAGACTCACTCTTCGTAGACAATCAGTGCGAGATCGTCATCTTTGATCACTTCGTGGAATCTCACAATATTCTCGTGATCCACACAATTGTACATGTCTACGTCCCTTTGTAGCGCATCGTTCAGTGGTTTCAGCTGCGCCAGAAACTCGTCCCCAGTTCGTCGCTCGCGTACGCGAAACGGTGCACCACTTGCCGCAAGCCTGTAAATACCGCACAGTCAGTCCACTGCCATCCATTTCTGACATTTTTTCGTCATAATGCATTGTTTCTGCGTTTTTGCTGCATGTATAACGCGCTCTACAGCAGAGTAGAGCGCGCATATACATACAACGCGCACGCATGCGCAATGCAATATGACGTGTCAGATGGTGATTGGTCAGTTTATATCTGTTGTCTTGTGTTCGGACAGGACTGGGCGGTATTTACGGCTTGAAGCCGGGTAAATTATGTGCATCATCACGCTGTTTTCCCACTCGTGCGTATGCCACATTGGTCATCGTATCCACGTCTTGCTACCGTACTTCTACCGTAATCCGGCAGCTATGGATATGGTACTACTCAACCGAATGAATAAAAAACCAGGTTATCACTGATCGTTCAACAAAAAAAATCACACGAAATTTGAAGTTTAAAAATTTTTCCAGAACCATGATAGAGAAGCTCCACCACCATAGCCGCCTCGATTGCACTGTCAATAATTCTGACGTCAAGTAAAAGTTACACTCTGCCGACAGCCAATGTGCCACACAAAATACGAAAAAATGCACACATTTCACCCGACTATGACCGAGTCGAGCGACGAACTCAGAAGTCCACGTCCATCGGCTCAGCGCAGCCGAAAACCACCGTACACGCACGAAAGGACAATTTTCGTATAATCATCATCGTAGTTTGCACGTCGTCGTGGCAGCCAATCGATAAATTAATAAATCGATAAGTGAAATTCGTAGATCCACGATGACGTGACAATGACGAATTACACGATGTTGTGTGTTAATCTTGACATGGACCGACAGGACATTTATGGATTAGTGAATATTGATTTATTGATCGACCACAACAGGGCACAGTACGCGGCCGGGCGCACACGCTCCTGTTCGGGTACATCAAAAATAAAGAATCTCAGAAATAAAGCAACCATCCACATGACATGGCAGTAATCAATCAATAAATCGATTTCTACAATAAAAAGTGAAGTGTTACAATGCACAGCCGTATGGATGGTTTTACAATTAGCGAAAGCGACGAAATGGAAATAAAAATCACAAGTCAGAGCATAAGAGAGCGAAGAATCGATAGAAACGATCAATGTGAGAGACTTAGGTTTTCGAGAACAGAACAAAGTGAGGCGTGCGATTGTGAGTGAGGACCGCGACAGAAGAAAACACCACAATCAATGTCACGCTTCGGATACGGTAATTGCTGAGTTGGCGCTACCGTAGTAGTGTACGGTCAGTGACCTACGCTAATCGATACGAAACTGATTTCTGAGAAAAGATGCGGTTTGGCTTATAATCACATGAGAAACTGGTGCTAACAACGGAACAGTTAAGTGGCGCGATTTGCGCAGCAATTGAGCAGCAGAAGGATAGCGAACAGAGCAAATGGCAGAAGAGGAGCAACGATTGAGCGATAGTGAAGCGCACATACACATACATACACATATATCATACACATAGGTGTGCCTGTCTGTCTCTGTTTTGTCTGTCTGTATATCGCATATATACACATGATGTAATCAATCACGTTTCATCTTCTTCGGCTATCTCGTAGATTTCGCGAATCTTTCGGGCCTCTACCATTGCTCGTTTCTTGGGCAGTTCCACATCATTGTAATCACCATCAGCTGGAAGATTGGCAATAAGCAATGGAGATAGCATGCAAACCTTATTCGTTTGAATCTACGAATAGACAAGGAAATCCTAATTACAATTCTCAATTGCCAGTTTCTTCGGCCATCTCTGTAGAGAAAATGGGCTTGAACAGTTTATGCTCAAGAAAGTGTGTATGGTGGTCGTTATTAACATTGAATGTGATCCGTTTTAGACCGAAAAAGCATTTTTTCCTACGAAGCAAACGATCAGAATTACAATGCAACAAGATCTGCAAGGGAAAATGGTGACTGATTTTTTCGTCTTTTCAGGGCTCCGCAAGCTTACCAGAGCGTGATATAAAGATACAGTAGGGTGGATATACTGTAGATACTGATCGTGAGGCCCCAAATAAGCTCTACCTTAGCAACACTTCATTTCCTAACGGAGGAACTCTGCTCTAGTCCAAAAATTAGGGTACTAAGCAAGCAAAAGTTCGTTGCTCCTCGGCCACAAGTTCATTATACGAGCTACTGCGTTCAACGGCTGGATAGGGCCCCCAAATAAGTCTCTACTTAAAGGCAGCGGTTCGGCAAAATCAACTTTGGTATATTCATCGTTCTCGGTTTTCCTGGATGAGCTACGTCCGAAAGTGTGCTTTGCAGCTTCAAAAGATATCAACAACCCGCTTTTCCAGACGCAAAAGTGCTATTTGGGCGGACCGCGTATGCCTGCCCTCTAGAGCGCAATTGGCTCTTGAGTGAAGACACCTTACCCACCGTACCCACGAACCAATCGCCTGGAGGGCAGGCATACGCCGTCCGCACAAATAACAGTTTTCACGTCTGGAAAAGCGGGTTATTGATATTTTTTTAAAGCTGCAAAGCACAGTTTTGGACTTAGCTCATCCAGAGGAACCGAAACGATGAATATCCCAAAGTTGACATTCTGCCGAGCCGCTGCCTTCAAGAATATGCCCCTTTTATTCAACTGAAGAAGTCTATCACAGCCATACATCTCACAGGATAAAGATCTTTCAATCTTGAACACGCTTAATTATTTGCAGAGAGAAATTGCACTGTTCTGTGTAGATGTCAGATCAGTTTGGCAGATATTAATGCTACTGAATTCAAATGCGCACATTGTACAGTTATTGGATTGTAACACCTTTAAAGGCAGCGTGCAACCAAAATCTATTCATCCAAATTGCCATTTATCCTTCTAACATGCCCTAAAAGTAGACCAACTGCGTTGATCCGATTCCCTAATGTTGCCTACAAAAGGAAATAACGGACCTGGATCCTCTTTGCGCTCCGCCCCCTTTTTGCGCTCCACCCACCCACGCATTGTTTAGTGACGTGTTCTGACTTGATAAGCAACGTCTTGATGCAAATTTGTGATGTAGCACTGTTGCACACAGCGAGGTTCGCTGTTGCATACGACGTGACTAGACCCGGGGCACTCGTCCACGTCTGTCAAACTAGGGCTTCAAAAAGGGGCAACTTTGGAGCTTTTTGGCAATTTGAACCTCATATCCAGAGTCAGCGTCATGGAAAGGCCCGATAACAAAAAAAGACGTAATTTTGGATGGACGCTGCCTTTAATCACCTGACACCAACAAAAGCTCTGTCAACATCAAGAATTTAAGGAATTTTGTCTCGATTGCAATTTTTTTCGATTTTATACGACGAACTTCGATTTCCTGAAAATCACTAAGATTCAAAACTGTTTCCAGTCTTACTGGGAATACGCGTATTGTAGAAAGTGGATGATGACTGGTCATAGAATATTTCTATCATATGAACTCAAACTTGGTCTTTTACTGAAGCGTGAATTTGTGCGCCGTCTTGCAAATAATTTTTTCAAGAAAAGGATCGAGTATTCAACCAAAAACTTATGAGGCCTCAGTTCGAAGTGTAGTTCCTATCTTCACTGTGCGTAGTCAGCTTCTCGGGAAAAAACTCCAACCAACCTAGTTCTAGCACATAAACAATTTTCCATTTATTAAAGCGACCACAGTCATTTGCTAGTTGCCTACTATACATTAGCTACTAACCAATGACGGTATGGTAATATCATAATTCCGTAATCGCAGACTATCTCTACCTTCTACAGTAATCGAACATGACGTTGTCGCTTGTCCGGCGTCATTTACAGCGATGCAGGTGTAGATGCCACTGTCACGCCACATCGGATCGTTAATTATCAAAGAACGCAGGTATGGGCCATCTTCGATGAATTTCACTCGCGTCGACTCCACAATCGGTCGCCATTCCTACAGGAATAATCGATAAATCAATAAAACTTGCTCACTCCGCAAATTCTGACTGACCTTAAGCCATTTGATTTCCGGGAACGGTTCACCCTCAATACGAACGTCTAATTTCATCGGTTGTGCGTCAGAGAATATTCGATTCGACAGCGGTTGAATGAAGTTGGGTCGTACTGTAACCAATCGATATATTGATTAGTCTTTGACTGACTTATTCTTTAACGTACCGGCAAGGTCAACCATGATATTTTGCTGTGCTTCTCCATATGCGTTCGTAGCGAAGCATTGATACTGACCAACATTATCCTAGAAGCATATTTATGAAATCACTGTGGGACCACTCGTGCCAAAGGAAAGGGGTAGTGTAGGGTATACCATGTAACATGACACATCAAGGCTTACATTCGATAATAAGGAAATTTCTATTCAAAATAAAAAACTTTTGTTAAAAAAGTTGAAAATTTTTGACGTTCAAATTACAAAAGTTTACCTTTGTGAAGGAGTTGATCAACAAAGTCGTCTCGGTACCGCCAATTGTATAAACCTTGCACTGAGACATTGCGCTCGTCGTATCAATATCCCATCCTAGATAATACGATATAGAAATTAAATTTTCAATCAATTATTGATTATTCTACCCCTGAATTTCCATTTGATCTCAGGATCAGGATACCCAGAAACGTTTAGCGTCAATTGTAGCACATCATTTTCAGCACAGTATCGCTTCTCGATGACTCCGGGTGCGAACCATGGGGCACAAGCTAAAAAAAACATTTGTTTTCTAAGCACAGAAAGAAAAAAGAGAATTTACCGTATTGCTCGGCATGCGCCAGATCCAAAGCCTTTTCGGCATAAGGGTCCAGCAACGGTATGATTTTCTTGGTCTTCTTATCAAGTACTGGTTGAGGTGGAGCCATTAACCTTGAAAACGAATTATTCAATTGATTGTAAGGAAAGGTTCAGGATTACCTAGAGGGTGGCGATGCTGGTGATGGATCGGAAATACCATAGATATTCTCTGCTCGTACTCGGAATTGATATGATTTGCCTAGTTCGAGATTTCGAACCTTGCATACAGGTTCCGGAATGTTGTAGTCGAGCTGAATAATTCATGGAAATTTACTTCAAATCATTTAGTAAAAAAACGAGAAATTCTATAGAAACTTCGTTCACTTACCAACGTCCACTCCTTTTCTGGAAGTTCCCTAATCTCAATGACGTAAGACACTTGAGGATATCGTGGTGGCGCTCGTTTTGTTGGGATCCATGACAAGGTGAGGTAGTGTCCGGTGACTTCTTTGATAAATGGACCTCGGTCAGGTGGTGTTGGCAAGCCTGAAATGAAAAAATTTATAAAAACTAACAAATCAGATCTTTCCGTATTCTTTCCTACAAAGTCTCGAAATTTGTTGTTTTTATGGTGATTAAATAATTCAAGCTTCAATCATATCACAGTTGCAGCTCAAAGTAAAAAAAATTTTCGAAAGTATTAAAATTTCATAAAACAAAATGAATCAGAAGAAATTAAAAACAAAACTCACTAGCATAGTTAAGTTTCCTGAAGCCATACTCTTCAGTGAGATAGGGAGTGACATCCGTTGCGCCATCGAATTTGATATTGTCCAGATGAGGAACTATAAATTCGAATAATTGCAACGAAATAAAAAATTAGCGATTAACTATAAATACGAATAGATTCCCGGTTCATGAAATCTTTGAAATTTCCAAAACGCACCAGTAACATCCAAAATTGCTGACGATGATGCTGTACCATGCATATTTCTGGCTACAGCCACATATTCTCCAGCATCCTCTACTGTAGTTCCAAGAATGATGAGAGCATGTGAACCGCCACCACAAGACTAAAAGTAAAACCATAAACCACAGATTCTGTTCAGGACCTAAGCATTTATCTTACTTGAATTCTTATCCTTCCTCCTGGTGTTATTCGTTTTCCATTGTGCAACCATTCAACCTGAAAGAGATTTTTTGCGAAAATAGTATTAAAAGTGCAAAATGGCATGATTTTACTGACCTCAGGTGCAGGATGTCCAACTACCAAACAATCGAAAATGGTTGGCATTCGCGAGAAGACATGCTTGTTTTTGAGTTGTCGTACGAAGCCGGGTGGGAAGGGCATGCCGCCTCTGGACTCACAATTTTAATGTTTGAAATTCGAAAAATTTTGATGTGTAGATCCTACCTGTCATCTGGACCATAGCCATCAACTTCTCTTGGTCGAATTACACTCAAAGCACCTTCAGTTCGTGCTTCACCAAGCTTATTTTTGGCAACAAGGGAGTAATCGCCCTCATCTTCGGGTAACCTAAAAACGCAGAAATCTCGTATACCGCAATATGAAATTCAATGAATCAACTCACAAGTTCAAGATCACAAGATGGTGGATGCCTCGGTCGTCAGTGAAGAATACACGACGGCCTGTAGGACCTTCAGATTCGATTTCTTTGCCGTCCTAAAATTTGCCAATTACATAAAACACAAAGGTTTCAAAAAATATGGCTACCGTACCTTGTACCACGTTACAGTCGGAGTTGGCCAGCCAGTAACGCACACCATCATATCCACTACATTGCCCTGAAACGAAAAAGTCCATTTCTGCAGTAATTCGGCAATACATTTGCAATTTTGTAGGTTATATCTTTTTAAAGTGTATGTAACAAACTGCATAATATGCTAGAATCTACAACTACTCTGTGCCTCAACAATGAATAAATAAAATTGCAGCAGTGTTGATTCCATGGAGGGTTTCGTAATTTCCGTACTGCTAATTCGATCATCACTCTAAATTACACTACTCTATTCGTCATTATCCACAACCGGGAACTTCGGGAATCCCAGCACATGAAATGACTAACATTTGCGACACTCTGCGGTTTTTACCTCAATGATTCACACCCTATTCAAGGCCTCTCAGTCAACTGCAAACGTCTGGAAATCTCACACTACAACGCACTAGAACGCTGATTCATCGCACTGGTAAACATATTGGTGCAACATAATCAAATAGATTTCCACACAAAAGGACACTGTATTAGGGGAAAAATAAATATTAATGCGTGCACAGCTAGGTGTGGGTGAAAAAGTGGAACGGATATAAATACACAAAACTCATATACGTGAAACTTGTTCCCGTCGATTCTCTACTTTTTGAAATAACTTTCATCCTATAGTCACAAGCATACTCGTTTGCAACAAGTTTGCAGTTTCTGCAGTTTTAGGAAACTTTTTATCTTTAGTTTTGTACGCCATCCAAAGCAGGTGCAATTGCAAAAGTGGCTCGCAAAAAAAGAATCCTAAAAATTACAAACTTTCTCGAGTAACTAGCTCAGCTTCACCCATACTTTGGAAATTTATGAAATATTTTTAATGTGGTCTATTATCAAAACCTTGAGATCGCTGAGCCCAAAACAAATGAAATTAATTCTTATTAAGGATAAAATTTTTTCGACTGGCTAGCAAAACTAAGGTGCGATTCTCTTGCAATGGCTAGATTACTAATGACTCCAGCACTTGTTTAAATCAGTGCGCACTTCTTCAAAATTTTTTAGATGATTTTGATTCCGCAAGTTTATTTTACTTGAAACTGCACATATTCTACCACTTGCGCCAAGCCCCTAATTTGTGGCCAAGATTATTTCCGTGTTCTTATTGCAAACCCTGGAAATGCAGAATACTCTTTTCTTTTGAGACTGCATCCTTTTGTTTCCTTTTAGTCTTCCACGAATCCGATAAATTATTCTCATTACAAAAATCCCTGGCATACGGCAAAACGTCATGCTAGTGCATTAGCCCACGCAAATGCTGGATACATTTTCCTAATTTGACGCACTAATATGTCTAACCTGATTTGCAACGCAATCTTTATAAACAGTAGGCGCTAAACCTCCTCTATGGCATTCATTTCTTTATTTTAGCGATTTGCCCACTCAAACTCGCTCTCCAAATTTTATTCCTACAAAAAGTATTTCCCAGATACAACTACACCTACGTCTCGCAAGCGAAGCGCAAATAACAAGGAAGTACGTTTTGCAATCGGATTTTTAGTACCAATTTCACGCTTGGCTTGCTCCATCGCTTTATTGCATGTTGTAATACTTTACGCTCTATTGATCATATTCTATCGCATTTATACTTCAGCACCTTTCTAAAAAAGGATTGAGTAGTGGGTGTGATTATAAATTAGAGGCTGCTGTCTCACGAATATTGTCCGTTTTTACTTTTGGCCCTAAAACCCTCACTTTTTCTTGATTCTTAAAAAATCTGGGATATTTTACGTAAGACAAATCAAGTTTTGAAAAGTGGTTCAAACATTTGCACAACGCTCGTTTCACATTATCTTCAAATATAAAATCTAACAACTTTCAGAGGACCGAAAACCAAAAAAAAAATAAAAGAGTTTGCTCACAAAATTTCTTCTAGGGACCTCTAACGTGTTCACACATTGACAATCCTTATCTACATTTATATGCACAGCTGCTGCAGTTTTTTCACAGCTAGAAATTGAGAAACAAAAATAGACGAAAAATACGAAAATACGTCTTTTCTCACGTTTTCACGCTAAAACTAACATTTCTCGAAAGTTTAGCTTTAGACCAAAAATTTGTGGTTATACTTCTGAAGGCTCAAGCTATAGAACAATTACCTACATGGTGGGAACAGAGAAGCAGGGTTCTGAATTTTTTCGAATTTTTTTTCGAATTTTCAAGCTCGAAAATTTTTATTTTTATTTCAGTCATAATGTGGAACGAAGTTTGTGCGAATGTTTGGACACCTTGTTTGCTTTACTCTGTCATTTGGTATGCAGAGGTTCTTAAAAATCAAAAAAGAAGTTACTGAGGGCGAAAGACAACCTGAAAGCTATTTTACTAGGATAGAAGTCACGTGACTATACTTTCCAAAAACCTTCGATTTTTCAATAACTTGAGCATTTCTAATTTTTCGAAAAAAAAGAACTTCTGCATCTTTAACGCATGATAAGCTCTTGAAGTGCAAGAATGCTGATAGTGCAGCTAGAAATCAAGGTAAACATGCCCTGTTTACAGAAAAACCGCAATGTTTACAAATAAGTGCCCCGGCCACGTTTGATGCACCGCTCATTCGAACTTAGAAAGAAAAACTAAACTTGCGATGTTCTAAGCCAATTGTTGACAGCCACTAAGCCGTCGCGCAAATAGGCGCGGCGCCTAGCTACGGGCGGAGTCGAACTTGACTTCGGCTGCTAGAACAGCTCAATAGTTGGCTTACCATCGAGCTATTCTGGCATTTCTTGAGCCATTCGCTCTTGCCCGTTAGGGCCTGAATTCAATTAACACTGTACAAGGTCTTTCACATAACTGCATATTACACTCCACGTCGACCGCTTTTTGAAAAAATTGAAGAATTCTCCAAAACAGTAACTTTTTCCCGACACTCTTCTTTTCATGTTTAGGGAATGCCACCTATATCAAATTTCCTTCGACTTTCTTGAGCTCTATGTCTTTATTTCTGCCCACGAATAAACCTTTTTTCCTAACCTTTTGAAATGCAAAGCAAACAAAGCTTCATCCTTCCAACTTGCAAGTTAGCAAATTTCATGATATCTTAGTTGCACATAATTCTGAAAAACCGGCAATTTGCCAGCACGCAAATCGTGGGATTTCCCGCGTGGGTGCAGTTCACATATTAGGTTACAAATGACTCGACTGTATATATAGTCCATTCGAGGCAATTCCAAAAGCTAAGCGAGCACGAATATACGGCGTGCACGGCTATCACTCTGCTTTCGTCCAGGAATGCACTACATACAGGGTGTCCGTAAAGTATTTATACACTGTCTGATCGTTAATATCTCTTTTCCCAAGAAGTCTTTTGCCTTGCTTTAGGTACCATTTTGTAGAGCTGGCTTCAACTTAGATTCACATTATAGAGCGAATCGTCCACCTTTCTCCTTTACTGTAGGATTACGGTAGAAAGTTGAAAGAGGGTTTTGGGCCATGAAAGGCCATATTTCGCCTCAGAAAGGAGACAAAACAGCCTGAAAACTTTTACACTAGGCTAATTGGAGTTGCTGATTCTAATTGTAAAGTCCCCAACTTATTGTGAATGCTTCGTTGAAGAGTTATGCCAAGTAAGAGGTAGCGGCCATTTTTTCAATGTTCCTAAAAAGTGCGGTTGCACAGTTTAGAAAGCTTCGCAATCTTGTAAATAGTTGAGTATTGAACTCAGCGTCCATAAAAACCCTATTACACAAGTTTTTACATCTTTTTGAAAAATTTTGAAACGGCAGCTTTTTCCACATTGACACCATATGTTTCAAGTTTCTACCGTCATCCTACAGTAATGAAGAGAGATGGGTGATTCGTTCTATACTGCAAATCTAAGTTGAAGCCAGCTCTACAAAATGGTACCTGAAGCAAGGCAAAAGACTTCTTGGGAAAAGAGATATTAACGATCAAACAGTGTATACATACTTTACGGACACCCTGTATATCAAGCTCAGGGGCGAACTTGTGCAGTTGCACCAAACCCGCCTAGACTGCTGACGTTATTTGAAAACTTTTTAGTCTAGTCATTATTTTTTCTTTGTTTGCCGAGTGAGAGAGCCTGAGCTGTTGAGAACTACGCTTATTAGCTCCCTTGTTCTAAGATTCTCAGATTACCGTTTTTAATCGTTTCTATACGTTCATTTGAAGATTGAAGTGATCAGCATCACTTCTGAATGATGGGCCCATGTCAACCGATTTTTGGCTTTTCAGTTTGCCAAAAAATATTACCAAGCAGTCAAACTTAAAAGATTGTTTACATAATTGTTGCACGCTCTCTGATATCCAAGTTTGACTCATGATTTCTTTCCAGAACAATTTTTTTAACGAAATAAAAAATGCCGCAAACACAAAACCTTTGGCTATACAAGTATAGAATTTCATACAGTAGTAGCCAATGCGGGGAAGGTTTTCTGACACAAAAACTGCCGAAAAAAATCTGCTTAGTTCAAAAGAGTGTACCTTACTTTAAAATGTAGTACATAAGATAGCAGATCTTTGCTCACCACATAATAGAGAGCTGAGAAGTAGTGTTAAACTCATAATTTTACAAAAGTTTTCTCTAGAAAATGCTGCAAAGGAGATAAAGTTCCACTTTTCTAGCTCTGGAACAAAAAAAAAACCCTTTTTCAGAAAACTTCGAATTTTTCTCTGCTCAAAGGTGAAAAAATCCTACGTTCTCTTACTACAAAATGGAGCAAATCAAAGAACAAATGAGACTTTCTATTGAAGGTCTAGAACACCTCGTAAACATCAAAGTGTAGGCCACTTATGCTCAGGCACATATCCACTCGATCTGTAGCTATTTTTTACCCATTGTTCTCTCTTAATGTCGTACTTCACACTAGTTTGCGTTTCGGGAATAATTGAGCATCATTTACGTACCTGATGGATGCTCTGGTTGTAAAGTCCACGTCGAATGCGTGGCTTGCATTCCTCGGGTTCGGTCGGTTCCTCAATTTTTCGGGCAGCCAGAGAACGGTCGCCTAAAGCATCATAATGTTGCACTTTATCTCTTGAATTCTTTTATTTCCTTGGAATTCAACATTCGACAATTTGTAGGCATTTTGCTCTTTGCTATAAAACTGTCGCCATTATACTTCATTTCAGCAAAAGCTACAATTTTATAAGTACATATTCAGTACTTACTCCACTAGACCGCTATTCAATGTTTCCTCGGTGATTCACGCAAGGAAATCCTCAGACTTTAAACTACTCCAGCACAATGATCTCAACTGCACGTTTTCTACTCTACAGTATTCCAATAATCCAATTAGTTTTGACCGACTCAACATGTCCACCACGATGGCGACAAGATCAAAATGCTCGCACATGTTATTACGTGTCAAGGCGGAAAATGAGACATTCAGATGCGCATTTATACTGTAAAAGGTAAGCGGTGAGTCTATGGTGCAAATGCACAAAATATGTAGCCAAAAGCATTGCCAAGTATGGTCTTTTTGCATTGACTAGACATAAGCTAGAAAATTCCCGTATAATGAAATATTTTTCAGAATCTCAGATTCTTCTCACTTATTACGGATAGATTCCGAGTCGGAAAATAGATTTGTCAGATGTGAGTGCTCATGATTTCTCTTTAAGTTTCAAATTTGACGAGTGGAATAACATAAATTGAAAAATAATAAAAAGAGCTTTCCGTTATTTCTTTCTGCATGATTCACTTCCCCCCCCCGTTATTAATACTATGATCTTCTATTCTGATTTATGAATTTGATGCTGATTACGAAGCATAATTATTTTTCAATTAATTTATGTTATCCCGCTTGTCGAATTTAGTAAACGATTTTTTCCCAAACATAATCACATTCATATCTCATAATATTTCAGCACTAATGAGGCCACACTCAGCGGCATGGATTGATGCGCGAGCTAGGTTTGATATAGTTGATGGGTCAGCGGGACTATATGCTCCAGGGTTCGTACTACGGTGGCCTAACGGTAGGTTTTTATTGTTGCTCGAGGCCATTACTCATTTCCAAAAAAAGTAAAATCGATAAAAAAATATAGCAAGAAAAAATTTAGGCAAAATAGTTCGATATAATAATTGGGCTTACGGTAACGGAGTCGAACTAATCGACCGCGAACGAAAGTGTGTGCATTTGTTGTCAAATGGGGAATGGCGAAACGCAGCTTGTGATGCGCCAGCTACCGTAATCTGCGAGAAACGACTACATCGGCCTCACGTACGATACTGTTCAAAACATTGGCTCTATATGGATGCAACGCAATCGTGCTATAGAGCAATAACACGGACTAACATGACGATATTGGATGCTGATAACCGATGCTTTCAACTAGGTAGGTAGGAGCTGGGGTAGTGGAACGAACTACGCCAGTTTAAGCCGCCCCTGCGGACCGCTGGTCCTGCAATGACATGCAACAACATTGCAAAAGGACCAGTTGCCAGCGAAGGCGGGCTCAAACTGGCGGAATTCGTTCCCCTACCCGGAATGCCGCAGTATAATTTTTTGAATCTATGCATGGTTTCTTAGGAGCAGAACATCACCACGATGCAATGCTTGCCAGTATAGGAAATGAACTAGAAAATCAATTTGTCAAAGGTAAAAATATCTTTCTTAGCAAAAATTGATTAAATTCTACTAGTTTTAGACCTTGCCCGAGTGAAAAACCCATCTTTCGATTTTGTAATGCTTGGTGCATTTGGACGATCAAATAATGGTGTTAAATGGCAGTGGATGGATGGTAAATGAACTCATTCCTGGTCCCGCAGCGATATGTATTACTGTAATTCTCTCAGGCACCCCGTTCACTTATCGAAATTGGGATCGCGGCATGCCTTTTGGCAGGCGAGCACTTGCCGTTTTAGTGAGTTCAGTACGTCATAAGTTATAGTTGGTTTATTGATCGATTTCTACAGGTAATGAATCGACGGGGAAAATGGATCAATCATTATGCTGACCGCATACTTTCACAATATAATGCTGTGGCTGTTTGTAAATACAAGCCTTAGAAGGTCACACTTTCGTTAGTTCTTTTTCTCATTAATGATCTCGTTTTCTATGCATTTGTAACAATAAATATTGTTAAACTGTACCAACCATCAACTCTAAGCTCCGCCTTCGTTGACGCGGTACCGTACGGATTCGTAGCAACACAGCGGAAGAAACCTTCGCTGAAGAAGTCGACGTCTTTGATTATACACCGTTGTGTACCGTCGGGTAACGCTTCAAAGCTAATCTTATCACTTGGTGCCAGTTCGATTCCGTCCTAGATCAATCGATGAAATCAATCGATGATAATACTCAATGAAGTGTTGTTTTTTATCACCTTGAGCCATCTAATTTGCGGGAATGGATTTCCATACGGGACACACTCGAAAGTGACCGTTTCACCGGGCTTGGCTCGTCGAATGGTGAGGGGTACGGTAAATCCAGGAGCTTTGCCTTCTTTCATGGAAGCGTCCAGATCCGTAGGTGGTTTGCGTTCTTTTTCTAAACAAAAAATTTTTGTCACCAATCACGATCGATATTGATCGATACTAAACACTGTAGATGTGGGAAGTGGGACCAAACTAGGGTGCAGAAGTGGGTACGAATGAAAGATTAGCTATATTCACACATTGGACCTAATCTACCTCTACCAGACCTACCATCCTCGAGAGTTCCACCTAAATACATAAAATCGGGTTAGAACATGGATTTCGAAAATTTGGCAGCAGATTCTAGACAATTTTAAAAATTTCCCACAACCATACTTTAATACTGAGCTGGAAATTTGGACAAAAAGTTGAGAAAAATTTGATTGAAAAATCTCGAAAAAAGTTTAAAACTTACGGATCACAAACACTTCACAGTTTGTTCTGGCTGATCCGTAAACGTTCTCAGCAACACATCGATAACAACCAGCATCTTGTCGGCTAGCTGACTGAACAACCAATTCGCAAGCACCATCGGGGGAATCAATCTAGAAAAATTTGCCTTTCTCGATATTGCTGGACATTTTTTTTTAGAATAAAATTTACAAAATTGTAGGCGAATATTCCAAGAAAGGAGCAACAAAGTCAATTTTAGTACAACAGTAGTATGATTTAGAACATTGGAATAGGAATACACAGCAGGAGGAGCTCTAGTCTCACCAATTGTAATCTTCCATACGGGAACACTCTTTCACCATCCTTGAACCATTTGATAGATAACTTTTCACCGCTAAACTTGCATCGTAAACGGAACGGTTGTTTCTCAGGGACCTGAAAATCGTTCACTTACATCAATTACTTAGGTAGCCCATGTCACATACCTTGACATTCTCCAATGGCTCCAGTAGTCGTGGCACTTTGTTAGCATCAAATTCGTTAGTAGGGACACGGCGATCAGCATCACGAGGAGCACGTTTGACGGTGGCATTGCCTTTGTCATGAGCAGAGCCAGATGGATTCGTGGCAATTACTCGATAAATACCTAAAGATAAGACGATGTGTCGGCAAACCTGGGTAAATTTGGGTAAAACATTCATTGGATGCTACTTGGGAGGTCCGAGATAAACCACTGCTCAAGCAGCAGCTCATATAATGCACTATTAGTCCAGAAGTAACCCTAAACTCTAGCCCAACGTTATCTCTCCGCTCGGACCAATCACGGCACTAGGGTATACGGTAAAGTACGGTCAGGGCTGGAGTTCAAAGTTACATTTTTCGGTCATTAATGAATCACATAGTTGAGCTCAGAGAATGGTTTTTCAAAATCTCCCTAAACAGTTTCCACGTAACAAAACCAACATCCGGAAAAAATTTCTCCGAGCCAAAACTTACCCTCATCATCCATGTTACACTCTGGAATCAGTAACGTAGCCGTGCCGTCCGGTTTTATGCTGATTTGCACACGATCTGATGGTTTAATCTGCAAGAAAATATCCATGGTTTTTCACTGGTCAGTTTCTCATAGCTAGGCCCATTATCGCCACCTGTACTCCATCCTTGTGCCAGGTGAGGTCGGGTAGAGGTGAGCCTTCCACCTTGCATTCGAGTTTAAGGGGTTGGCCTTCTACAGCACGAGCATCGCCAAGGCGAATGGTAAATCTTGGCGGGATGGCCTTCGATGGCATTTGCGAGGGAAGCATACCATCTGAATAACCAAAAAATTCCATACGAAAAGAAAAAACAGCAGGCAACAAAATCAACAAAAAATCAAGTTGTTAGCAAAATTAAATTTCAGAGAGAAATATTTCAGCCGGCTATAAAAAATTCCAGTTTAGTAATTACAAATGTAAAACTTCTGCCATAAAATCCTCATATCAAAGCTACCGAGTGAAGCTCTATAAAAATAAAATCGTCTGCTCACCATCTATCCTGACGAAAGATTTCGTTGTTGCCGAACCAGACTCATTAGTAGCCACACATCGATACGTTCCTTCATCATTTACAGTAGCCGATGTTATTCGCAAATGATACAATCCCTTAGCCTCATCGATTTCCCACTCATATCGTGAATCTTCCCATATGGGACCACCATCCCGGGACCATTTCACCTGTGGCATAGGTTGTCCAGTAACCTTACATTCCAGATCGATAGTTCCATTAAGGAACACGGTCTGGTCTTCCAGCGGGATGATAAACTTGGGTGGGGAGCCCATTTCAAGCTTGGGAGCTTCTCCTTTGCCGAGGGACATCTGCACATGGGTGGTAGCTTGAGTTTTCGCCTTTCCATATTTGTTCTCAGCTTCACAGCGATAAATACCTTCATCGCTCATTGTGCAGTCTTTGACTGTCAAGCTGCACGTACCATCCGGTGAGGTTTCAAGGATAGTACGAGGAGTGTCACGAATAAGAGTGCCATTACGGTACCACTTGATCTCGGGGAATGGATCACCTTTGACAGCGCATTTCAAGGTAAACGTCTCGCCACGATCAGTCCACATATCGACAAGACCTCTGGTAAAGAATGGCTCTTCTCCCTCCTTCTTGGCCTCGGTCTTTGGCACTTTCACGGTGAGCAAACAACTTGTGTTCGTAGAACCATGCTCATTGCTGGCTACACATCGATAGGCACCTTCGTCGCCTTCGACAGCGTCCTTGATGTCCAGAGTGCAAGTGCCATCGTCAGCGAGGGTAATGTTAAATCGTCCACCGGATCGAATCGGTAGACCGTCTTTGTACCAAACAACACCAGCTTTTGGCATAGCATCAACTTTGCAGCTGAGTCGAGTGCTCTGTCCAGCGTTGACAGTCTTATCCTCAAGTCCAGGATTGAATCTTGGAGCATATTCCTTCCTTTCAACAACTTCTTCTTGCTCAAGCACTAAAATGGAAAACAGATAGAAACCTTTAAAATATTTGTAGAAAAGCGAAAGCTGGTTCCCGTCGCCAGAATACCTTCTACGGTGTATGTCGATCTTGTGTCAGCTACTCCAAGTGGATTTGTAGCCACACATTTGTAAACACCGACTTCATCGTGACCAAATCGTGCTATCCGTACACGACATGCTCCGTCCGAAGTGTTTCGAATCTCTACTAGTTCACTAGATTCGAGCTTCTTGTCTGAAATAATTGATATATTGATTGATCGAGTTTTCTAATCGGTAGTTATGGTCGATCTGCTTACCGTCCTTGAACCATTCAATTGTAGCTGTCGGTTTGGCATCAACATGACATTCGATTGATAATGGATCATTGAGCGGAATACGTCTATCCCATAATGGAACATTGAATCTGGGTGGATAGCGGTCATCTCCAGGTTCACGGCCGAGTCGCATACCTACAGTTTAATTTATTTATTTGACAAAATAATCGATTTCCGTCTTGCAAAAAAACGTCTAGAAACTAATGGAGAAAATCCGACGGAGTTCAAGCTTTTCGAATTTTTGTGAAAGGAAACATAAAATTCAATTTATTCACCGGACTTCGCAAACTCGGCTTGGCATTCGTCACTGCCGACGTCATTGAAGGCTTTGCAGCGAATTGTACCAAAGTCAGATTCTCTGATCTGAAAGTGTGCGTATGCGGAAAAAACCAGAAAGCAAAAAAATGAAGAAAACGGTGCTTACGTCCTTGATAGTGAGGCAATAGTTTCCTGCTCCCAGATCCTCAACAGTGACGCGATCATCCAATTTCAAAGGCTGATCATTGAGGAACCTGGGGAAAGTGTTTTATCATTAAACATATTTACCATCTAAGAACAGGAACTAAACAGATATTCCTTCTTGTATTTTATTACTTTTGCTAAATCATATTCTCGTCACACTTCTCGTATTTTTTAACTTATTTATATCCATATTATAACTTAATATTTTTCAAGTCATAGAAATGACCAGTTAGAACAACTCTATGATTTCTTCCGCACAGGACTCAAGCAAAATCATACCATTCAAGAGTAGGCTTGGGGAATCCACGCAATTTCACTTCGAACATCTTCTTCTCTCCTATTTCGGCTTCGCATGATCTTAGAGGTATAATGAATCTTGGCTTCGATGGTTCTTCACCCTTTTCTTTCACAGTAACCTACAATGTTCACATTTAGACCGTATATGGAATGGTTACAAAATTCTACCTGGCATGCACTGGTTTCTGTTCCCCCTTCATTTTTGGCGGTGATGCGATACTGACCATAGTCAGATTTTTTGGAATCATAAATGCGTAGGGTAGCTGTTCCATCGAGCGCAACCCGCATAGCGATGCGGTCATCTTTCTCGATTTCCACGCCGTCCTTGGTCCTAGAAAATCGATATTTGACAATAATCATTGGGATTTTACTATTTGAAACTTACCACACAAGTTCGGGGAATGGTTCACCAGCAACCACGCACTTCAGTAAAAGCGTCTCACCCTCGACAACTTCGGTATCTTGTAGTGGTGAAAGGAAGTTGGCAGGTTTTACTACTTCCTTTGGTTTGGCAGCCTAGAAAATCGATAATCGATTGGCGAAATCGAGTGCTGTCAGACTATACACAGACGCTTCCTTTGGTCATCCCAAGATCTTATCTTTGATCTGTGATCACGAAAGATACCGTACCTTTACGTGCGCAACAGATCCGCTGTACACTTCTCCCTTATCGTTGGCCAATGAGATACGGTAAGCCGCACCATCGCTCTTCTTTGATTGTGGAATCAACAGCGAATACTCGCCAGTCTCAGGATTTTCCTTCTAGAAAATCAAGATGTTCAACAAAAAAACTTGATAATTCAATGCGCGATAGCTACCAGTTGCAGATCAGCACTGGGAGAGAGTTCTTGACCATTTTTGTACCACTTAACCGTTTTCGGTATGCCTTCAACTTTGACCTAAAATGTAGTATTTTTCATTACAACGAATCGATCAATAAATGGATACGTACTTTGAGCTCAATTGGCTGTCCTTCATCCACATCGACATCTTTGAGACCTTCCAGTACTTTCAGAATGTTCGGCTTGGTAACAGTAAGTTTAGCGGAAGAATCACATTCACCAGCAGCATTTGCGAGAACGACCTGAACTGACCAATAACTGATAATTCAATCAATAAAATCCGAAAAATTACCTTGTAGGTAGCGCCATCGTCCATTTGTGCTCTGTTGATAGCAAGTTCGTATTTCTTTGGGCTAATCTTTTTCTGTTCCATATGTGGTGATGGTTTGAGCTCTTGGCCATTTTTGTACCTAAGACAAGCAAGATTTCGGACACCCAGATTAGGATCGTGAATGAGAACAAACCATTTAACGGTTCGAACAGGAGTAGTGACTTCAACTTTGAACACTTCATCATCATCTTGAGATACTTCGGTATCATTGAGGCCTTTGACTATTTCAGGTTTCTCGTCAACTTCTCCTCTAGCATCAGAAGCTGCCTAAAGTCATCAAGTGGACACGAGTAGTGGTTAGAATCAAAACGTAATATTGTCATTTTGCAATTTTGTAAGAAAAGATTCCCGGATTTCCTTCAGCAAAGATTCTCGCAAGATCTTCAGCTAAAACTTTTATGATTGATGCTTGATTCGTCTGAAGCTAATTAAGACAGGCTATTTTTTGAGAAAAAAAATCAAAACCAATTGTCAAATTATGGGGAGATGGTTTTGACTACATAGTTTCTAAGAATTGAGAAAAAATCACTCAAAATCGTACTTTTCCGGACTCGTTGACAGCTTCGACGGTGTAATGACCAGCATCGCCTAGATCTGCCTTAGGAATGGTGAGTCGATATCTGGAAGGAGGTACGGTGAAGGATACGAAGATGACTTTCCTACATCATTTTCTCAAGTGATAAAGAATTCTTTCCATAACCCTTCCTGCCTCATCGCTTTTCACGAGAGAAGGTTCTGACACTCACGTCTTATCATCGACTTTCTCAATGACAGCATTGGCTCCAGCAGTGATTGGTACGGAATCTTTTGCCCATCGGACTTCCTCAACTTCACCGTCTACTTTGACTTCGAAGATGAGTGCAGCACCTTTGGCGGCCACCTAAAACAGGTGTTGGTAATAATTACGTACGGATCTGGTCCCAAAATTCAAATTTATCTCAAAGCTGACCTGGTCTTCCAGACCCTTGAGAATCTTGGGCACACCAGGCTTGGCCTTCTTGACAGTCAGCTTGGCAGATGAGTCGGCATCGCCAGCAGAGTTGCTAAGGACAACCTTAAAGCAAAAATTTTCATCGCTTGGTCCTCTAATTATCGCAGAGAAATAAATATGCAAGAAAAAGAACTTTCGTTCTACACAATAAACCACGCACAGATCTTCCACATAAACATATTTAACTACCAAATTGAGACTTTTGCAAATCAAAACAATTGATTCTAGAAAAGGTATGTGAATAAACTGGTGAAATCTCACCTTATATTCTGCTGCATCTTCGCGAATTGCATTTTTGATGACAAGCTTGAACTTAGTGTCCTCTTCGGAAATGGCGAATCTAGCATCCGGAGCAATTTCTCTGCCATTTTTGTACCTAGAATTATATTTCTATATTGTAGAACCGAGAAAAAACCCGTTTGACAACGTTTTTTAATCAGATTCAGAAAAAATATTTACCACTTGACAGTCCTTGGCTTAGCATTCGTTTCCACTTGGAACTCAGCATTTTCACCTTCAGTGATTTCTTGGTCTTTTAGCGGTTTGAGGAATGTAAGCTTTGGCTCCACAGTAAGCTAAAATCATCGGATTTTCTTTCATCAAGTGTTTTACTGGATAAACTCACTTTTCCACTGCTGCTAGCTTTACCAGCTTCATTCTTGACTTCAATCTTATAGTCACCAGTGTCGTTAAGTGCGCATTTTTTGATCTGAAAGCAGCAGAAATTGATTTCTTCAATATATGTCATTGTCGACTCGAACCTCAAGTGTGTAATGGTTATCGTCAATTTTGGAAGCCTTCATTTGTGCAGCAGCAGCACCAGCAAGTTCCTTACCATCTTTAAACCAAGCAACTTCTGTGGGCTCATTCTCGGTCTGAATCACGCATTTTCAAAAATTTGTTTGTATTATTTGAATTTTTGATGCAGTACCTCAACTTCCCAAATAGTTGGCATTCCAATAGCAACAATGCGATCGTGGAGACCTTTCTTGATCTTGGGTTCCTTTGCAGGAAGACGTACAGTCAATGCGCAAGATGAATCTGCGGTGTTGTCGTCATCATCAGTGAGTATAACCTGAAATGTACAGCAAATTGATCAAAATTCACCTACTACATAATAAACCAAAAAAGTCCCTGGTGGTGACAAACCTTGTAGTTAGCAGTGTCATCATCGCTACTATCTGGAATGATAAGCTGATGAGTCTTGTCACCGACTTTCTTCTGCTCAGGTTTGTCTGATGGTGAAAGCTCTTTGCCATTTTTGTACCTAAATAATTACATCCAAGATTATTTCAATTCCATGAAAAATGACCCACTCACCATTTTACTTGCTTAGGAGCATGGTTTGATTCCACTTCCAGGACAGCTTTCTGTCCCTTGGGTACAGTAGTGTCTTCGAGACCTTTGGTGATTCCAATGGGTGATGGTAGCTTGACGGTAAGGGCACAGGATGAATCGGCCGTGTTGCCATCGTCATCGGCAAGCACAACCTGAATCACGTACAAATTACAGACGAGTTTAATGTCATAAAATAAGCTTTCGATGAAAATCTTACCCTTACCTCATTTTGTAAAAGTTAGAGTATCGTGCCAAAAAAATCGGTCTGTTAGGTGTAATTTGATCAAAAGGAGTTATAGCGATTTCACCTTATAGTCAGCTGTATCATCCTTGCCAGTGTCGGGTATGACAAGCTGATACTTATTATCAGCGACTTTTTCTGGTTTTGCTTTATCGGATGGGGCAAGCTCCTTTCCATTTTTGTACCTAAAGAAAACAGAATTTTTCTGTGGCCGATTGAGTCAATAATTCGTACCATTTGACTTGTTTTGGTGGCTTGCTGGTTTCAATCGCAAGTACAGCTTTTTGTCCTTTAGGTACGGTGGTGTCTTCAAGTCCTTTGACAATCTCGATGCCGGGGAGTTTCACCGTAAGTGCACAAGAGGAATCGGCTGTGTTGCCATCGTCATCGGTAAGAACTACCTGAATCACATTAGTTTAAATCACATTACTTATCGATGAAAATCTCCTGAAAGACAATCCCTAATAATTTCACTCCTCCCTTTGTCGTAAAACTTCCAGTATTTTATAAGAATCAGTACTAGAGGCTAATGAATTACATGATAAAACTTTAGCGATGAATTCACCTTATAGTCAGCTGTATCATCCTTGCCAGTGTCGGGTATGACAAGCTGATACTTATTATCAGCGACTTTTTCTGGTTTTGCTTTATCGGATGGGGCAAGCTCCTTTCCATTTTTGTACCTAAAGAAAACAGAATTTTTCTGTGGCCGATTGAGCTAATAATTCGTACCATTTGACTTGTTTTGGTGGCTTGCTGGTTTCAATCGCAAGTACAGCTTTCTGTCCTTTAGGTACGGTGGTGTCTTCAAGTCCTTTAACAATTTCGATGCCGGGGAGTTTCACCGTAAGTGCACAAGAGGAATCGGCTGTGTTGCCATCGTCATCGGTAAGAACTACCTGGATCACATTAGTTTAAATCACATTACTTATGGGTTATTACCTGTGAAATTTTTATTAGGGGTTATCTTTCATTCGAAGAGAATCTCGTGAAAGAAACCCCTAATAAAAATTTCACTCCTCCCTTTGTCGTAAAACTTCCAGTAATTAATAAGAATTAGTACAAGGGGCTAATGAATTACATGACAGAACTTTAGCGATGAATTCACCTTATAGTCAGCTGTATCATCCTTGCCAGTATCGGGTATAACGAGCTGATACTTATTATCAGCGACTTTTTCTGGCTTGGCTTTGTCGGATGGTGAAAGCTCCTTTCCATTTTTGTACCTATATGAAGAAATTGTAGCGGTTTCGAAGAAGCAAGCAAATAAAATTCGTACCATTTGACTTGTTTAGGTGGCTTGCTGGTCTCAATCGCAAGTACAGCTTTTTGTCCTTTGGGTACGATAGTGTCTTCAAGTCCTTTAACAATTTCGATGCCGGGGAGTTTCACCGTAAGTGCACACGACGACTCAGCATTATTGTCATCATCGTCGGTAAGGACGACCTGCAAGATTTACCTTTTTGCTTCCGTAATATGACTCACTTTTACTGATTCACAAAAATCCATAAAATCCACTACTATATGTATTTTTTGATTCCTTTTTTTTCAATTTTTGAGTTTCTGCATTTAACACAATAAAATTATGTGATTCACGACGACTAACCTTGTAGTCGGCTGTGTCATCCTTTTCAGCATCTGGAATGACGAGCTGGTACTTGTTGTCATCAACTTTCTTCGGCTGTGCTTTGTCAGATGGCTTGATTTCTTTGCCATTTTTATACCTGGATAAAGAAACAAATTTTTGAAAAAATGAAACTGTCTATAACTTCTGATATAGTAGTCCAAACAAAACTAGAGCGCTGATAGTGAATTACTCACCACTTCACTTGTTTCGGTGGTCTGTTGGTTTGGACTTCAAGTGTTCCCGTTTGTTTCTGCGGTACGGTAGTGTCAGCAAGTCCTTTGACAATTTCAATTTGTGGCAGTTTGACAGTCAAGGCAGCGCTAGAATCAGCGTCTCCGGCATCATTAGAGAGCACCACCTGAATTGTAACCATTTCATATTTTTATCAAAAATAACATTTGGCAACATAAGCAAAATTAATCCCCAAAGGAAACTGAAAACTAAAAATTGTCAATCATTTTACCTCCTGGTTTTGTAACAAATAAGGTTTCTTCGTTTTTTTTTTCCAAGAAACTAGTAAAGCCTTTTACCTTATAATCGGCGGTATCCTCCTTCTGAGCGTCTGGTATGGTCAGCTGGTAGGTGCCATCGCCAAGATCTTTTGTCTTCGCATCTGGCACTTCTTTGCCATTTTTGTACCTATAAAGGTAATGCATAGCTACCGTAATCTACAAGCTATCATGGAAATTATCGTACCATTTCACAGACTTGACCGGTCCTTTCACCTTCACCGTGAATGTCGCCGTTTCACCCTGTTTGACAGTGGTTGGTGCAAGACCAGAGACGATTTCTGGTTTACCTTTACCAACTTCAGTTGGTATGACGGTAACCTGAAAAATATCAACACTATGTTCTATTCCGGACTTCAACGGATCAAAGATATTGAACCAGCTTACCTTGGCTTTGCTCTCGACTTCACCGGCATCATTGCTAACTCTGACACTGTATTCACCAGCATCTGCCTCATTGAACTGTAATCGATAAAATCAATAAAATGATGAACACTGCATAAGCAACGGTTTCTAAACTAGTCAATGATTTACGTACATCGTTGACAACAAGGCGGTACTTTCCGTCGCCGGAATCTTCAGTGTTCACATCCTTGAGTTCTTCACCATTTCTATACCATTTCACCTTCTTCGGCTGTCCTTCCACTTCAACATCAAGGATGAGCGTTTCTCCCTAGGTTAACATCAATCGATCGATAATCAATCTACACATTGAAATTTCATTCTACCTTCGGCACTTTCTGGTCGTTGAGTCCTTTCTTGAATGATGGCAAGGAAACCTAAAATTCATAGCTTGTAAGCGCATACCGTAACCTTTTAGTATACAAATAAATACGGTACCTTCGCGGCTGTCTCCTTGACCGTTACCGTACAACTGGATTCAACAGATTCACTTTCGGTCGAAAGTACGACGCGGTATGCGCCTGCATCAGTCATCTCACAGCTTTCCACGGTGAGTTTATACTCAGCGTCGGATACTTGTTCGATTTTGGTATGGCTAAAATGACAAATATATAGTTAGAATAACTCTCAATGGATTGTAAAAATATCTTTTTGCTTTCTTTTCCCTACTTTTTTTTAATTGCTAGAGATATTTCAAATAAAGATTAGTAATGAATGACGAGTTCTATTTCAAATAAAAAATATGACAGGGCTTTCTTACAAAACTCTTCATCATACCTGGATGAAGTGACTTGATCTGTGCCTCTGTACCATTTCACTATCTTTGCTTTGCCCTCGATCTCGACTGAGAGTAAAATTCTCGTTCCTCTGTCGGTTGTGACATCCTTCAGCGGTTTCTTGATCTTTAGTGTTTCGGGAGCTATAACATTTTTCTTTTAGCTCATAAAATTCAAGAGATGTGTAACCAAAGAATTTTGCCTAGTAATTTGAACCCTAGACCTACCCTGCACTGACAGCGGTGCTTTGCTGCTCATTGAACCAGCAGCATTTGTAGCCTCAACGCGATAGTTGCCTTGGTCATCCATCTTGGTTTTGTCGATTGTTAACTAAATCAAAAAAATAAAGCCGGACAGTAGTCATTAGTTAAAAAAGCACAACTCTAAAATTTGCTTACCCTGTTGGTACCATCTGGAAGCGATTCAATTTTGATGCCATCGCCAGATTTTAGTTCGACACCATCTTTGAACCAATGTATGACAGGGAGTGGTGTACCAGTAACCCTGAATCGACTCATTTAAAAAATTGTTATATTTGCAGCCAAAAGTTCAAATAAATACCCTTCTAAAATAGAAGAAACTGCAAATAAATATTTTCATAGCATGAAGAACTTACTTGCATTCAAACTGTGCCACTTCACCTTCCTGTACTTGGCAAGCGGTGAGATCTTTCGCGAATTCGGGTGCAAACTGAATAAATATAGATTTGCTATCGTTTACAAAAGTTGAATCCTTGCAAGACTCACCTCTTCTTCAGGGAGTGTTACGGTGAGCGGAGCATTAGTTCGAGCCAGTCCGGCTGCATTTCGTGCTTCACAACGGATTTCACCGGTATCTTTGACCTGAAGGAGAAAAATCATTCTTCGTAGGTACTCTCCGGTGACCTAGAGATCAGCGTGGGAATCTTGAGACTGAAAGTTTTCTTACCTTAGCATCCTTGATGACGAGCCTGGCTGTACCATCGGCTTCCTTGGTCTGCACGAAATGCTGGTCAGTGGATGAAATCTCTTCCTTGTCCTAGATAATGACTGGTTGAAAAATAACATAATTGATATTTTTTGCATTCTTACCTTAAACCACTTAATCTCGGGTTGTGGCTGCCCTGCCACCTTGCATTCGTAGGTGGCAGTTTCACCCTCACTAATGGCCACTTCAACCAGAGTCTTCTCAAACGTTGGCGCTACTTGTGGCTTGGCTGCAACCAATCAACTTTGATCTTTGATCCTTGAATCAGTCTGTGAATGGTCAACCTACCTTTTACAGTAAGCGTGACATCGCTCCATACATCACCGTACTCATTCGATGCCTCACAACGGTATTCATCTGTATCCGCTATGGTAGTATCCTTCACCGTAAGTTTCTGGGTGCCATCATCAAGCGACTCCATAACAATCTTATCCGTAGCTTTGAGCAATTCTCCATTTTTGTACCTACACGACAATATTTTTGATTTTCGTACAGGAGGGAACGAGCTTACCATTTGACGGTTGGCTTTGGTTTTCCAGAGATTTTACCCTCTAGGACAGCAACTTCGCCTTCGACAACAACCACAGGGCGAACAGGTTGGATAAAATCGGGTGCTTCACCCTCTTGTGGTGCTGCTCCGAAGGCGGCGATGATGATCGGGCCTTCGGTCCAGGCGCTGCCCAGTTCGTTCTCGGCGTAGCATCTGAATCAAATTCCAATTAGAAAAAAATAATTTCTGTGAACGTTACGATTTCCACTCCTCCAAATCCAGTAGCTACTATAAAAAATAAGTCTTTCAAACCTGTACTCGCCAGCATCTTGCTGGCTAACTTCATCAACCGTCAACGAAAGCGTACCATCTTCTTTGAATTCGCTACGAATTCGTGTTGACATTTCAACCTGACAAGACCACTTATTTATTCAATGCCAAATACCATTTCGGCCTCATTTTTACCTCTTTTCCCTCTTTGGTCCATTTGATCTTCGGTCTTGGTTCACCTTTGACTTTACATTTCAGCACAGCTTGTTGTTTCTCGTTGACAGTGCACGATCTCAGTAGTTCTACAAACTCTGGCGGTCCACGGCCAGCCTTTATCTCTACGGCTTCTAAAATGACGTTTTTGAGCATACGCTTGTTGATGGTCGCGAAGGGAACTTGTTGAAAGATTCACAACACAGGCACAGTACGCTGTCGTCCTCACTTGACAACACAGGTTGTGTAAATGCACCGCTTTTAAGTTTTGCAGCTGAGTACAGAGGAATGAATTCTCCATTAGATGCCTCCTCCAAGGACCACTGTTCCTCACGCATTATGCAACAGCATGCGCGAAAGTACCAGTAGTCCACAGAGGTGACTTTGAGTAACGGAATGCGTTCCTTTATACCTGCAACCGCCAGAACTGAAAAAGTAATGCATATTTATAGAACGACTAATCACGTGAGGACGACTGTGACATTGTTTGCTGGTTAGGAAAATGAACAAAAAAACATGCGCTGTGCAGTGATCTTTGTGTTGATTAAAGTCAAAAAATCAAATTCACCCGCAGGTCGTGCAGTGTCCGGTGCAATTTCGCTCACATGTTCGCTTTCATCGGTGACCAACTCTTCGACGGAAGTGGCATACTGTAGCTTAGCCTGAGTATTGGCTTTTCCGGCAACGTTTACCGCCTCGCAGCGATATGAGCCAACGTCTTCTTTGGTGGCATTGTGAATTGTGAGTTTGATTCGGCCATCGTCCAACGTTTCCATAACCATGTGCTGGTTGACTTGGACGAGAACATCGTCTTTATACCAACGAATTTCTGGCTGTGATTCCTTGTTGACCCTGCATTCGAGCACTACCGTCTTGCCTTCTGTGGCTGTAGCTTCTTGCAGAGGTTCAATAAACAGGGGTTGTACTTCTTCCGCCTTGACCTTTTCAAAGTTGTACTTGGGGATTTTGATATCAGCCATGGTGATGTCTTTTCCGGCTTTGTTGCTCGCCTCGCAGCTGTAAGACCCAACATCGGTAACTTTCATATCTTTGATGATCAGCGTTTGTTGCCCCTCTGACTGCTTTTTGATCACATTGGTGTTGTCGATTTGGATGGGCACGCCATCCTTCAGCCAAACAACTTCGGGTTCGGGCTTGCCGACAACCGTACAGGTAAGTTCGGCTGGTTTGCCCTCTTCCACCTCGAGCGGTTTCAAGCCTTCGACGAACTGTGGCATTACCAAGTCCTCGATTACAGCCATTTTAGCTGCTGTTTGGCTTTCTCCAGCTGTGCTTGTGGCAATGCATGTGTATTTCCCAATGTCTGTCAATTGCGCATCTTTAATCTCTAGCGTGTATCTGCCAGTTCCATCTTCTCTGACAGTGATTCTAGTCTGATCAGTGTTAATCTTGACATTATCCTTGAACCATGTCAGTTGAGGCTTTGGCAATCCAATGACTGACACTGTCAAACTCAAAGTCTCTGTCTCCTTGACTTCCAATGGCTTCAACTCTTCCGTGAAGGCTGGCGCAACATTCTGCGTGCCAACATTGACATTAGCTTCTGTCCTTGCTTCACCAGCTTTGTTGACAGCTCTAGCCGAGTATACACCAACATCCTTTGATTGTGCATCTTTGATGGTAAGCGTGAAATGTCCACTGCCTTCAGCTTTTGACAAAACATGCACATTGTCAATGTTTATGGCAATGTTGTCCTTGTACCATGTTACTTCCGGTTGCGGTACACCTTCCACTGTGACTGACAAGTTGACGGTTTCTGCCTCTTTCACTTCCATTGGTGTTAGGAATTCTGTGAACTCTGGTGCCCGTGATTCTGTAGCTACATGGACGGTAGCTTCCGTTCGTGCTGTGCCAACTTCATTCGAAGCTTTGCAGGAGTATCTGCCAATATCTGTCACTTTGCTGTCTTTGATTGTCAGTGTGTATTGTCCGCTTCCTTCTTCTTTGGCAATCATGCGGACAGTGTCAATTTCAACTGGTCTGTTATCTTTGAACCATTCTATCTGAGGTGCTGGAGATCCGGTCACTGTCACTGACAACTTCACAGTCTCCGCTTCTTTGACCTCAATAGGTTGCAAGAATTCGGTAAATTGTGGAGCAGTGCTCTCTTTAGCAATATGGACAGTAGCTTCTGTTTTTGCCTCTCCTGCTTCGTTGACGGCTTTGCAGGAGTATCTGCCAACATCCGTTACTGTACTCTCCTTAATTGTCAGTGTGAAGTGACCGCTACCCTCATCCTTGGCAATCATACGAACAGTGTCGATCTCAACAGGCCTGTCATCCTTAAACCATGACACTTGCGGTTGTGGAACTCCTGTCACTGTCACTGACAATTTCACTGTCTCCGCTTCTTTAATTTGCATTGGTCGAAGGAATTCAGTGAATTGTGGAGCAGCTGTTTCCTTAGCGATATGTACGGTAGCTTCAGTTCTAGCTTCTCCAACTTCGTTCACAGCTTTACAGCTATATTTGCCAATGTCTGTTGCTGTGACATTCTGAATAGTCAAAGTGTAGCTGCCATGACCTTCGTCTTTGACAATGGTGCGCACTGTGTCAATCTCCACTGGTCGGTCATCCTTGAACCAAGACACCTGTGGTTGTGGCACTCCGGTCACTGTCACTGACAACTTCACAGTTTCCGTCTCCTTTACTTCCATAGGTCTGAGGAATTCCGTGAATTGTGGTGCAGCAGTTTCCTTGGCAATGTGAACAGTAGCTTCAGTACGAGCTTCTCCAGCCGCATTTACAGCTTTGCATGAATATCTGCCAACGTCTGTCACTTTGCTGTCTTTGATTATCAGTGTGTAATGTCCACTGCCCTCATCTTTGACAATCGTGCGCACAGCGTCGATTTCCACTGGTCTGTCATCCTTGTACCATGACACCTGTGGCTGTGGTGTTCCAGTCACTGTCACTGACAGTTGTACCGCTTCTGTCTCCTTAATCTCCACGGGTCGCAAAGATTCTGTGAATTGAGGTGCTTCCATGGTCTTGACGACCGCGAAATTGGCCGAGCATTCAGCTGTTCCAGCAACATTCCTGGCTTCGCAGCTGTATTTTCCAGCATCTTCCATACGAGCAGAGTGGATGGTGATTGAGTAATTCTGCTCGCTTTCTTTTTTGGAAATGATGTGAGTGTTGTCGATGTTGACTGGCTGGCCATCCTTCATCCAAACGATTTCTGGAGTCGGCGTGCCTTGTACGGTAACGCTCAACGTTGCTGTTTCATTCACTTTCACTTCAGTGGAGACGAGTTCCTTGATGAATGTAGGTTTCTGCAGCGCTTGCGTTACCGTAACCTCAGCGGTGCTTTGTACGCAACCGGCTGTGTTCTCCGCCTTCACGGCGTAATGGCCAGCATCGGTAAGGCTAGATTCCTTGATGATGAGCGTGTAAGTCTGCGTCGTTTCTTCTTTTCTAATCTCATGCATTGAGTCGCTTGTGACTTGTTTGCCATCTTTGAACCAAGTGACTTCTGGCGCCGTGCCAAGAACTTTCACTTCCATTCTGATTTCTTCCTTCTCCGTCACAGTAGTGCTCTTCAAGCCTTTCTCGAATGTTGGCGAAATGCCCTTCTCGACTACGGTAGCCTCGGATATTGCACTGCCTACAGCATTCTTTGCGACCGCGTGATATTTTCCCAAATCTTCCTTCGAGCTTTGCTTCACTAGCATTCTCCAATGCGTATTTGTCGCATCGTGTTCGATCGATACATGTTGGGATGACGTCATTTTCGTAGATTCGTGATAGAACTCAACACTTGGTTGTGGTACGCCTTTTACGGAACAGAATAACACCAGTTGTTCACCGATTGATATCGATTGATCCGTGAGCGATTTTGTGAATGTAGGTGCGATTGGTGCTGGAATGCAGTTAGTTGAGTGGGTTGCACAGACAAAAACACACGTGTGCATCGTCTTGAGGGTAGATCAAAGTCAAAGCAACCGGTTTATTGATCGAATTTTCCAGGAAATTTTCACAAGATTTCTCTACAGTTGATCAACCCCCTCAACGATGTTGATTTGACAAAAACAAGAAAAAATTTGAGTTCACTAAGTGATGTGCTACATTGATGGTGCAAGAACAATGAAACTTGTAAATTGTAAAACACTCGGGAAAAATTTGTAAATAAAAATTGAAATGTGAAATGTTTGCCAAAGGTATGGTTGTCCTCTGTTTTAATGAAAACATGAAAAAAAAAATAAATGAAAAAATAGAATAAAAAATGAATCCAAAAAATTACCGTAAACTTCCAGCTTGGCTTCCGTTCGGCTAGAGCCAGCAACATTTTCGGCCACACAACTGTACTTGCCTTCGTGTTTGGTCTGTAAAAAATAAATTTCATCGTGTTATAGTTGTTCTGCCTTGGAAAAAATAGATCAAAACTGGTCATGCGCAAAATCTGCGCGATTTTGTAAATCAGTAGAAAATATCTAATAAAAGTAGAGCTTTAATTTATAGAATTTCAAAAAGCAATTAGTTTCGCAAAATTTCGAAAAAGTAAAATTCTTGCCTCAGTAGTAGTGATGACAAGCCGTTGTACACCCTCTTCACTTTCGATGATCACTTCCTTAGCGGATTCTTCGAGAACTTTCTGAATTACATCTAGCGTCAGAAAAATAATGTAATAATCGATAAGGATAAAACTCACATTGTTATGATACCAAACGACATTTGGCTCCGGTTGACCAACAACTTTGCACTCAAATGTGACTTTGTCCGAGACTTTCGTAACTTTGTCTTGCAGTTGTACAACGAATTCTGGAGCTCTATCGGGGATTTTCTCGATATCTTCTGGAAATACCACATGAATTAGTTGACCAGCCAAAATCGATATATTGATTTTCTACATTCAAGCCACTGACCAACAACAGTAAGAGTTGCTTCACACATATCACGGCCGGCACTATTTTCGACGATTACGGTGTACTTGCCAGCATCTTCGGGACGCACATCCTCTGAAAAATTATTTGATAGCGATCTTTCCATTATTGATATTGTAGCTGTAGTTCAATAGATCTTCACAAAAGTTCTAATGTATCAAATTCCTTTACTTTTGAGGATTGTAATTTGGATTCCCCCACACTATCTACTTTATCTCTCGTTTATATCTATTCGTGGGTTCAAAAAATCATTCAATCAATAATCTCACCAATGATCAATTCTTGTGTGATGTGTCCCTCGATTGTTCTTGACTGTACACGTATTCGTGCGATTAGCTCAATCTCCTTGCCGTCTTTCAGCCTAAAATGACCAATCGATTTATCGATGGTTTCCAAATCAATACGTACCATTTACATACAACTCCTTTTGTGTCAGGAACCACACATTCGAATACAGCTTCATGTCCTCGTTTAGCTCGAGAATCCTTGATTTTAGTGATGAATTTCGGTGCCATCACAGGTGTTGGCGTGCGTTGATACTCTTCACGAAGTGATTCGTCGTCAGTGAGAGTTAGCTCGTCAGCAATAACCTAATAATTCATCCGTTATTGTAGTTTGAAGTAATTAATCAATATATCGATTGACACTTACCTCTTCAGCCTGGGCTTCCGATTCGCTTTCGCTAAACATTTCGCTGGTATAGGTGGCCATATTAGCCGTGCAAGAGACTTCACCAGCATCATTTTCAGCCTAAAATCATAGTAAGTCAATAGAAAATATCATTTTTCAAAATCAACAACCTTGCAAATGATTTCTCCGACGTCGGTTTCCGGATTGAAATTATTGATCGTAAGGGTGGAAGTCTTATCATCGGTCACGATGGTAATTTTTTCAGAATTCTTGACTTCTTGGTTATTGATGTACCAAGTCAACACAGGCTTAGGATCTCCAGTGAAGACCACCTGGAACAATTTACTCAGTTGATTACACCAGATAATCAATAAATCATTATCAATAAATCGATAAATTGATTAAATTGATTACTTTGTGAACTACTTTGGATCCCTGACGAGCGCGCACATTACTAAGCCACTCAATGAAATCTGGTGGTTCTCCACGTGGAAGCACCAACAGCATCGCTTCGCTAGAGGCTTTACCGTATTCGTTTACGGCTTCACAGACGACCTATAACAATGACTTTTGAAGATAAGAAAAAACAATTTCCTCTTCTACTGGCTCTAATTTTTCAAGCAACAAAAAATAGGGATTTTGTGAACGTCATACCTTGCCGCTATAATCACAAGTAATGTCTTTGATAGTGACTGTGTAGGTTCCTTTCTCTGCATGAATCTTGATGTTCTGCGTCTCCTCAAGCTTTTTGCCATTCACATACCTAAAATAGTATGCAATTTCCTCTTCTACTTCTTTAATTTTCCCAAACCTTCTATACTCTATTAAACTCAATATTTGAAATTTACAAGATTATAAAAAGAGTTCTGCACTCACCATGACACGACTGGTGTTGGTTCTCCAAGTAAGACAGCCTTGAGCTTCAAAGTATCTCCTTCACGGCAGGTGGCATCGCAAAGAGCAGTTTCGAACTCGACTGGGATAGGTGCAACTACTTTAAGCTCGCCTTCGGTCGTGGCTTCACCCATCTAGATTGAAAAAGTTGGAGTTCAAAAAGACATCGAGTTTATTACAACAAAAAACTTTGCAGATCACCTGACAAAGAAAAGAAAACTGTTAGATGGGCGATACTAAAATTTACGATACTTATAATATTTACAACTAGAATCTTGCTTACCTTGTTATAAGCCACACATTTGATCTTTCCAGTCATATCAGCTGTAACTCCATGAATGACCAGAGAATAAACTCCACCGGCATTTGTGATTTCCGTATCCTCAGTAGGACAAACCAGCTAAAATCAATGTTTAAAAATGAAAATTTTCAAAATTTTGCTAGCAAGTTGTTTAGCATTGGAAAATGAAATTTTTTGAAAGATCGAATCCTTCAAAAAAATTTAAATTACCTGATTATTGATGTACCATTTCACAAATGGTGTTGGATCACCAGTAATTAGCAATTTTGTCTGCAACGAATCGCCCTCGGTAAGATGGATTGGCGCAATATCGCTTTGGAATGCTGGCTTAGCCATTGGACGTGGTTTGATTACACCCAGAGAAGCAGAACATTCTGAAAATAATGGCATTAGTAGCGGAAAATTTTTGCAAAATTGTAATCAGTCATACCAGCAGTTCCAAAGTAATTCTCAGCCTTGATCGTAATTCTGCATTTGTCTTCCATTTTTGTAGAGATGATTTTCAGCTGGAGCGTGCCATCTTCTTGCTCAGTAAGAACGAAATGGTCATCACTCTTGAATTCTTTGCCATCTCGTAGCCAAGTAATTGTTGGCTTTGGTTTCACCTGAAAATTTAATCAATCGATATCAATCGATTGATTAAATTGTAATCTACGTATGAACGCATACCTGATTGAGTTTTGCCTCCATAAGAGTGACTTCTCCTTCAGTAACCATACGATCTTCAACGTTTTTCGAGAATGTTGGCGCTTCGCCAACTCGTTTAACATTCAAGATTACATTTTGCTTCTTCATGCCACCAGCATTCGATGCCTCAAAGTAATCAATTATCGAACGGTACTATTAAAATTATTTAGTAGGCTGGTTTTACCTGGCAAGAGAGCTCTCCAGATTGTTCTGGTGTAATCTCTTTGATTTCAATCGTGTGCTTCCCCTCACTGTCAGAAACAGTGATATTCCTTGAATCAGAGATTTTTTGGAAAAAAAATCAATTTGAATATCAATATCGATAACTCACGGATATTTGCTCACAGGTTCCCCATTGAGCAGCCATTCTACAGTGGGTTCTGGGAATCCTTCCACTGTTGAAGTGTATTTTACCGTATCTCCTTCATTAACTTGGCGATCATCCATATTGCTGGTGAATTTTGGCACTTCAGTTCGCCTTTCAACCTTAGAAACAATCAGTTACCGATTGCAACAGATCAATAAATCAATATCCCAAACCTTCAAAGTGGCTGTAACTTCAGCGCTTCCGAATTCGTTCTCAGCGGTAACACGCACGGTACCGTTATGCGCAAGTTGTGGTTTGTAGATACGAATAGATGTTTTTCCAGTGTCTTGTTCGAATTTCACTTTGATTTCTTCACTGTTTTCGATTTTCTTGTCATTCAAGTACCAAGAAATCTGAAATCAGAAATTTTTTCCGTACTTTGAAAACTAGAAAATCGGTTACCTTAAGAGGTGGTGTTCCATCCACGATAGCGCTAAATTTCACGCTCTCATCATCCACATATGCTTCGTGATTTTGTGGAGTTTTCGTGAATTCTGGCTTTTTGCCGCCTTCTACTCTGAGCTAAAACAAAAGGGGAATATCGATTTATCGTGTTCACAAAAACTATTATCCTCACCTTAGCTGTGCATTCGCATGCTCCAACTTCATTCATAGCTTTGGCCGATATTGTACCAGCCATTTCTTCCTTCACATGCTCAATGACGAGCTGATGGGTGCCAGGTTGTGGCTCGAAGATCTGTAAATAGCGTTTACGAGATGGATACGGTAGGATTACGGTAGCAGATCATTCTACCAACCTGTACATTAGGACCTTCCTGCAGTTGACCACCATTGTTGTACCATTTTACACTTGTCCCAGGTTGAGCGTTGTCCAGTACAACTTCCATATTTAGTTGCTCGTCAACTTTTACCGTTGTATCGGACATTTGAGTTTTGAAGTTGGGCGCTACTGGGGCTGGGTTGACCTAAAAAGAAAACTTGCAAATATTCCAAAAAATTGCGAAAAAATAGGCTACGCACCCTCAATTCAGCCGTCCTTGAATCGGTACCTACAGTATTCTGAGCGGTCACTTTTACCGTACCCGTATGCGTTGTGGTAGTTTCAGTGATTCTCAACGTGTATTCATTTCCAAAATGTGATGTCTTGATCGTATTGCTTTCTTCGATTAGCTTGTCATCGATCGACCAATTGATCATTGGCTCAGGGAAACCAGTAATTTTCACCTAAAACGTATAGTAAAAGACTAATACGATTTATTTCCTGAAAACTCACAACTGAATAAAAAACAAAGAAATGATTTTGAAGTTTCTACACCACTAGCAGCTAAGCGAGTACTACAACTGCGAGAGAGACAGAAACATTACTGCGTAGACGTCAGAAAAAGCAGGGAAACTTCGAGAACAAAAAGAAGAGGAGGAAACGGATTGTAGAGCAACGCACCTTGAATTCTGCCGTCTCCTTCTCTTTGATGGTAACATTTTTTGGTCCGTCGATGAATTGTGGAGCTGCTTGTTTAGGATTGACTGTGATATGACATGATGTTTCCGATGTACCCGCTTCGTTTACAGTAATCACCATAACTAGAAAAATCAATTACTGTCTCGGCCATTACCGAAAATATTTTCACTACGATATAAAAATCTTACGCTTTCCGCCGTGCGTGGGTTCTGCTCTTTCGACAGAAAGTATAGACCTGTCACCTTCGGTGGTTATCCTCACACCTTCTTTTCCGTCCTGAATACACAAGTGAGTAAATTCTTTCGCATCAGGACCAACATGATCAAAGTCGTTAGTCAAACCAACCTCCAAAGCCTGTCCATTGATCAACCATTTGAACTGCGGTTGTCCAGCAGCTGCCACCTCAACTTTGAAAGGTTCGCCCAATGTTGCTTGCACATCTTGCAATCTTTCTTTTATTTCCGGTTTTTCTATCAACTTCATTTCGCATCTATAATCGCAACTTTATGATCAGGTAAGAGATCAAAATAGACAGAAGAAGAACATTTTCTTACTTTGTCTGCGCCGTGCCCGATTCGTTTCTGGCTTCCACAGATATGGTGCCAGGTGAGAAAATCGTCGTATCGATCGTCATTTTGAAAGTATAGTTTGACTCTCGGGTGATTTTCACTCCTAAAACGATTCGAAATCAAAAATAACGATGAAAGAGATCTATATTCAAGACTGTCTTTGGATTATGTGTACACACACTCAGCTAACCATTGATTCAGCAGGCGTGGCGGCTGGAAGGCAGGGTTTTGTCGCGCGTGCTTTCTGATCATAACCTAGCCTCAATTAGGTCACACAGCCCCGCCTTTCAGCCGCCAAGCCAGTTGAATCGAAGGGTATTTGTTTTCTGATTTCACTGTCACTATTCTGGCACAAAAAATTTTATTGAGCCCATTTTACAATAAATTTTCACTGCGGCAATGTCCTTCGAACCCCCACAAAAATGTTCTTTTACTATAATTAAATCTTCATAAATTTTTTCATACCTTCCGTGCCCGGCGTCAGCTCCTTGCCATTGTGATACCATTTCACTTCGGTGGCATGCTCGATGATAACTTCGAATTTGCCTTGTTCACCTTTGATCACGGTTTGATCATGAAGATCCTTGAAGATGGTGGGCAGCTGGAACGTCAGTGGTGAAAATTTGCAAAACTAATCAGACAAATACCTCTAGTCAAGCTCTAAAAAATCCCTAGCCAAGCTAGATCTTTCATATAGGTTTCTGATTTTTCAGAATTTAGTAGGTTTTTCATCCTAATCAATTTATGAATATGATTGAACTAGTTGCAAGAAATTTCATAAACAATTTTAAGAGTTTGAAATGAGCAAAAGCATCGGGTTTGCATTTTGTTAACAAAGCTCTACTCTAGCAGTGTTAGATTTGTACCTCAGGTGGTTTCACCATTTCTGCTTTCTGTTCGGGTACCTCCTCCCTCTTAGCCTCTTCGACTTTTCCAACTGGTTCCTTAACTTCGGTACCACTTACGGCAGCAGCTTGGGGCTCCGCTTTCACTTCCTCCTTGGCAGCCTCGTCCGCTTTGAGAGGTTCATGCACTTCAATTCCTTCCGTGGAGACTAGTTTGGGCAGTTCGATTGCAGCAGCTTGGGCATCCTGGGGGACTTGCTCCTTAGTGGCTTCGTCCGTCTTGACCGGTTCGTGAACTTCCATGCCGGTTACGGTAGCGGTCTGCATTGCTCCTGGTCCTTCGTCCTTCACTGTCGCTTCGGCAGTTGTTGGGGCAGGCTGTCCGGTAGCAGTGGCCTCTTCGTAATCGTCCTTTAGAACTCCTTCCGTGGAAACGAGTTTCGGCAGCTCGACTTCGATCTTCAAAGAGTAGTTTTGCAACATTCATTCACCGAATACGGTAGTAGTACGGTAGGAAGCACATGCGTTGTGAAAGCCAATCCACTGATCTCCATAGAAGAGCAACACGGGTGTTATAACAGACGCGAGAAGAAAGCCAGGTCATTAGAAAACATAAGTGAAGTACTGATTAATAAGCTAGTCAGCATGTCCGCAATTGCAGAAACGAAAGATAGCACTCGTAGAAATTAGGGGCATAACCATCGCTGTATTGTACCTGTGAGATTTCAATACTGCCTTCTTGAACAGGGGCGGTAGTGGTCTCAGGTTGAGACACTTCCACCTTCTTCTCTTCGATCTGTTAACATTATTGATTGATTTATGCCTATTGATTTTTTTTAGATTCGACCGTCCCGGTTTCAAGAATTTTCTAGCGACATAGAATTGTTTCATTTCATAATTGTGTTGATTATCAGAAAGCTTATAATACCATGTCTTAGTGTATACTATATAATTGATTGTATAGAGAAAAAAAGAAAATCTTTTTGAAGAGAATAAAAAAAGTAAGAAATTTTTATGCAATTTCCGAAATTTGAGAGGAAACCACGCCCACCTTCTTCTCCTCCACAGTGAGGCGAGCGCCGGTCTCGTCCGCTCCGAGACTGTTCTCGGCGATAACGGAAATCGTCGACGATACAGGATGTACTGACGTATTCACGAACAGCACGGAGTTGCCGTCGATCATTTCTACACGTGTGCCTTCGGTGCTCTCGCGAACCTGCGGGATAGATCAATAAATCAATAATGGATGAATTAGTAAATCGATTAATCATTCTATTCACACCAAATTACTCTTACTCACCTTCCTACCATCAATTGACCATTGATAAGTAGGAGCTGGACTTGACTCTGCATGCGCCTCGAATCTAGCTTCAGATCCTCTGAAAGCAATAGAATTCTACTAATTCTGGATCGCGGATACTGTACGGATACTGTAAACTACCATACCTTTCAACCGTAACACTTTGCGGTTGTTTGTCGAATGTGGGTGGGAATGGTTTACGGTTTACTGTTAATTTACTAGAAGTCTCTGCTGAACCTTCAGAATTTCTCGCAACGCATTTTACTTCGCCAGCTTCGTCTATTTTTATCCCTCGTAGTTCCAGTTTCACAGATCCATCAAATTCGCGAATTTCTACGTGCTGCAACGAAAAAGATACTTATCGATTCGAAGCTGCACAGTAATTTTTTCACCTCAGATGCACTTAGCTCCACTCCTTTGAGGAACCATTTGATGTCGGGTTTTGGTTCGGCTTCTACTCGAGCCTAAACAAACAATACATTCCTCTCGCACTATCATTCATATCATCGTCAGGTGTTGTAAGAGATAAGTGCTTTCTCATTTGTGACAGCCTCATAGCAACAAAAACAACAAAGGAAGGAACACTCACCTCGAACACAACTGTGTTTCCTTCGACTTCCGTTTTGTCGCTAAGTAGCTCGGAAAAGCGTGGAGCTTTCTTTGGTTTTTCTTGTGGAATGACGGTCAAACGTGCTTTAGTCTCGAATCGACCAACCACGTTTTCTGCCCTAAAAGGAAGTAGATTTTCTAAAGAAAAAAAAAGTTTTGGGAATTCAAAATGGGAACAAGACTAGAATCATTATTAGAAGCTGTACTTACCTGCACAAGATTGTTCCAGCATATTGTGCTGAGTCGATTGTCAGCTTATGATCGTGATTCACAAACTGTAATGTAATCTTGATCAAGGTACAATTGTCTGATACAATTCTTTGTGACAAAAACATGGTTTCCATAGATTGATTAACGATGATTTTCGTTCTTTTACAAGTTAGCCATTTTTGGAAAAAATACTTTTCGAAATCAGAAATGAATATTAACCAAGCTGACTTATTTTATCTGATAGCGAATTCAACGAAGACAGTAAATGTAACAATGATATTTTCTCGCGATGTGACAAAACTTTAATATAAAAGTCTATGTTCGGCGAGGAAAACTTTATAATAGGACTATTCCTACAGTCTAGAGCCAAAAAAAACTCTGTGGTATTTTGATTTCAAAAAATCGAAGGTGGAACTTTGCAGAACAATAAACGAAGCATCTATTGCGATAGATTTGCAAACACTTTCCTTTCAACTTTGTATAGTGGCCTATAGTGGCCTGGCACTTGACATTTGTCATTTTCTTCAACAAGTAAATGGAAAAAATGTATCGAAATGCGCAGAAATAACATAACGCTGGAACACTAAGAAGAAAATAGCAGTTTCATAGAAAATAAGGCGCTACTCACCTCGATCTTCACTCCCGGAGTATCCTTGTCCATTTTTATACCATTAATGTACCAAGTGACTTCGGGATTTGGACTACCACGTACGGTAGTTTCAAATACGGCAAGTACGCCGTATTTTACAGTCTGCAAAGAAGAAATACTATCATGTGTAAATAAAATTTTGTTTAAAAAATCAGCAATAATTTTTTCGTTACCTATGCTTTATATACAAACAAGTAATACAGCAGTATAGTCACACAATCGAGTATGTCGCGTCGTTGTCGGTGGTATCGAGTGCAAAAGCAGCTGAGCCTGAGGACGAGGTGGCTTAACCTTGCCTCAGGCAGCTGCTGCCACCGATAGCGAACTAAAGCAGCAGAGCAAGAGCATGGACTCATTTTCGCTTTTTACAACCGCAAACCCGGCGATCAAGCCGTTTGTGCATCGCTTATGCGCAAAAAAACATATGTTGATGAAGAAAGCTGCAAACGGGAGTGGTAGTACGAAATCTTTATTTGCAGAGCTCGAGCGGTGGATGTCCGACATAGGAGAGCGCAAAAAATATGCTGATTGATCCACAGCCACGATAGTGACGGTTGTTTTTTTGTGTGTGAAGCAGGAAGGACACCTGAGGTCTTTGAACAATCGCGAAAAGCACTTCCGCCAGCACGAAATTTTGGGAACACAAAATCCGAATAAGGGAAGGTGTAGCAGAAGTTCTAGGCGATAGTCGTTCAAGCTCGGCGCAGACCCACTTTTCATTTTTCCACACCAAAGAAACAAAAGACTAACTTTTACTGCGTTCTAGGACTATTTTTTAAGAACATTCCAGAACATTACAATGCATTCTGTCACTGACAACAGATAGACTGCAAAAGTTTGACAGCTTCACATGAGCTACACTAAGTATCTAACACTTCTAGATCCAAATCAAACTCGATTGAAGGGTCTCTTAAAGTGTTAGACGAAAGGTTGAGAGAAATTAGAAAATTTTTTGAACCCTCACAAATTTACAGTATTCCAAGGAAATTCCTTCTATGTCCACAAAAATTACGAAGTTCCACGCCAACCTGATCTTCAATATCTTTGATGAATGTTGGTGCGCTTCTCGACTCTTCTTCCATTGGCTCAACGGTGAGCCGCGCTCGACTCTCTGCTGTACCATGTTCGTTTACGGCTCGGCAAACAATCTCTCCATCATGTTCATCCATTTTACATTTTGGCACAATCACTTTGTGTATGCCATCAGCACCGCTGATTTCAACTCCGTCTACACCATTTTTCAACTAAAAATCTCAATTATTTCTTGTTAAAGTGCTTTAAGATTCATTTTTGCTACCTCTTTCCCTTTGAGGGTAAAAGTTACAGTAGGTTCTGGCCAACCGAGTACATCCACTTCGAAAGTAGCCTGCAAGCGTATCATTCTATCAAAGTAAAAAAGAATTGGCTAAAGTCCAATTGCCATGACTTCAAAAAAAAGTTTTTTGCTGTTTTTTTTTTCAAAAAAAATATCCATGTCAAAATTTCACCGTTCCATTCTCCTGTACCACTCTGTCTTCGAGCGGTTTTGCGAATGATGGTGGTGCTGGTGGAACTCTGACTTTGAGTCGCCCATCACAGCTTGTTGTTCCGAGGCGATTCGAGCCCTAAAACATTATTAATGTATTTTTTCGGTAGCCTTCGTAGCTTTTGGTGGCAGTGGCGGACCGAGGGGGTAGGGGTTGGGGGCCAAGAATGGGTCGCGAATTGAAAGTTATTCACACGAGTTACAAAAGTGTGCAAACGACTTTGTTATACTTCTAATTGATTGAAACAATTTTCAAAATGTTGTAGAAAATCAATTTAGCCTTGTGAAAGAATTTTTTTCAAGAACGTGGCTGCCGCCAGCCGTTCTAAAATTCTGGGGTCATGCGCCCGCAAAAAATTTGGGAAGCGCCCAAAGATTTTCTCGGAGTGCGTATGTAGGGCCATACACCTCCATCCGGAAGGAATTTTCGTCTTCCCCTCCCCCCGAACGGAAATCCTGCGCTACCGGATAGTGTGTAGAAACGCACAAAAATTAGAAAGAGAGAGAGTCTCAGCTTAGACGACAACAAACTTTCCAAGAACAAAAGGCATACCTAAGATTTTTCAAGGCATTAGAATCCTAATGACTGTTGTTCTATTTGATTTACACGGGGAAGATAGCAAAAAGAATGATTACACCGTCTCTTTACTTCAAAACTAATAGAACATATAGCATTTCGCCAGAACATGAATAAGTTCTTTTACCCCTTTTATGCTCTCTGTCAGTACTACTTCGCTTTCAAAATCAGATTCCCGAACACTTCGGACAACATTATCTGATCGCTCAGTACATTCCCTGCCTATAACTCTGGTTGTTTTGCGAATGCGGGGGTGAGTGTAATGCTGGTGGTGCTCTTGGGGCGTTGTGATAGAGCGATTAGAACAGCTGTGAGCGTGTCGAAAGTAGGAGATAAGAGGCAAAAATAGTGAGGATTTCGACTTTAACATAGACAACAAAAAAGATCCCTTACTTGGCAGGTTACTGTACCATCAAAATGTCTGGTCACATCCTTGATAATCAAGATGCAGATACCGTCTTCACATATGAATCGAACCTGATAACAAATCATCAAGCTTAACTTGATCATTATTCAAAAATTATAGATACCTTTTCTGATTCTGTTAAGGGAATTCCGTTGATCATCCATACGATCTCAGGTGTAGGATCGCCAGTAATTACAGATTTGAAGCGAACTTCATCACCTTCATTGCATTCTACGTCTTCGATAGTAGCCTGAAAAATCGATATCGATTATTTCGAGGAGTCATGATGCTAATCATGAGAGTTCGGCAATTTTCGATACGATAAACTTCAAAACAATTGCATGCCAAGATGATCAATGCAAAAAAACCAAAAATGATCAAATAAAAATTTTTTGGAATGCATTACCTGGAACTCAGGAGCCACGTGGTTCTTATCTGGATCGGGTACAACCACCAGTTCTGCTTTGCTTTCGGCTGTTCCAAATTCGTTTTGAATTTTCACAGCATAAACACCGGTATCATCTGGTTGTGCATCCCTAAAAGCACAGTTTTCGGAGAACTACATTAAAAAACCACTCAAAAAATGTAAAAATGACGACGCAATGCTTAGATTATTGAGGATAAAAGATCAATGATATTATTGTCAGAGCTCTTTGAGAAGTACAAATGCATTAGCATATGCCTAAAAATCTTATGGCTGTGCTTTATCCATATTCTGGTAATTTGCCTTTACATGAAATAGAAAAATGAAAATCAAGCCAAATATAAATAAAGATAACTACAAATATTTGGAAGTGACCACAACTATTCACCTGATCTCAAGCTTCGCATTCATACCATCGTATTCGATCTTGAAATCATGAGATGGTCGTAGTGGCTGGTCATCTACTAACCATACTAATTCTGGTTCTGGCCAGCCTTCCACCTAAATGGATCAAAATAAATCCCTATAGACCAAAAGGTATGAGTTTCATCTACTTCGCATTCAAAGCTTATCACTTCGCCTTCTTTGCATTCTTGATCCTTTAGCGAATTTACAAATTTCGGTGGTGCAGCCTCTTTTTCTACCTGAAACCCATGAATCTGCTTCTGGTTTATTCATCGAAAAACTGCTAGCCAACCTTGAGTACTCGGAAGAAAGCAGATGTCGAGGCTTGACCATATTCGTTCGTTGCCATGCATGTGTATCGGCCGGTATCTTCAACCTGGAAAGAAAACATAAAAAATTTCTATGTCAAAAATAAGGCTCTTTTCATCAAAATAAAAAAATTGCCTTGGGCAGGATGATCAAGACATATAGAAAATTCGCTAGTTATCAAATTATTTAGTTGAAAAAATAAGGAAAAATTACCTGCACAGGATCAATAGTCATGGCAAAGAAGCCGTCTTCATCAGCGTAGAATGTATGTCGTTCGTCTTCATGTAACTGTACATCATCCTTATACCTTGAAAATATTTCTTTCAATCAATAAACCCTATAAGCAACCTATTGCAAGCGAGATAAAAATGACTCTAGAAATCTTCCAATTTACCATGTGATCTCTGGTAATGGATATCCGGTAACTTTTAAGCACATCTTGGCTGATGATTCTTGTAATGTACGGAAACCATACTGTGTTCGTGTTACTCTTGTGCCTTGCATTTCAAGCGTGGTACCGGTTGTAGCTAAAATTGTTCAGTTTTCCACAGTTTGAAATTCATAGAAACGTAGCATAGTAAAAATCTTTTGGCTTCACTTTTTTTTTTGCAATTCTGATTATAGCCCCAGACAGGCTTGCATTTTCCAAGCCTCCAATTTTTTTTCAAACTTTTTTTATGAGAGGCACGAGATAGATGGACATCTTTGCCTAGTGCAAATATATGAAAGATAAGAAGTGGTCAGTGGAAGCTATTTTTCAACCTTGCAACAGTTCGTAAATATTTTTCTCCCACGACAAACATCTCAATTTCAGCAACAATAGGCTCTCGACGGCTTCTGGTGCGCTGTCATCTAAAAAAAAAGAACTAAAAAAAATCAAGAAAAGAATTCGAGGGCTCAAATTAGAACATGGTGTGAAATTAGAACGTCGTCAAGTTTCTATTTTTAGACAAGAAGAACTACTAGAATTTCCTCGAATGAAAAGAAGAAAACTTGAATGTTCTCGAATGAACAAATATTGAGTAGAGGATTCAAATTCAAGTTGCGAAATGTGATCACACACAAAGCTTCAAAAACTATGCCTTTTGTGAAGCTTTGATCAGGATTTACATGGAAGTAAGTAAAAATTCATAACAAAAATTCTAGTCTGTCAACATTCAGTTGCATCCGTCCTTCCCGCTTCTTTACTCAATAGTCAAATAGTCAATCGAACTGTTGAACACAGCTATCAAATTCTTCAACTGACATTGAAACAACCATTTAAACTTATTGAAAAAAGCAATTTTCAACTTGTCTTAAACGATCTTGATTTCCTGTCACCTGCTTCCTTGATCCCACTCAATAAGAAATTTGTCAAGATCGCACCAGGGTGACCATCAATGATATTATCAAATATCGCCAATGAAACAGCAAATTCTATGCAAACCCTTTTTTTCTAAAACTTCCGGAAAATCTACAAGAACTCCTCACTGTATACCACCCACTTGAGGGTTGGTTATATTTGCATTAGTTGTTTATTCTGTAGAGTTCAACCCACGCGATATCACATGCATAGACAAAACATAACGCCTAGCCACTACTTGCCCTGCACTTGCAGAATATATCCAGCGCAGCTGTTTGTGATTTCAATAAAAACGACACTTCAAAGCAATTCATTTAGCATGAGCCTTATTGCATTGAAGGATCAATAGCAAAAAAAATTGAAAAAAATTCTAGTAAATTCACCTCCTTACAATGCATTACCTCCGAAAAGCACAAGCACACAGCTGAGATTATAGAACAATATTTATGCTTACTTCATTTTGATCGCAATTCTCTTGAAACCGTAAATTCTTGTTAGAACTACGATTTATGTGCGGAACACTACTGACTCCGAGAGATTCATTTGAACCTTTCGAGACAAGACATTCACTTAAAGATTCATTTGATTTACTTGTTTATTCATCTATTTCATTTATTTATCTAATGCTACACTCCTGCACTAGATGGAGTTGATGGGAGAAAATACAGCATTTTGAGGATTGAATAAAAATGAAAAAAAATACGAAAAGAGTTTAAAATGTCAGGAGAGCCTTGACAAATCTCTCAAGTATGTTACACTGCAAAAAGAAATAAAGTTTTTAACCAATCTATTATTCGCTAACAAAGTAAAGCTTTTCAAAATTTTGAATAATAAGAAAATATCTATAGTGAAGTCTGAATCTGATACATGATGATTCAGCAAAAGTTTTGATATGATTCAAAATTTTGAACGTTGCCGCCGATGATAATTTTCCAGAAAATTTGCAAATTTGTGTGAATGCTGTCCTTGCATACACAGTTAACCATTCGCAACTCAATCCTCTTAAGCAAAAAGAGATAGCAGACATTTAGTAGAACATATGTCGCGTGTGATATATACCTGGTTACGCTTAGAAGCATGGAGTGGTTTGGAAAAATCTTAACAAGAACTTAGATGTCGCCGGCGCAAGCAGTAATTGTAAAGTGTTTTGAAGGAACTTCTTGAGAAATTCAAAGAAAATTCTGCATTCAAAAACTCACTCCAATCAATACTACTGCTTCCACCCGAATAAATACTTGTAGAGGATCCAGTCGGTGAAATAGCCGGTGGCGATTTCACCTTTTTTCGTGGTGGTCCCCCTTCTTCTGGACCTAAAAGCGACACAGTATGCTTGTTTTAACAATCGATCGATAATCATCACATATACACTCTGACACTGTATCACACTGGACCAGGCAACAAGGACCTTTACTCGATCGCATTTCTTGTAAATTGTGCCTTACCCTATTGAACGATATTGATTTTTTGTGACACTGATAAACGGATGTAAATCTGCGCCGTAGGATCTCGGGTGTTTCTGCGCAAACAAAAATCAAGTGTTCCATGCGCGTGCCATTGACATTTGAAACAGTGTTTCTACTGTTGCCCATCAATAAATCAATAAACAGCAATTATTTTCGCGTGATATTGCGTAAGTAATTCGCGCACAGACAGGAGACATCACATTACAGCACACATAGAGAGCTGATGAGCTTAACTCGCATTGATTAACGGTTAATATCCTCAAGAAAATTAAGTAAGCTGATCAGCTCGGATTTACAATATCAATCGATAATCGATTGAAAACCACACAAATATAGTCGCTACCCAAAAGTAGGCTCTTCCTTGAGCCTGAATATTCGCTGAATTCCGAACGCATATCGCTGAGATGCATTTCAAATTCCGATGTAGTAGTCTCGGTTTCTTGTTGTTCATGTTCAGAAGCTAAGAAAAACACAAATCAATAAATCAATACTCACACCATGATGGATCAACAAGTTCAAGTCCGCCTTCTTCTGTATCGGTTAGCTCAATAATAAATAGAGTTTTTAGCACCATTTTGGCGCTATTGTGTATGGGAGCTAGTGCCTAGAGGCTAACGCTCCAAAATAGGAGGAGGATAGAGAGGAGAACTTCTCTCAGGTGTAGAAGTGGTGGATTGGGATTTGTTTTGACAGGTATTTGAGGCTCTTCGAGTACAAGCCAAGGGTAGAGGGGGGTGGGGTATGGACTGGAGAGACGTGTGAGATCCGAGCCGAGAAACTGAGTCGATGTGCCTCAATGCCAACTCATAGATAGGTAGACCGATGTGCCTACGTTCGCCGGCTGGGATTCGAGGCGCTGGCGGTGCTCAAGTGAGAGATCGAGCGAGCGATCGCAGCCACGGTTGAGGTGAGAGCCGAAGAGAGAGCGAAGCGGCGCGCGGGGGATATGACGCTGGGAGGCGCCTGTTCCAGCTACACCGACCGACGAAGTACCGACGGGACGGGGCCGGCCGTAGGTGATCGGCAGTTAGCTTCGAGCTGGGCAGCAGCAGATTCGAGACTTCTCCGCTCTCGCTCTCGTTCGTTCGCTTGCGCGACGCGTATTACAACTCGATTTGAGGGCTCTTTCGCCGTTTTGCCGTCGCCATCGTGGATACTGCTGTTCGGTCCGCTGCCGCTGGTGTTACCACCACCTACTCCGTCAGCAGCAGAAGGGCAGATGACTCAGATAGCACTTTGATTCCAGCATTCCACCTGGCAAGCTGTCTCAGTTTCTCAGCTATATGTCGCGGCTGCATCTATCCACTCTATATTTATAACTTTACAAACTTCATCCATTTCTCATATAAAAAATCGCCAAGTTGTATTTCTTTCATCATCCCTCAAAAACTCAAAGCTCAGTGACTCAGCTTCCGGATCTCATATTTCTCACCCATCCACCCCCGACAGCATCACTGACGACACATGTCGTAAAGGTTACCAATGTTATTTTGAATCTGCCTAGCCTTTAGAAGAGGAGTTAAATTCACGAGTTTTCGAAGAACCTTGGATAAAAAATTCAATAAAATTACCGTATGCCTCCTGTTCCTCCGTTATGTCTTTTAACCATGCTTTTCGCACATACTCCGCTGTTCCAGGATCTTTCGGTTTCAGGCTAAAATTCTCACATCAACTGGAACAAACTTTAGCTTTCCTCAGCCATACCTAAACTCGGGTAATCCTGGCTCATTCGGCTTCAACACGATAGTGTCTTCATCGAGTCTGTGTGACGATACAGTATACTTATCGAGCTGAATTCGATTATTGATTTGTATTCAATGGTTCACGGACTCCAGTGCTGAGTATAGTTACCACGGTGTCACCGAAACTTACCCTAATTGTTGCGTAATGAGTGTAAGTGGGTGGCGTAGTGCGATCATTCTTATCCGTAATCATAACTTTGTTTTTGAAAAGGAAGACATAGCGCTCCTTGCTTGGTTCATTTCCTTCGGTTACCTCGAACGAGTCCTGAAATGTCACAAGGACATTTTTGGGTAGGGGAACGAACTCCGCCAGTTTTGAGCCGCCTCCGCTGGCAACTGGTCCCTTTGCAGTGTTGTTGCATATCGTTGCAGGACCAGTAAACCGCGAAGGCAGACCAAACTGCCGAGGTCGTTCCTCGGGTAGAGGTACGAACGCCTCAATTAGGCGCCGCTTCTGCGGGCTGCTGGTCCTTTCGTCTTACTGTTGTGCATCGTGTTGGGACCAGTAGTCCGCGGAGGCGGTGCCAAATTGAGGCGTTCGTTCCTCCACCCTCGTTCCTCCACCCCATTTTTTTCTAATACAATTCAAAAACGAGATTCGCCCAGTCTACAAACAGTAAGTGTTCTCCCGTAAATTGCACTCACATGTCTAATGAGTCGTCCGAGTTTACCCGTATCACCCGGGTAGTGTTTAATATTGGTTGTATAGACGAGATCGTGTACCCGTTGTGGTATTCCCATTGTCAGCTCCAGTGCTTTTTGCATGCTTTTGCTGCTTTGATTTGCTCTTGCCGTGTATTTGACAAATTCCTGGAACCATATACACTCTGAAGTGTACGTCTCGATGAACCAAACTCACTTTGAAGTAATTTTGATAGTGTGTAATCCGCTCTGCGACATTCTTCAAATGCTCGGAAAAAGTGTGTGAACCAGCCTCGTACTTATCAGAAAGTGACTGAAAATGTTGGAATTATAAGCGAAAAATATGCGGAAAATTAACAGTGTTATAGAAGTGGGCTTCGAAAAAATAAGACATGGATAACAAGATAACAGAGATTAAGCGCACAAATTGATTAGTAGACAGTCATGTAAGTAGCCATGTAGAAATTTCTAGCGGATAGATAAATAGATAAATACGAATTCGAGTATGATTTATTTATTCGTAGGCCTAAATGGTTCGTTCTGCTGCATCCGCTAAATAAGAAACTCTTGAAGCACGCTTGTGTCTTGCAGTAAGTCAAAGAGTAGAATTTCAAATGAAAATCCCGATTCTACATTCAGCCAACCAGGAGACTATTTGTTCATGCTTTACGACAACAACAACCTTTCGTACATAACAGGATTGAAATACCGTAATCATGTGTTTGTAACCCCACAAAGATCCGAACATTTTGGTTAAGAAAAGCTTTAGCACAGGAATTTGATCAAAGAAAGGTGAGCAATATTGAGAAATATACCTATATGCATGTACTCTGACAAGGAAAACTGCGAAAAACTGCGCAATCCGTGCTCTCTGACAGATAAACTTCTAATATCCTAGATAAAACTACAAGCAGAGCCTAACTGAAACAAATCAAACGTGAAATCCGAGCGTAACATAGGCAAAAACGCGAAAAAGAAGATACACTCTTCGTTCGCTACCAAACTTTCATTACCAAAAAAATAGGAGTGAGCTTGCAAAACCTTCCTCATTCTTTATTCAAAATTGCTTTCAACTACAGCCAAGTCTTATGGCATTGTAGCCTTTGAATATTATTTGAAATTCAGGCACGTATACTGAGTTGCTCCAGAAATTCTACCTAATTTGCGGATCAAAACATAACCTTTTTTGAATTGATATTCTTGCCAGTTCAAATTTTGGTGGATTAAGCGAGTCTGGGCTGTCACAGAGACCGCGTGAAAGAAGCATAAGAGAAGCGAAAATTTGAAAAAAGTTTTCTTTGTAACCATTCATTTCAGCATAGTAATGCTCCCACATAAGAAGAGGTAGACAAATCTGATTGCCATCGTCAGGTAATATGTTCAAGGAATATAGTATGGCTAAAAAAAATTAAGAACTCTTCGCTGCTTTTGTGAGTGCATTCAAAAAAGCCACTGTATGTATGCGCGCTCAACTATGCTGACTTTCTACATAATTTTAAGTGGCTGCTGCCCCCTGCTTGCTCTTGTTTCACCTTAGGCCTAAGGCATACCTCGCGCGATTCGGTCTCTGCGCGATTTGGCGCAATAGCGGCTCTTTGTAATTCGTCGTCAATGCGTTCCTTTTGGTCAGAACTTGATCCGTCTGCGACAGCTTACAAAAGTTGCCCGAACATGCATTCGAGAAGCACGCTCGATAGATTTGTAGGAATCTGGCAAATTGCCAAGTCGCGGGAAGGTGGCGATATGACCGAATCGCGTGAGGTATGTCATAGCCCTTAAAGTGCGCAATATCGAATACATCACTTGTAATGCGTAGAATCGCTTGCAATAGCTAAAAGAAGCTAATCTCCAAATAAGATCTAGGAAGTACCCTAATTTCTGCGGTATAAGGCGCACCTTGTATAAAGCGCACCCGCCGCAGTGAACAATGACGCAAAAAGGCATTCTAGATGATGGCTCTCTAAATCTAGAAAGATGAAAACTCGGTGTGCTGTGGTTATTCTTCACTTCCCATAAATCATGCCTCTAGGATATCGTTTTTACAGGTGGGAAAGTGCTCTCAAACCAAAACTGTGCTATCCCTGACAATGATACTAGTGATGTCTTGAAGGTTTTTGTCCCATTCTTGTCATTCTTGAAGAATCAGAGAAGGTAGAGACTTGTTTTGAAAAATCACTATTGAGAGGAAAACTGCAAAGGACGGGAGCAAAAAGCTACTGCTGGGTGAAAGAGATTGCTCTGCTGCTTGTGCGGCGCCGCGCATCGCGGACGTCATCATACATCAGTCCGCGCGCGGTGAAAGCTACTGCGCCTACCCCAGAAATTAGGGTAATACAGTTTCTGTCTGAGAGTAAAAGTGTGCACATGTTAATCCACTACACCCTTATCCATTATAAAGTTTTACGAAATGCCCTTGAACGCTGCTGAGATTCCTCAAAAAAACATTTTTTATACTAGACTGCATCTTGGCAGTTTATGCTGTGAGGTTTGAGATGCCATAACTTCGGAGTGTTTCAACAAGAGAGTAGGCGCAAAATGAGCAGGAAAATCTCCTTTAAATGTTATACTAGGCTGTTTCAAAAATTCCGTCCAATTTTCAATTGCCTTGTTTTAATGCAGCTATTTTCTTAGGATTTTGCACTTACGTCATTGTCATAAACATCTTCTAAAAGTACTTTTCCTGCTCTTTCTAGTGCTCACCGAAGCTTGGCGAAACAACATTCCAGTGAGGAAATTTCAAGCCCCGAATCAAAGTTGCCAAATTGCAGTCATACCCAAAATTTTCATGAAGAGAACTTCCGCAGTATTCGTAAAACTGATTATGTAATATTTTATAATGGGTGAAGGTGTAATGGACTAACAAAGCACATTATTCCTCCGACGTAGAAAGTCTTACTTTTCCAATTATTTTTCAGAGATAGAAGACAAACCCAGTTATTCAACAAGCGATAATAATTTACATATAGCGATAGGTGATGTATTTAATATTGCATATGTTAGAGCGAAGTGAGAGCAAGCTGGAATCTTCAGTCACTCGGCTTTCTTCGTCTGTGATAGCAAGAAAAAATCAAATATTATAAAGTCGGCACATTTCAGCACGCGAAGGCTCGAATAATGTTTTTTTTGGTTTGCTCACAAAAATTTCTGTGCAGCGAAGATAACTCGAATTCTTTCTAGCCCAAAAGAACCTCTGAAGTATAGGCTACTTACTGATGGCAGTCAAATATGTCTGCCCAACCTCATATGGAAACATTAGTTATTTAAACTGGACGTCTGAAGAAAACCTTGCAGAACTCGAAAAATTTTCTCTTCTTTCTCACTCGCCTTCCTTACATGGCATACAGTGATTGTGATAGTCACAAACTCGCCCAATCCAACAAAATTTAATTTGTTCAAAATTGTTAATTTTCAAAAAAGTTATAAGATGTTAGATGAAAAAATCGCGAATCGGACAGAACTTTTGAAACAGCCTATATATTCTATCGCACCAGGTGCAATGCTCCAAAAAATAGCTTAGTCAATATCAAGGCGACAAATTTAGGACCAGACCTCCTCAAACAACTTGTTATAGCTTCTGTAATGCAAATCCTAAAAATAGGGATTTTTAAACCATTTTTTCAGTACTTTACAAGATTGGCGAAAAGTTTTTTCTTGCAAATGTCTCAAGAATTAGAAGATATTTGCCAGTCTTTGTTTGAGTCTCTTACCTATATCGCTCGGCGAGCAAATTTTGTAAAAGCTTCAAGAGTTGTGAACGCTACTATTATAGAAAGACTTGGAAACAGGGCTCGGCATGAGGTGGCTTTTCGAAAATGCAAAAAACGAAGTCCCCATTGATTTTCGAACAACTTTACGAAGTCCCTCCGACCCTTATTCAAAATGCCCGAATCGACCTAAAAAAATAAAACGTCGACTAAAAAACCTAATTTCGGGCTCAAAAAACGATATCTCCTTTGCTTTTTGTCCCAAAATCGATATCAGCTTGCTTATAAGCCACCTGCGCCAATCCCTGCTTGGAAAATTCCAAAATGTAAGAGAGTTTACAATAGTTTAGACCAGTTAAATTCACTGCTTCCGCATGATGCAACTTTCTGATATTATTACAGAGAACTTGTGCCGGCAATGCTCTGGTTGAAATCTTCAGTACATTTTCTATTTTCAAACATTCGAGAACTGAAGGGATCACCAATGACTCGACTGCGGTAAAACTTTCTGACATAATCTTTGGCGAATGGCTAGTAGTCTATGAATAAAAGTTGAAAAGGTAGTCCTTAGCGGTGGTATATACTCGAACTAGCGGAAAGAAGAATTATCAAATGTCAAGTGGCGTACATAGTTCGTGAAACTCCTGCATACCTCTTTGCTTTCGAAGGACCACAAATAATATATATGATAGTGCAATTAGTGCACCGCCTGTAAATTTGGAAAAGAAAAATCATGAGCAATAATATGAGACTGAAGAAATATGCACGATGTAACCAAAACCATACAGGACCGAAGATTTCCTTAGCAGATTTATAGACAGAAAATCCAATGATGATCGAGCAAAAACCATGCAAAAATCATGGAATTTAGTGCATTCTCAAAATAAAAGTGGTGAAGAGCACGCAAATATCGCTGCACCCATTTGCATCTGCGACTTGGAGACGGCTTCTGCCTCTCCTTCTCAAAACACAATCCATTTTACTCTACATTCAAAGATAAGTATGACAACTGCGTCTACTATCGTTCGCGTCAATGAACGCCTGCACACAAAGCCAGCCCTTAGTAAATGCAAAGTACCAAAATTTTTACTAATTATCAGCCTACTTTCCAATTTCTCTACAAATTGAATAATGATCAAAGGAGAACTACCAGAAACTTGTCTCGTTGTTGTAATTGTTGAGGACCACAACTCTACTTCTAATGACATTTGCATGTGGAATGTAAAGCTACTGGATACAGTAAAGCGAACAGTATGTGATGTAATGACTGTAGCAGAGAGTTCGAAGAAAATGACACCAGGTTTAGCTTCCTTTCGCTATACTTTTACTAAGTTTGGGCACAAATACTTTTTATATAGTTTTTGGTAAATGACGGCAAAGACGTGGCACAAGCTCCAAACTATTGACATATTGCTGATCAAGATATCAATGAAAGATAATTAGCGCAAAGTTTACATTAGCGGTTAGAACATATCAGACGTAGCTTTCGTTGTTCATGGCATTCACAAGAAAAGGGATTCATTTCCGACTCTACTGAGAAAAGCTAATTGGCTACAACGAGAAATACAGTAGATATATGTGAAAATTTGAGAAATGAAATATGAGGAAG